AACTACAACCACTGAGAACTTGTTTTCGGCTTTGTAAAGTACAGAAGAAAAAGCTCTAATCCAAGTGCTACTGTCCTGAAGAGACGGGTTGTAAATGAAGGTCTAGAAGTGCAGGTTGTGTCAGTATAATTGTTTGAATAGATCTTTGTTTAACCTCCTGCTGTTCAGTGTTATGGAAGCCCTTGGGCCAGTCCTGCAGAGAGACACGGGGTCATTGAGAGCAAACCCAGCTTCCAGCAGCATTACGAAATTAGTTCCTCAACACTTACAAAAAAAACTATTTATTACAAATAAAGATCCTTGAATGTTTTAATAGTGTTTTGTAAGTAAGAATGATTGGTTAAGGGGAATACTATGCTTGTGTATTTTGTGAATGTTCACAATAGTTAATAAGTAGCCTAGCTAGCAAATATATGTGTTACATATTCTATTCTGACCTCCTTTCCAACTAGTTTTGTTCTGTCCTCTTGCTTTGTTGTTTTATCCCTCTTGTTTTAGTGAATTAGGTGACATTTGGATCATCCTCTGGATTGAAATGGAGAAACTGATTGATTGACTTGGTGGAAAAATACAATTGTCAGGTGTACTTTTCAGTTTAAGGTTATATTTTACTTCTGTGTCCATCTGGTTGGGATTCGATTGCTTCCTGAAACATTCCTGTAAAGCTCCACAGTGTCAGTGTCTTTGGAATGAGGGTATTCCTCCAGGCTGTGGGAGCTGGGGGATGGACACTGTACATGGTGTTTATCCGCTTCCCTCTTAAATGCTGTTATGGTCTTAGTCGCCAAAGCCACTTATGGCAAAGCATTCCAGGTTTTAATAGCCTTCTGTGGGGAAACATTCTACTAATCTTCCCCTTAAACTCATTCAGTGATAGTCTGAAGTCTGTGCCCATACACCCTGGTTACCACTTCACATCCGTGTTTACCTCCTTTGTTCAGTGGAAACCAACTGATCCTAATTTCATCAAATCAGGATCACTATAGACTCACAGCTCACTCTAAACGTCATTGCAAGAGATTTTCTTTAAATTAAATCTATAATCCTTTGTACATTTTCACTTACAAAAGCACAGTTTAAATGTAAAGATGATGACAGCAGGTACACTGTTAAATCACATATTGTGGTACTGTGAGAGATCTTAATTCTCAGATTGCACCGGTCACTGCATTCCTGATCCAATTTAGTCTATGTAACAGCAGGCTTGCTGTGATTAATAATCAGCGTGCTGAATGGTATCCTTGAATGCACTTGGTTCAAGTAGTTGCACAAGCTGGACAGTAAGCGCCTGCTGATCTTGGGCTGCCTGATGCTACCTGTTCAGGCTGTAACTCAGTTTATGTGTTCCTTTCCACAGAAATTGGAATTTCTGATTTCAATTCTAAAAACAGAAGATTACAGGGATTTGTGTCTCTTTAAAAGTAGATGCATGTTCTTTCATCTGAAAGATGGTATTACAACCAATTACAGTATTTCCATGTTCCATAGATATCAAAGCTCAATTCCATTATTTTTGTGTTGGGCATTCCCTGTCCTCATCCCCCAATGTTAGTAAAATCACTTCCCTGTGTGGAACTGAGAACCCTGGACAGAAAGAACTGAGGCTAGTCTGTGCTACAACGGCTGACCTTAACCAGCGCCCTGGAGCTTGTGAGGAGAGGAATTTAGCCATTTCCAAATCCTAATTCAGTCACTCGTGTGTGAAGATTTGGGAATAGACAGGCTCAGCCTCAGCTCTGATGGCCACAGAGGGTGATCAGCCTATGACAGTCAGGTTCCTGAATGCCGAATAAATAATGGCAACTTGGGAGTGTTGAAGGCCAGATGGGCCCTCATTAAAGGGTAAATTAGGGAAATCTATTGTAGATCAGCAGATGTTCACACCAATTTCTGCCATTAGTTTGAGTTATCACCGATAAAAGCCTAGTCAAATTCCACATTTATGTCTTCAGTGGAACGTCTTGTGTTATGAAAAAGCTAAGACATTGAATGTCTGCAAGAGAATACACTGGAGGGTAGGGGTGAGGAATGGGTGAGGTTCTGGTTAATATTTTTAGGAGCTCCATATATCCTGGAGAAGAGTCAATGTTCTCCCATTATTAAATTACTCAGTAGAAAATGGACCTAGAAATCGGACACCAGTTCGTCAAACATTGGGAGTAGGGGAAATGCTTTTGAGCTTCATTTGGTGTGCTAACAGCACTTCTCCAAATCGTATATATGCTTTCAAAGGCTTAGTTGACTGATTTAGAGGCAACGGGTCATGCCTTATGAATCTGCGGAGGGATTGCTTATTTAAGTTTGGTTTCCTCTGTTGTGGTAACCCGCTTCCCACCACCTGCCAACACAGATGGGCAGAATTCAGATTAATACTAACATTTTGTTGTTCACTTTTCATGGGGCAGTTATCCTCGTCAATTTTGCTATTTGACAGCGGAATCTCGGCTGGTAAATTCTTGCAGATTTGATGTCCCATTTACCTGGTTTTATTGACCGAGTTCCCAGTGCCTGTGACTAGCTTTCCCATTGTGGCCACAAAGGTCTCACAAACGGCCATTAATCTGGAAAATTGTTGGCCAGAATACTGAGAGAAACTAAGTACTAAGCCTCCATTATAAACAACAACTTGCATTTATGCAGCACCCCTCAATCAGAGTAGAATCCCAGAGTGCTTGAAACAAGTTCATGCTTGTTGACATCTGTCTGTTATAATTGTTTTTTTTTATTGTGCCTTCAGTTCCCATTGTGTCATGTAAATCTGTTAGGCATGACTGAAGTAGATACTATAGCTTGTTTTGTGTAAAATCCAGAGCCTGCCAAAGCAGCTGTAGTTTTTGCTCAGTAATTCTGGAATGCCTGAATGTTCTGCACCTGACCCTGAGATGAGATATGCCAGAGCCTCTCTGGCCAGTAAAAATATAATAATAATAATAATCCTTGCATTTGATATAGCGCTTTTCACGTCGGGAGGACGTCCCAAAGCGCTTCACAGAACACACTGTAAAGTGAATTGACTGTATATTTGTGGGCGAACGCGGCAGCCAATTGCGCACAGTCATGGATTGAAAATGACCAATTTATTATTGTTTTTGGTTTTGGAGGGATCATTATTATAATCAAATTACTATTGTACTTTTCAGTGTTCACAACCATTCAGTCCCACTATTCCTGTCCTCCCAAACTTCATTCTGCCATAAAATGATGTCCTCAGTATGACTGGAGTCCAGACTTCTCCATGAACTTCAGCAGGAAAATAAATGGAAGTGTCATGCTCTGTTAGATGGTGTAGATTGCAGGTTGCTCATTATTCTTCATTGCTAATGCAGAATGGAATAGCAGTGTTAGTGCTTAACTCTTGTAATGGACATGTGCTATCTTCATTAGCTGTGCTGAAGATGTTGTGTGTTGACTTACCCGTTCCACGCACTGCAAGTTTAGTCTTCGGAGTGCGACATCAGAATACACCTGTGCCATGGGATCACTTGTTGGAATACTATCCTGTTTAAAGTCATTCAACATGAACTGGCTGTTCATCTTCCCTCTCTGAGCTCAAATCCAACCCTTTCGCCCTCCCCGTTTTCTTGGTTTGGTTTGCCCATGTTAGTAGGTGGGATTGAGTCCTTTGGTATTTAGATATTTGAGCACCTGTTTTATTTCTGTCCCTGTTTCAACTTCTTTGAAGTGTTTTTACATTGGGATTATCATGTTTAGGAGTTAATTTCTGCCCCTCCTTTCTTTAGTTTTTCCCCACATCTCTCCTGAGAGTACTGACCTCCTGATTTTGGTTCCATGTCAGCTCCCTGGTGTCTCGACAAGTGACCATTGTGTTGAGCTGGGAAGGCGAGCAGGATGTTTGACTGTGTGGTATCTTAACATCCATGTGAGCACTGTCTAGCAGGGGACACTAGAAAATAATCAGAAGTGGTTAATTATTATTCACCTTTTTCTAGCCCAGAGGTACGGAAACAATTTGTCGTGTCCCAATTGGGTCCTGGTACTGTATTGAGTTGTGTTTGTATTCCCTGAGCTGTCACTGAAACCACCACCATTTGTTCAAATTTCTTTGCAAAGTGAAATTTGAGTGATAGCAGCAGCTTGAAACCTGTGTCACATGAATGGGTAGTGGGTGGTTGAAAGGACTGTGAAAGCGTAACATGGTGCTGGTGTAGAGACCAGTCATTGGACAAAGGGATCTTTATGAGCTGAACTTGCCACGCAGATCAAATGAGCAGCAGTGGTTTGATTGTAACATGGTTAATATTACAGTCTTAGGGATGTGGGCAAGAGCTAAAATTGGGGATAATAAAGTAAGTTAATTTAGGTAAGTAAGTTCAATTTAAAAAAAACAGACACATGTGGCACATGATCTAACAGATAGAATGACCTCCTCCTCCCCCTGGTCTATGTAAACGGGTCTGTAACTACATTTCTAATGACAAGACAATGATTTCAATGCAACATGGCCCTGTATCTAACCCAGGAGATTTGCTTCCACCTCTTGAGTGACCTTGGCTTGTTGAGTGATCCTGAGGAATGGCTAATTGGCATTGGCACACACTCCAGGTCTGCCTGCATAACAGCCTATGATACAAGCAGTTATTTTCAGATCGTTGATCCAATGTCAAATTGAGTCCTTAGTGTTGGCCATCTGCTTCTGTTTCTGTTTCCGGTGGATATGGAAGGACTCTCCACACTATTTACTAGCTGACTGGAATCCTCCTCCTGGTTGCCTTGGTCTATCATTTCCACTCATCCAAATTATTCCCAAAATTGGCTCCTCATTTCGTTGTTTCTGGGAGGATTAGCTGCTGTGTTTGCCTAAGCAATATTTGCTTAATTTCTAATTAATCTCCTTCCCCTTGCAATGTTTGGAAAGTGCTGTATAATTGTAAGCTGTCTATTTCTACTGGCACCAGAAGTTGTGGCCAAATGACATTGTTTACAAAATCACATTTGTATAGCGCCTTTCACCTCATATCGGGTGTGTGTGTTTTCTCCAGGAGATGTGGTGGATATATATCAACATGAATTTCTCGCACTTCGAGACCGACTGCGTGCAGCTGAGCAAGAAAATCTCAAACGTTCTAAAGAGCTGAACCTTGTCTTGGATGAGATAAAGCGAGCCATTGCCGAGAAACAAACGTTGAGGGACATTAACAGGACCTGGAGTAATCTATCAGGTACCTCAAGTTACACCTTATGCCAGCTGAAACCACAAGGTCAACATGTTAACAAAGCTGTGTTCATTTTGAAGGCTTTTTGAAGCTGCTGACCGCCATCAGTCAGTAAGGGTGATGTTTTGGGTGTGAAGGGTGAAGCTGAGTGTTAACCCATTTTCTATTTCACATGTGGAGGAACGTACTGTATGTTTTCATTCTCTGCAATGTTTCAGATCCACAGGGCTTTCAATTATCAAATATATAAATGTGTAGGGAACCGTTTATTTGAAGAGTGAAAGATGGTTTATTTTAACTACTATATTTGAAGAGAAATCAGTCCAAGGCAATACCACTCTCCCTGCGTCAATGTATGGATATCTCTTTGCTTGTGCCTTTTGTCTCTACTTGTCTGTAATGTTCGTTTCCCATCCACTGGGATTCTAACTATCTCATTTTTTTCCCCCTCTTATCTTTAATTTTCTTAATGAATTTTAATGAATCAGCTTCATTCCAGGCAACGTTTCCATCTAATTAGGCTCATAAAGTTCAAGTCTGGGATCTAATTATAAGCCATCCTGTTCTAGTCGACTGCAAATTCTCTTTAGATCAGTTTTAATCTTTCTCTATGGCGGGGAAGAGAGAAGAAATCTACACAAAATTAATTTACTAATGTTACTTCTTTCAAATAAATCTGCATTAGTGCTTTTAACAACTGACTGGAGTTTAAGACATTGCTGTAGAGATTTCCCGCACAACACACCTTCGTGAAATTGTGTAACTTCCCTAAAAACAAAGAACCTCAGGTTCAAATCCTTTATTTTAATGAAGAGAAAAGTCGCCTTTTTTTTATAGCGGGATATTTAAGAGATCCATACCTGATGGCCTCCAATATTAGAACCATGTTTATCTCAAGCATTTTGGGGTAGAAGGAAATGGACATTAGTTCCATGCTGCAAGCATGCTCGCATTTGGTTGATTGAGATGCGTGTCTTTTCAGTAGAAAGATTATCTTCAATCTTTAGTGTGATTTTTTTTCTGCTATTCCTCTTTTTTTCTCTCTTCCTCTCCATACACAGCAATTCACACTTTGACCGGTTCAATATAATAGGCATATTATGAATTATGAAATATTATGAAAGATTTAGTATCAAATCCTAGAGCTTAAAGCAGCATCCTGTCTCCTGGGGCCAGGGATTGGAATGTGTTTGCTTTTGAGCCAATTGGCTATGAATTTCAGTCTCGGTTTCTGGAACTGGGAACCAGAAAACATGAGTAATTGAGTTTTTTAGCCCTTATCATTCTCTCTGTCTCTCGCTCGCTCGCCATGGAAAAATGATTGTGATCCAGTCGTCCAGGTGATGATGCGATATGTTTTACTCCTTCCCTGGTTACTATGTCACTATCTTCCTCCCCTCCCAGATGAAACTAAACTGAAGCTATGGAACATCACCACCAGTAAGAATGTGCTGCAGCTTCCCAGCATCTTCCATCATCTTCCGCACTTACTTGCCAGAGAGAACAGTTTCCAGCCTTCTGTGTACCTGGGGCAGAGGAGAACTGGGGGTGAGCACTTTAGTTAGGTTCTTTTAATCACTCGTTTTCAAGTCCCTTCATGCTTTTGCACCTCCCTTACCTATCTGATCTGCTTACCCCCCACTCCACTACCCGTTGGCTCCCCTCGACTGGCTCCAGCCTCCTGTTTGTCCCTCTTCCCCTCCGCTCCATCATCGGTGCCCATGCCTTCAGCCACTATGCCCCAAAACTCTGGAACTCTCCCTCAGCCCCTCCGCCTTGCCCCTTCCTTACCTGTTTTCAAATCCCACCTTAAAATCTTGCTTTTTGATCTTATGGTCACCTCTCCCCTGGCTCGGTGTCAGACTCTGCCACTGTCAAGTGCTCCGGGATGCTACCCCGCATGAAGAACGCTATATAAATGCATGTTATTCCATGTTTTGTACATGTGGGATCAAATCCTATTTATGTTAAAATATTTGAAACTGAAATATAATGTTGCCTAAATCCTAATTCAGATCTTTCACTGGGCCCTCTGCAATGCCGAGCTCAGGAATGCAATTTAGCCTTCAGCTCCCTTCTCGACTCTCTACCCACTCCTCGCTTCCTCCCTTCCCTCCCCTCACTCTGACCCTGCTGGGGTCCCGACCCAACTGTCCAGCGCCCTGGGACGTCCTCCCGACGTGAAAGGCGCTCTTATCAATGCAATCTTCTTGTTGTTGCAATTTATGTGTGGATAGACTTTGTCTTGTGCCCACATGCAGGTGGTAGCTTGGAACTAATTCCTTTCTTATAGAAGGAAGGTTATGGGGGATTTTGTTTTGCATTGCATAATTCAGACTTCATCTACAAAGTCCTGGTTTCTTGATGTAATACCATTTTTGTCCTATTTTATTGTCCACAGTTTCGATAGTGATGGGAGTTCCCACTGTAAGGCGGGAAGTACACACTTACCTGGTTGACACCCTGAATTCCCTGATCTATGAGCTGTCTCCTGAGGAAAAAGAAGATTGCGTGATTGTTGTACTTATTGCAGAGGTGAGCAAGAGTCTACCTACATTAACACATCTCATCGGGTAACTAGCAATCTATCAGTGCTATAACAAAGCATTCACGCAGGGCGGTGCCTCGGAGTGCTTAAACAGCTTACATTATGCAGCATTTTTCGTGTAAAAGAAACATCTGAAAGCACCCTACATAGTGAGATTAAACAAAGTGAATGTTTTTGCTGGGATATTTACTTTCATAATAATCCAGATGTATGGCAATTGATTAGAGTTTTCAGGTAATTTGATTAAGAAGCAAATATAAACCAAGATAAGAATACATCCACATTGTGAAAACTACTTAAAGGAGGAGTTGGATTTGTATCAAATTTTATTAAAATTTTCAATCGTCAGCTGTGATTCTCAAACAGAAGTGGCTGCAAGGCCTTTCTTCTGTCTGTACACGTATCAGCAAATATTAACCATCACCATGCCTGCCAGCTGGGTCCATGGCTTTTATTGATGGAGTGTCTGGAGATTACTTAGTTTACTTAGTCAATCCTCCTTGTATACAAATGTGCTTGTTCACTGCTCAAATCTGCAAATCCTTAGAGATTGGCTGCCTTGCGTTTATGGGGCAGTAAAATAATAATCCTTGCATTTGATATAGTGCCTGTAACGTAGAACATTCCTTTGTCGATTGGCGGATCGCTTTCCTGGTGGTAACAATCCCTTTATAATTTTTTAAAAATGTGGTCACTCAATCCACAACTGTTTGTGGGTCACTGCTGTGCGCAATTGGCTGCTGCTTCACAACAATGTCTCACAAATAGTCATGAAGTGAGTAGCCGATTTTATCTGGCTGATTGTGGCCCAGAATAGTAGGAGAAAATCCTTTCTCTTTTTGATTAATGTCATGGGATCTTTAACAGATCTGAAACGGCAGTTTTGCATCTTATCTGAAGGATGGATGAGTATTTACTATTAGTGATGCTTCCGCTTAACACCACATTCCTTTCCTTTTCGCCATGCCCTTTAATATTCCTATTTCCCATGTATTTGTCCCCCTTTTAAACATCCTAATGCATTCAGCATCTAAGGTCCTTCTGAGGCTAAACATTGTATATTCACACAACAATCCGTGTTGATTTCACTTCTAATGTTGCTAACTCTAATTCTAAGCTTGTGTCCCATTGCTCTGGGTCCCTCTACTAATAACTTTTTAAACGAGAGAAAGTGAAGGCGAGAGATGGAAGTTAATGCGTCTGAGAGCTTCTAACTAGTTTATAGCAGCTTTCCTGCACCAATACAAGCAGAGCTACTAACACAAACCCATTGCAGGCAATGAGAGGGGTTTGTTTGACTGGAAGCAAAATCAATCAGACATTTAAAGGGAGATGGATAGATACAGAATTGATTGGGATGTTTAAAAAAACATGGATGGATAAATGCAGAATCAATAAATGTTTAAAGGATAGGTAGATACTTGGGGTTTAAGGATATTAAAGAGTATTGGCTTTCAAGAGGGAATGCATCTTCTCAGCACCTGATTGCTCTTTCTTGCATGTGGCGTAAGGAAACTTGCCTGAGGTTTTGCCCTGCCGGGAATCGAACCCAGATATCTCGCTTGTCAGGCGAGCGCTCTAACCACTGAGCTACAGGACTCCACCACGAGTTCATTTGGTCCCAAGCGCTCTGGTTCGCTACCCTGCATGAGGTAGCATATAAATGCAAGTTGTTATTGTCAGATCTGTCCCCACTGATCTGTGTTTCTGCACAGCATCATCACCTTGTGTCTAACCAGGAAACTGTTGCTAATGGTGTGTTGGAAAGTCTAAAGGCAAAGCAATGCTGGTAGGTTTGTACTTCCTTAGATTAGACCTGATCGTCAGGAAGATGCAATGTTGCCAGTGCAGAAGATTGACAAGTGTGAACCAGGCCCACGTCTCTGGTTGGCTAGTCTGGATTAGTTGCTGTAGGACGTGCAGAGGACGAAACGGCAAGAAAACCTGCAGCTTTATAGGCCTGGCTTTGGATCTGCTCCATAAGAAATTGCTGTGAAGTGTAATAAGATTGATTATGAAGGAAATGATTGTGTTCTGCACCCAGTCTCTGTGGTGTTGTAGCACATGTGGGGCTGCTTTACTCCAGTGCCTGCTCCCAGTAACCTGCGGCACAGTTACAATCTACCATCATCAAAATGCTTCTTGTTAGCGATGAAACCTTAACTAATGAATATTAAAATTCAGCAGGTATCTCAATAGAGGATGGAGGATTACGAGTCCCCAGGCCAGTGGAGAAGAATATCTGTGTTGCAGTGTTGGGAGCTGTCAAATCACAATTTTACATTTGCTGAAATAACAACAACAAATTTCATTTGTATAGCACCTTTCAAGTTGGGAGGACGTCCACCAGAGGCAGAGGGGCAGTCTTGAGCTCCATGTGATGTATTTATGTTGTATGAATGCTGCTTTCCCATAAAGAGTATTGACATTATTTATCAAAGTTTATTTTCTTAAACACATTTAGCCACCATTAGCCTAGATTGACTGGTTTATGCTTTGACAAGATGGTTACTGAAATTGACATGCTGATTGGGTCCCAGTATATTTGTGCATGTGGTGGATAGGTCAGGGATATCCTGCCATTGTCACTGTCACAGGAAATGCTGAGCAGTGTCCTGTCAGAGGGCAGCAGTCAGCCAGCTGTTAATCTGTGAGGAAAACTGTCTGTCTGGCTTTGTACTCCATCATAACAAGCCAGTGGTCACCGAAAGCATTTCTGTGTAATATTGAGGCTTCAGTACTGTACAATATACATATACATGAGATTCAGGATCCGATAATGAGAGCCCAGGCTTGTGAGAGAGGCCCATGGCTACATGGAAAGTCTCCATTGGCACCAGAAAGCATGGAGTGGGCGAGGGCCACTTGACATGCTCTATCATTGGCATCGCTGTAAATGTAAGGCGTTGTAGCTAAGTCCTACTTATTGTGATTCACTTTCTGCACCTTTCATTCTTGGCAATGACATCACTGAAAGTTTCCTTTTTGTAAAAAATAACTAATATCCTCGAGCAAATTGCAGTCAATTTAACGTGAATTGATGGGATTCCAATCCATTTGCCATAATCCCATGTGAAACTGGCACTTATCTGGATGTTTAAATTCCAACTTACTCTTTCTGAGTAAACTGTGAATACAGAGTAGTCTCTCTTCAGTTGAGGTGATGTTCCCTGTATGTCTTGTGATGAAAGCAGCCTTGGCTGAACGTTTAGCTTGAGGATTCACTCAGGATTCCATTGCTTTGTGTATGATTTGCTTTCTCCTTTTTTGTTACAGACCGATATATCATATGTAAATAGTATCGCAGAAAATCTCAAGAATTTGTAAGTAATTCCGGTTTCCTCCCTTGTAAGAACATATTTGTGCTGTTTTGAAGTGCAGTTTCCTAAACCAACACTGTTCTGTGGCATCAGGAGCATTACTGTATGTTTAAGTGCCTCATCACACCTCACTGAGTGCAGTCCATCAGTGATCCTCTCTTCCACCTCAGTTTTACTCTCTTGGATTCCAGTGGGCATTATCCTGTGTTTATTTACAGCAAAACCCATCTGCCAGTCCTTAATTGGTCCCCATCTTCATTCGGTGCTATGTTCCCACATATAATGATATCATCTACAAAGGTTATCATCTCTTCCTTCAAGTCATTTGTGAATAGTGTGAACAGTATAGAACACTTAGCTGTGAAACTCCCTCAGTTGGTGCTTTTTCCATTATTATCGCCTTCTGCTTGCTATTTCTTTACTAGTTTTGAGGCCCACCTAAACCATGAACTCTAACCTACATGAATGTGGAACACTGTGTTTAAATGCTTTATGTTCCTGCTATTGGTATTTTTAACATCTAAAAATGTTTGGCTTTATTTTAATGACATACCATACCCTCTGTGTACCGCACATATGTATATATATATATATAATTTGCCCGGAAATGCTTGAACTCAGAGTAGTTTCAGTTTGATGGAAGGTTGGCTAAATCACAGGCTCCCATATGGCTTCAAAATCTAGGCTACAAATATTGATGATATTTTTTCACATGTTTCTATAAAATCTGTAGAAAAATAGGGCAAGTTACAGGCACCAGTGGTTTCCATTGCAGATTGCAGTCTGAGTGTTGAACCAAAGCATTGGATAATGATCCAACCATCTGTGGTAGCAAGGCATCTGCTCACTGTGAGGATCCCAGGCCCAATGAGCTGTTTTTCCCTCAACCACATCTGCTTAGTGTATCTGCTGTTCACAGGCCTGTTTGCCACATTTTATTCTATCTTCATTTAAAAATAATTGGAAAACTGTTGATTCGGATAAGAATTTTAGTTAAAACTCATGAAATGTGTGAGGTTCACATTTGATAGCATGTTAGTTTTGCGGTTTGCTTTGTGCCCACGATGGTTTGTTACCTCTCAGGGCATCGTCAGTTCAGATTGTGCTCCATTTCTTACCAGCAGCAGCTCACACCATTGCCCTCAAAATTATAATGTCCAAATAAAATTCTCCTCAATTCCAGCCCGGAAAGTTAATGAAAGCCTGTTTGACAGGTATAAATTCCACTCTCTGTCTACTTGCTATTTTTCAATTTCCTGAAGTGAAAGTATTAATGTCAGGAGGCTAGAGTCTGAAGGTAGTTGGGTGGTTTTAGTTGTATTTTAAGGGAGTGACCTTATGTTAGCACAAATGCTATTTGAGGCTGTCGATAACTCTCTCTTAAAAGGGAATTGGATAAATACTTGAGGGAAAACAAAGTTTCCAAAAGCCACCAAGTATGAAATACAAGCTGGAGAGCAGATTGCTGCTGGCTGTTTCGCTGGCCTTTCGTTCAGTTTGTCGACAACTTTCACAAATTGTACTTTGCTGTTTTGGGAATATTGTGCATTTCACATCACTGGCCATGGGTGAGGGGAGATAGCAGATATTCAAAGCAGCAATTACAGTGTGGGAGACTATTCAGGCCCCATCTTTGTCATTCCTTTCCAGATTTCCAAATGAAATCCAGTCGGGACTCCTTGAAGTCTTAGCGCCTTCGCTCAACTACTACCCTGATTTCTCTCATCTAAAAGAAACCTTTGGGGATCCGAAGGAGCGGGTTAGGTAATTCCTCCTGACGTGTATTTAATAAAATTGCTCCTTTTGCACTGTAAAATCTGTAACCACACCTTTTAAAGATATGTGGGAAAAGAAACAATATAATAATTCTGTATGCCAAAATAAACTATACTGGAGCTTAATGTGTTTCAGAAAGGGTTCAGCAAACGTGTGTGTTGATCGACAGCCTGAGAAAAGAGGGTGTGAAATTACACATCCAGGGTTTCTTTTATCTCAGTTTGAAAGAAATGTCTTCACTGCTAGACCACTTCAGTTGCAGGTGGCTGGTCTTTGTAATAAACTAGAAACTGTGCCCGGATTAGTACCCAAATGTTTAAAGTGCTTTGTGTTGATCCGCATTTATAATATCAGTTGTTTCGGCTTTTGCCAAGTGACGAGGTGAATCTACTGGTAATTGGGAAACACGGTTACTTCTACATCGCCATCAATGGGTTTGATTTCTGTGATCCTGGATTCACACAGTATTGGTAATATGTCACATTTTACCCCAAACTGTGTTTTTTTTTTTAGTCCCTCCGTCTTAACCCAAAGCTCATTGAGCTGTCACAGGAGAAGCTTTCATTCTGAGCTTTAAATCTGAGTGCTTTTAGCCAATTCGCTGTAAGTGTAGATTAGCAGTTTTAAACACTGACTAACTTTAGCTTTTGTTTCAGATGGAGAACAAAGCAGAATCTGGACTATTGCTTTCTAATGATGTATGCTCAGTTGAAGGGCACCTATTATGTTCAGGTAAGAGGAACTGTTTGTCAGCTGGTGTGACCCTCGTTGTGCTAAAAGACAGCTGAGTGGCACTCTCTGACTCGCACACTCACTGAGATTATTGTCCTCTCCAGCTGGAGGATGACATTGTGGCCAGACCCAGTTACTTTGGAACAATGAAGAACTTTGCGCTGCAGCAGCCGTCGGAGGAGTGGATGATCCTGGAATTCTCCCAGCTGGGATTCATCGGTAAGTTTGTAGATTCTGAGCTTGGCTTCCAGCTCAGTAACTGTGAGGAGAAGGAGACAAACACAGTCTTCTGGTCCAGGGCTTAATTTAGAAACTTGGCTTCTGAATAGGGTGCCTGAGAGAGAGCACGACCAGCTAAGACAACAGAGAGCTCTCTCCTTTGCATACTGAACTGCTTTGAAATTGGTAATGTCCACCTGACAGACAAAACCTCAACTGAACGTTGTACCTGAGGGACGGCACTGCCCCGCAAAGCTCCTGCACTCCCCCCATTGCTGCTCTGGGTTATGAGCTGAGCTCCAGTCCCTCGTCGGTGTTTCTGATCCCAATGGGAAAGTACTACTGTGTGAGGCAAGCTGACACCTCAGCATTGTTTTGAAGTTGCCGTCAGCCCTACGAAAGTTAGAGACATACGTGTGTGTCTGAGTAAAGTGAACCAGACTATTACCTACAGTGCTCTTGCACACGATTGAACTTTTCTAAATAACCATGTGAGTTATGGGGAAAAGTTACGTGAGTTGGGGCCGTAATCACTTGTTCTGGTGAAACCTAAACATTTCAATATCTTCCAAGTGGAAAGTGATGATATTTTGGTAATTGGTTGCTTGATTCCATCTATTATTAATCTGATCAATCAAATACCGGGCGCCAAGATGTGCATGAGCTCTGTGAGAGGTAAGGCTGGCTGAATCCCATCAGTGACGCATTGGATTTTTCAGGTAATGTGTTTGCTTGTTCTCCAACAAGTCAACAGCAGAGAATATCAAGAGCCGGTTTAAATGCTGGTTTTATTTTCTAACCACGTTGCGAGTCCTCTGTGAGATAGAATGTAAATGAAATCAAGTGTTTACAGCACCGCACTGAGCCCAAGTGTACAGTGATTTGTGACACAAAGCCCTCCATTACCTTATTAAATTTCACACTTCTTCCACATGTGAATCCTGCAAACAGAGCTTACAGTCATGTGAGGTTTGCTGGCTGAGTATTTGTGTTACTCCTGTATATTCTCTTTTGTTCAGGTCTGACAAGGGGACAAGGGACCACGGAGTTGTAAAAACTCAGATAATTCTTGAATAGCTCAATATTCTGTGGCTTTAGTTAGACATGACACTGCCTTGGAGCACATTTATGTAATGCTGATGTCATCTGAAATAATATTAAATGGGAATAGTGTTGAGGTTTGCTTGATAGCTGTAGGGAAGCATGCTATGAACTGTAAGGCAGTAATGAGTTTGTGTATTTCACAATCATGTTCTCACAGTGTCCTGGCCAAGAATCCTCTGGACAGATGGGTCATTCACGTCATGTTTGTTTGTAAGAACCTACTGAGTGCAATATCTCTGCCGTGTTCTTAAAAACCATTAGCTGCACTTGACAGTAATTATTGTCGAGAAAAGTTCTATAGCACATTTGTTTTTTCTTTGCATCCCTGCTCCCTAGACCCTCCAAACTCTGACTTTCAGGGGAGTTTGTGAAGAATCTGAAAACTGATTTGTTTGATTTGGATTTGTTTTTTTCAACCTAGAGACAGAGATGTAACCATCAGTGGAAATGACCCAAATAAATCAGGTCATCGGGAGAGCGGATAGATAAACCGACCCAAATAAAACAAAATCCAGATTGTAATACCAGTGTATCTTTCTGCAGAACAGGTCTGGATCTAAAAATGAAGTATATGATGATGTTGTTATTAATCAGCATCAACAGCTGTGCTTTGACTTGCACAATTCCCAGTCTCTACAAATAATAGAGCAGAGATCATGTTTGGAGAATTGGGAGATGTGTGGAGGGGCGAAGAATGCTCCCTACAATTGCTGGGAGTGATGGTCTAAATATTGTCCTGAGCCCATTGTCTGTGCCGGGAGATAACACACTTACTACAGAGAGATTATTCTCCTCATTTTAATGCCAGTAACATGGCAGAAATCCACAGGGGCCGCCAGTTAAATCAGTGAAGAATATTAATTGTTGTTTGTCTTTGCTGATTGACTAAGAAATCTAGATGTGGTGCAGCGGGCTGCAGTGGGAGCCGGTGTGAGAGAGCAGCACACTGGCACTGGGAGGCGTTCAGTGCGGGTGAGGTGCTTCCCAGCGTTGTGGAGACATCACACGGCAAGGCTCCCTGGCTGTGTAGCCATCTCCTGATTGCTTATTACAGAGGCAATTATTCCCACTGGGTTGTGAATTGGTAACAAAGCGACATTTTCACACCAATGGTTAGGATAGTCGATGTTTATTGCAGTAAAGCTCATAATATTGAAATGGCGTGCACTTGTTTGAGGTTGAAATTGACGATTCCAGGCCAGAGTGTAAACTAACATTGTTTTTTATTCAAAAATTTTACATTGAACCGCTCCTCTCTGCACTGAACAAATAGTGGCTGTCAGGTACAGAGACTGTTTTATAGGCAAACAAGGCTGCCATTTACATGGTTCCACACATTGCCTTGCGATGAACAATGCTCTGGAGGATTGTTGGCTACAACAGAAAAACCTTTGTTTAAAGGTGTCACTGGCTCTTTACTATCTGCCTGAACAGAACCTGGTCTCGAATCTCATTAAACACACAGGAGACATTCACCCAGCCACTAAACAACATCACTTTCTCTGGGAAATTTTCAAAACTACAAAAAGCTATCATCTGCTCCAAATTTAGTTACATGTGGCATCAAGTGTGTCACTAACTGGGTTCCCCGAGGACGGCTATAATTTGCTGGCTTGGGGTGCGTGTTGTGTGTCAGAGGACAGGTGCTGTATTGTTGGTCAATAATTCCCAGTTGTCACTTGGGTGCCCTCAGCAATGTGAAATTTGTGTCTGGTTAATGTTTCACTGGTTGGAAGGACTTCAAAGTGGAATGTGAAGGGTTTACAAGCTTTCCATGTGTAGCCGTGGAAAGCTCTCAGGAGGAATGCACATCAAGATCAGTCTGTTATTTGGCAGTGCTGGGCTCGTCTGATCAAGGCTTCACTAAATTTCTAATTAAACCAACATCTTGTTACACTTGCCATCGTTTGTTCTTCACCCAAAATAAAAACTAGTCTTTACCTGTTTAAATTAATGTTCAGTGCACCTAATGTGTGTTAAATACAGGAGCAGCTGTGTCTACGCCCTTAATTTACATCTGCAGAGAAAAGCAGTTCGGATTTTTTTGATGTTTAAAGAAATTAAAATGGATCATCTCCAAGTCTTGTGGATCAGAGTGAGAAAGATCAGGGTTTAGGGAAGTGCAACTGGATAGAACTCACTGATTTACTTGAGAATATTGATGGAGATGTGTAACTGGTGTCCTGAAGCTTCATAATTTTCCTGTCACTTTCATGGCCAGGCAGCACAGTGTGGACACGGGGAGTAACTGAATACACATTACGTTGCCCACCTGAGCAGGCCTTAACTCTTTGTTTCCTGTTATTTAGGTAAAATGTTCAAATCCTTGGACCTAAGTCTGATTGTGGAGTTTATTCTCATGTTCTATAAGGACAAACCCATTGACTGGCTGCTAGACCACATCCTGTGGGTCAAAGTCTGCAACCCCGAGAAAGATGCAGTAAGTGGCTGTGAACAGTAAACTATGCTTCACTGATCACTTCTCAGTTATTTATAAACCTAAAGGTGATCGGAAAGAAAGAACTTGTCATGTCTCATGTCTTAACCTCTCAAAGTGCTTCACAGGGCTGTCAAGTGTAGTGACTGTTTCTTTCCTGCCTTCCCAGAAACACTGTGACAGGCAGAAGGCTAACCTGCGGATCCGGTTCAAACCCTCCTTATTCCAGCATGTTGGCACTCATTCCTCACTGGCCGGAAAGATCCAAAAACTAAAAGTACGTTCACTGCAGCGCTCACTGTCTGAACTGTGCCGTGTCCCCGCGTTCAGCTCGGTGTCAGGGTGGGCAGAGGGGGCACCAGGAAACACATTAGAGAGATGGTGACAATAACCATTTGTTACAGTGACCAAACTGTGTGAGGCACGACGTGATATTGGATGTCTAACGCTCTGCCTTGTCAGTGAGCTGGCTATCTGCAGGTGAACACCAAGGCGTGATGAGAATCCAAGCCTCTCGGTTACTGGAGCAGCACTCACCATGGCTTGTTCCACACAGTGCCAGCCTCAATCCAGCTCTCCAAGTAGGGAGCGTTCAGCTTCACCATCCTGGTCAGACCTTGTCTGGTTTATCACCAGCTGCAGTGACTGGGCTGAGGAGGAAAAGGCAGGAATGAACAGGCCAATCCTGTGTTTGCTCCCATCTTCTTATGATAGATACTTATTGTGTGTATTTGAGGTAAATCTGCTGTTGTGTTACTGTAGGTGCAGTATCTCAGTAATTGGAGGCGATACGGGACACAGTGATGGTGTGAAGTGTTAGTCCTTCACCTGTGCAGCTGCTGGAGGGTGACTGAAGCTCGCAGCGCCCCCTGCAGCATACACCTGACAACTGCAGCTATTTGTCCTGATGATAATCCTTGCATTTGACACAGCACCAATAAGGTTGAAACAAACGCCTCAAAGGACTTCAGGATTAAATTCTGTGACATGCACTGGATGTACGTACATTTGTCCCCAAGTTGAAGTCGCCCATAACCAGTGTTTGACCCTTCACACGTTCCCCTTTGTTGAGAATACAGCTTCCAACAAGAACAACTTGCATTTATATAGAGCCCTTCACACGGGGCAGTGTCATACCGAGCATCACCCGTTGGCTGGGCGGCGTATGAAGGATCGCCAACAGCTTGTTTCTCCTCTTTACTATTGCTGGCTTGGGGCACAGTTTACACGTTCTCCGCACCCAACCCATATTCCTCCACTTCCTTGTCTCTCTACAGCGGAGGCAGAGTGTGTGCACACAGGACAAGCTCGGATTGGGAGACGTCTGGGCCTGTTCTTTGTAACTAAGGAAATGATCCGTTTTATTTCCCAGGATAAGGATTTTGGAAAACATATGCTGCACAAGGGCCACTCCAACCCCCCGGCAGAGGTGACGACCAGCCTGAAAACCTACCAGCATTTCACCCTGGAGAAGGCGTACCTGGGGGAGGATTTCTTCTGGGCTTTTACCCCAGTGGCTGGTGATTTTATACGGGTCCGATTTTTCACTCCAGTGAAAGTGGACAAGTTAGTTTGTTTAATGTTGTATTTCTCACGTACTGTTGTATAAAAAGCTTTCAGAGTGTGTGACTCACCAGCCCATTTGACCCTTTTATTCTCTCGCCAGGTTTTTCTTCCGCAGTGGGAACATTGAGCATCCTGGAGACAAGCTCTTCAACACCACCGTGGATGTGCTGCCATTTGATGTGAGTCTCATCCTCTTTATGATCGTTATTTCAGCTAATGGAGTAAGAAGTGGAGCCTGATGTAAGGTGCTCATTGTAAACTCAGCGAGTTAGACTTTTTACCTGATCCCGAATGAGGCTGTTTGTGGAGTTGGTGGAGATCTCAGATTTGCATTCACAAAATTGAGAGTGCGAATTAAGTGGTTGCAGTGTTTGTTTAGCTGAAGCTGGAGAGATGACACAAAGGGCTGAAAATGGCTGAAAATTGTGCAATTTCACAAGCTCTGGTTTAGATTTTCCTCTTTCTCTGGCTGCTAGAATGTCCAGTTGGGGAAGGAAACTCTGCTGGATGGTAAAGAGAAGTCTCCACGGTACCAGAGGACTGAGGACGGATTTATCCGAATTGGTAAATACATGGACAAGCTGTGTCCCTCAGCTTCTTCAACACAGAGCGGGATTGAGGGGCTAGAACAGTGGTCAAACACTCCACAATAAATTGCATTTTGTATAGCGTCATTAAGGTGGGAGGATGTCCCAAAGTGCTGCCCCTCGCGAGAGAATCCTGTGTTGCTGGGGCTGATGGGGAGGATGTTGTGAGGAGGGGGTGAGGGGTTCTCAGCTGTGGCAATGTAGAGATGAACATTGTGGAGTTATTTGCTTTTCTTTGGGGATCTGGGTGAAGAAATTTGCCCAGGAAGGTGACTGGATGTATAATAATCCTTACATTTGATAGCCTTATCACATCTTTGCGATGTTTCAAAGTGCTTCACAGAATATACTGTAAAGTGTAGTGACTGTATATTTTGTGGGCGAAACGCAGCAGCCGATTGTGCACAGCAGCGTCCCACAAACAGTCGAGGATTAGGTGTCCAAATTTTTTTTAAAAAGGGGATTATTACACCCGGTAAAGCGATCCGCCAATCAACTAACAACCGGGTTCCTACTTACTGCTCGGTGAACAGAGGCGTGAGGAGTAAGGAAACTTGCCCTACATTTCGCCCAGTTTGCGAGGCGAGCGCTCTAACCACTAAGTCACAGGACTCCTGTGAAGGGGAATGATGGTGATCGGGTCCGATGGGGCGAGTGTGATGGTTTAAAATCTTTTGTGATCTGTTTCAGCCTCATTTACGAATGGCATTGCTGAGGGGGAGGTGGACCCGGCCTTTGGACCATTGGAGGGCTTCCGTCTCTCTATCCTGTCAGATTCGCCTGTTTGGGTCATACTCAGTGAGGTACAGACTCGGTGTTAACCTCTGTTCGCCGCACTTTACATCTGCTGTTTATCGAGTCTGTTGGGCTGGTGCAGGTTGAGCATTGGGAGAGCAGCTGATTAATATTCCGGTCCTTTTTTTTCAGATATTTATAAAGAAAGCTGAAACTTAACAGAAGAGGAAACTTGAGCTATGACAATGATCATGTGCAGCAACGTTTGGGTGGAGATGTTTCTCATCGGGTTCTGCGCCTGAACCAGTCAATCCCGGCCATTGTTTCACACACAGACTGTGCCGTCTGGTGGCCACTCCGGGAAGTGCAAGAGAGGGGGAAAATCTGAGTGAGACAAAAGAAATCTGCCGTTTCCACGGACAAGGTGTCGCTGATGTTTTTATACCAAATAACAGTTGTATGAAAGAAACGCTCAATTTTTACACTGAATCTTCTGTTCTGATACGCGGTGCGTCATCTGTCACAAATGGAAACTAACATTTTTACCTGTTTTTCTGAACAATCGACCCTGGAGGTGCTGGGAGCAGTGAGACTGAGGGACTGAGCACATGAGAAGAGAGAGATTAAGGAGCACTCAAACCAGGAATTATTCAGAACCTTTATTTTACTCCTTTTAGAGATAATGTTAGATATGAATCCCAGTGTGAACCTAAGTGGCTTCAGTAACCCTGAGGTAGAGTGGGGGAAATCAGACAGGGTTCCTACTCCTGAGAACTATCCAGAAACCCTGTATTGTATGTGTCTGCTGTCTGGGCGTTGTCTGTGACTGGACATTGGGTGAGGACTTGATTGAGCTTGAGTGATTTTCACTCTTTTTCGCCCCCACCCTGCAGTCAAGTTCCTGCCAACAATGAAGAATGGCCACAGTGAGCTCCTGGAGGGGAAGAAAGGCCTCTGGAAGATGGTCTAATTCAAAGGCCACCTGCGATTCCCATCCTGAATTCTGAATTTCCGTGGTTTGCACCTTAACTCCAGAAATGAAAGCTGAATGAATCCTGCTCCTGGTAAATCATGTTAGTTAAAACAGTATCATCAAATCTGGTCCTTTAATTGCTTAATCGTTCGTGCTAAATTGAGAAGCAACAGCTGTGTGTGTGCTGGCCATTCTCTGGGGAGGGAGAGGTACAACTCAGTCATTAGTGACGGTCATTTATGGTCAAACAAATACTTTTGTTTGATATTTTCATATCCTAAGCGAGCTTGTACAAAAACCGCAATCATGTCTATTGGAATCTGAGTTGCCTGTAGGTAATATTGCAGATCCTACATGAACTGTTTAACCTATCCATGTGAGCGAGAAACTTGGTTGCATGGACCATACCGATCTCTAGAGCGACCTTCAAAATTACACCACTTACTCCGGACAGTGAGCTGATTGTTGTGAATCTGTAGTCATGGACAAGCGAAGGTATCTGAACCAGGATAAGTACAAATCCGGCTGAGTGAACCCTGGATCTGGGTCGTGTGTTTTGTCATTGAGCAACCAATGTCCCAGCTGTTGGTTCAGACAAAGAAAATGTAAACTAAAGCTGGTTCACTCATCGAAGCTAAGAGTTGGCATCACAGGCTTGTGAGCCTAACACCTCAGAACTTTGGAGGCCTTTGTACTTCAATTTTAAACCTAAGGAACTTATTCTCTATTATTTTCACAATTTTATTACAGCCGTTTTAACTTTCATGGCTTAACGTTGATTTCTTAATGCAGTTTGTTCTGAAAATCGGTGCTAATGTTTTTTTTACAAAATGGCCATCATTCTCACCGGACTACAGTTGGCCTCAGTGCTTCTGTGTTGTGAGAGGGGAGAAATCTGACTGTTCCTGATCCCTCCTATCCAGAGCCCATTAACCACACACCCCCGCTGAGCGTGTGGGCTGGAGCTTTCAGAAGAGAGAAGATGATTTGCAAAGTAGGCACAAGGCAGGGAACAGAATTTGAAGCTGCACTTTAAAGACTTTCTTTTGAATTAGAATTTAGCTGATAAAGATATATATTGCAATATCCTTAGTTTTACAAAAAAATAGTAGGAGCTAATATAAACTATACCTGGCGTTCCTGTTATCCGACTGGGAGCAACATTGGCTGTTGCTCTAGCTGCTTAGGAATGAATGCAAATGTGAAAATGGACCAGAGTTGAAATCGGAGAGAGAAAATAATTTCAAGGGGAAAAAAATCCACTTTGGCTGACATCCCTCCCATTTCCTACTTACCCTAAAGTCTCAGGGTTGGCTACTTTGTGCACCTACCCAACCTACCCCCAGGTCAACGTCAATGCTGCTCTGCCACCAGCCACTAAGATGTAGTTGGGAGGCACGTTCCTTCTATGTGCTTGTCCTTTCCATCTATGTTGTTTACTCCACTGAGGTTGAGAGCTCACCGAGTCTAAGGGAAATAAGAGCATATTTCACAATGGCTGGTGCCTAAAATACACCAAAGGTGCAATTAGACTGAGCTGTACTGTGGCAATAGTCATGTGGATGTAAAGGATGGACCTACTTGCTTACCAAGCGTCTGCTGGAAGGCCAGAGATTGACCCCCTAATAAAGATTATGCCAATTCACTGGATCGTTGTGAATCAAAATCTCACACTATTCTTATACCATTCTTTCTCCTCTTGACCTGCTGACATGAACATTTTATTCTGTTTTGGAATTAAACTTACTTCCTTTTGGCCTTAGAATTTACAAAGGAGCTACTGACTGATTTTTTTTTCACCAGTCTTTTTGAAGATGCACTGGAATGCATTATCACATGGGTTGTAACGTTTCTTATATTTCTTGTCATCTTTAAAGGGTGGTGAATTGTAATAAAATCTTTAAACTTACCCATGATGTCTTGTCTGTCATTTCTTCCAAAATGCAGTCTTTGCATATAATGAATGCATATAACTGGATGCAAAGACTTTGAATGCTCTGTGCACCCATTATTCCTGTCCTCAGCACTCACCTACCAGTTTAAGCCAATTTTCCTCTGAGAAGGGTGGTGAGAAGCCTAACAAAGTGCAGTTATCTAATGAATCACACAGTGCATTACATTGAGCTCAATTGCACACAGTAGGCCACTCATTTGTTTCCATTCTCCCTGACTGCCGGCTTATTGCTATGTTTTTTTGCTGCCGCTGTGTGTTGATGACATATTCACTCTTGAATGTGCCGACTGATATAACACGTCAGTAATAAATGATCCGAACATTTGTTTTGCTTTATTAGTGTCAGTCCACCACATTTTCCCATGTACCTAAGCCTTGCATTTGATATAGTGCCTTGTCACTGGTGGGACGTCTCAAAGCGCTTCACAGGATACGCTGTAACGTGTAGTGACTGTGTATTAACCAGTTGAGAGCAACGTGGATTAAACTCCTCTTTAGGAAATGCACCTTTTCCAATCCTGGGTTGAGTGCGGCTCAGTCAGGGCTGAGGCCGCGCAGGGAGTCCTGTACTGCAGCCTGACAGTCACTACACTTAGCAGCGAACCTTGGAGCTTCAGACCACAAAGAGCCGTAGCCCCGCCCAGTGTGGGAGGGGTGACATGCGGTCACGCCTAAGGTGCGTGCGCAGCCCCCTATCCTCGCCAATCGCACTGCACTTCCTCACGCGCCACCAATCAGCGGCATCCACGCGGAGCCGGTGGGGCGGACGGAATGATTGACGGCTCCGCCGACCGATCAAAAGACGACGCGGAGTGGAGTGACTGCTCACGCGGCCAATCAGAGTGCGAGGCGGGGCGCTGGGGCCTCTGAGCCAATGAACGCGTGCGGGAGGCGTGGCTGTTCCGGAAAGGGGGCGGCGCGCGCACACCGGGTCACGTGAGGCGGCAGCGGCGGAGCAGCGGGTAAGTGGCCGCCGCCGAGGTTCGTCCGCTGCGGTTTGGGGACCGACCGTCAGATCCCGTGTCTCAGCGGCGGAGCAGCGCAGCGCAGCTCAGCGGAGGCCGGCGGCGGGGTCCGGGCCGGCGCCCGGGTTGGTCAGTGTCCGGGGCCGAACTGCGAGGGGCCGGGGACAAGGTCAGCGCCGCGCTGCGGCCCACTGTCCGCCCCGAGCCCTGCGCGCCGCGTGTGTGCACTTCCCCTCCCGACGGCCGCGGTCGCCCCGAGTGGTTCTCACCGCGGGTTGTGACTCGCGGTGAATGGATTCCGGCGGGAAGTGAAAGCGGAGCCGTCGGGGCTGTGGCGGCCGATGCGCGGCGGCGGGAGGCGGGAGGCGCCGCATTGTGCTGGAGCGGGAAAGGCGGTCCAGCGCGCAATGGCCTCTTCTGCTGCAGTATTTCAGCCGAATTTACATCGCACACAACTCGCCCCCAACCCTTTGCTCTAATTCACCCGCACTCGGGCAGTGCGGAGGGAATGGCGCTCGGGGCCGCCCCGAGGCCGACACTCCGCTACACACCGCAACTCGGCCCATTCCGCTCGTTTCTAATTAGAAAACTGCTGTTGGGCGGCGGTTTGCGCCGCACGTGTGACCCGCGGATCAGTCCCAGTGCCGCCGCCTCGAGTCGGGGGATTAATTGGGGCTGATGACAGCTTCTTACATTTGATGTATAAAGCGCTCTGAGGCGCCGCCCGGCGTGGGGGGCGCTGTATACATCCAAGTTGTTGTTGTTGTAGCGCTGAACCTCTTACATCAAACATCGGTCAACCTTCACAGGCAACTGTAGTGACTGCATTGGGGGAGGAGTGGGTGAGACGTCTCTGATTGTGAATGTTCTGTCAGTCTTCGCTTTTGCTGAGATTCCCTTCACTGCCCTCAGAATTCTGAATGTATGTGGGTGTGTGTTCAACATAACGCCGTGTGAATCAAATGCTCCGCGTTAACTCGATGCGTTAAGATCCTGAGCAACACAATCGTGATTTGTGGTAAAGCGGTTTACAATTAACTGTTCCTTGACAGTTGCAAATGTTGTTTTGGACTTTCCCATTAACACTGGGGAAATGCAACCATGTGCTGTGGATAGGCCAAGATTGAATCCTGTACTTTTTCTGTAAACTGTCTGCAGTTCAGGGCCCTTGGATCATGGACAAAGACAATTGAGAAAGAATTGCTTGTGAGGGATAAAACTTCTAGCAAGTGTGCACCCCAGTTGGTTAAATTAATGAGCAATCCAGATAAGGGTTGCTGTTTAGTGAGCACACTGTGCTGTGACTATGTGTGGTGTTCAGGTGAGGAGAGGATTGCGCTGCCTGCAATTCCCTTCACTCTGGTTATACGGTCTGTTGGCCTTCATTGTTGAGGTGAAACACGAAGAATGGGCTCTTGGGTGAGGTCCTGTAGTGTCACAGCTGCCCGTAGAAGCACATGGCAGCATGAGTCAGGATTTTCTGCAGAGGGAAAGACTGGCCGAATGACTTGACAGAATGAAGAGACCAAAAAATGGAGAAAAAAAATTAAGGAACCTTGAAGCAGATTTAGGTCAACTTGTTTTTGCAGAAGTGTGGATTTAGTCCTCGCAAGTTCTGATAGCCTGTTCTATTGTGGGAGGCCACCGAGCAAGTGGAAGGCATTGAGGAAAATAATTCCTTTGGGTGTTGAGCATTATTTGGCAGTTGGATCACAGACCTAGGAGGGTGCAGTCACTACATTGCAAAGTTAGGCTGTAGCAATTTATGGAAATGATTCTTCTAGTATCAGTTTAATAATACATTTTGCTGCTGTGGTCAATTTCCTCATGTATGCAGATGACACCCAAATCTTCTTCTACAGTTGCAAATCCACGACCACTGATGTTCTGTCAACTTGTTTGTGGAACGGACATCAAGGCCTGGATGAGCTCAGACTTCCTGCAGCTTAGCATCTACGAGACAGAAGTCATACTCCTTGGCTTCTGTCAACATTTTCTCCTGTGGCTCTGATCTCAACCTCCCCTGCCTTTCCTTAAGACGTACCGGACCTGTACGTAACGTGGGTGTCAGGTTCAATCCTCAGGTTCCTTCCTATCCCACATCCGGTCCCCCACTGGATCCCTTTCACAGAACGGGTTGACTTCAAGATCCTCACATTCGTCTACAAATTCCTTCATTCCCTGGCACCTCCCTATCTCCGACCTCCACCACCCAGGCTCTGAGACACGGCTCCTCATAAAGGGTGCTACATAAGTAAAAAATGTTCTTGTTGTAATCGGTGCTTCCTGAAACCTCCAGTTAATAACGGAATCGATGTTGCTTTTTTAAATTAGTACCTTCCAGGTGGGAACCTTCTAAGAGATTCGTGCATTTGCGTTTCAATGAAACCTGAGTAGTGTTTCCAACATAACTAAGTGGAGGCTGCACAGTATCCAGTGAGGGCTGGGTTCATTCCCGCTCACTGAGTGAGGGAATATGGGGGTGGGGGGGAGCAATTTTTTCTCTTTTGGTTGAGTAACAAAGCTTTGTAGGATGGTTAGTTATTGCCTTGGATGGGGGAGGGGAGTAAGAGAGAAAAGTAATCCCCCATCCCCATAAGTAGCTTTGTTAAGGGATAAAATGTTACGGGATAGCTGCTTTGAATTAGATTGACATTTTGTTTAGACCTAATATTTGTCTCTTCACTCACAAAACACTGACTAACTCATTCAAATGTGGCCACCAGGTTTGGACATTGCTTGGTTAATATTCTGTTAGCTGGTTATCTATGATTAAGTGAGAAGTTTAGTGCAAGGCTTACTCTTGTCAATCTTTATCCCACCAGAAAGAAATCACATCAAGTTGTCCCTTGTTCTCGTTGCTCAGCTAACATTATTTTAAGCCCTCGGGTGGGAACCATTGTGCACAAGATGAAGTACTAGAGGCATTCTCGCTGCCACTTGACATACCATGTGATGATTCCTCTTGCAATGACCAGTAGGAACATTAGTCAGAGCGTTGGCCTACATGAAAGATGCTATATAAGTGTATGTTGCTGAGAATATTGTGATAGACCAACCAGGACATGGCAACTGTAATGCCCTAAATTCTTGTTGATATGTTAGCTGAAATGTCTTTTCATGAACGTTGACTAATTTATCCGCGTTAGGGCTCTTGTATTGATTTTGAAAGCGATTTCAGAGTGTTATTGCCACTGAACATCTGATAGCTGGCATTGACACCCTCATTCCGTTTCAGGTCAGCCATTTCCTGCAAATAAAGTTCCTATTCCTAACTGATGCAGTCACATGAGATAGGTACCTGTCAGTAGCCTATAACTATTCTTGAGACTGCACTTTCCTCTATACGGTGCTGACTCATGCAAAGTGACATGGGCACTGACCTCACTGAATGGCTGTGGGGGACAATTTTCATTTGATAGCGTTTCATTAATTAGTCCATAATAAATCTGTAGACAAACCAGGTAACCATTTGTGCCAGGAGAGATCCACAAACGATCAAGAGGATGGTTGGGAGATGCTGCTTTCTCTTTTCTAACAGTGCTTCCTCTTTTCTAACCGTGTCATGGATGTTTAACGCTACTTGAACAGGCAGATGGAGGATATAATGGGCGGCATTTACTTTGCTCAGTCAATGTTTCTGAATGTCGATTAACTCCTTAATTCATATCTGTTGTAAGATCAGTGAAATATAGGAGCGCCCCACGGAAAGTTATCCTCAGATATGAGCTTTGTAACCTAAATAGTTAATTATTCAGAATTACTAGGCTTTTCACATGGAATCCATTTTTTCCCCTATTTTTCCAAACAACACTAACTTCAAACAACATCTCTTTAGATCAGTAAATTGGCCAGTAATAATTTGAAGTCTTCCAGCAGAGTAGAGGTGTGCTGATGGCTCGTGTTTGATTTACTATACTCACTTCATTGGTTTGGGTGCCGTGCTAATACATCCCTGAAAGCCAGACATCACAAATAAATTTCTATAATCTGTTCATTCCATTGTGAATTGAGTTCAGTAAACCTGTTTCCTTTCCTCCACCTCCCCCCCCCCCCCCCCTCACAAAAAATACAGGGTGTGATAATGTGTTCACAATTGTATTCGGTGAAGGAAGAGCACTGAAGTGTTTAGCTATCATACCGTGATCAATGACAAACATGTTTAGATGTTGTAAGGAAACTGCACAACACTGGTGACTGAGTGGGTAATTGCATCACATTTACTGACTTCTGTCTAATTATTGCTCCATGCTGTGTCAGCATTCCCAGGCCTGGGAGTGGGACTTGACTAGTTCTTCAGTGCCCTCTGCTGAAATGTGTGGATGTTGCAGCAAATGGAACCCAATTCCATCCTTCAGAATAAGTTGTAGAGAGTGGGGGCGCGGGAGCAGAGAAAATGTACTGAAATTGTCCTGAAATCAACATTGGTCGATAGACCGTTTTAGTCCCAGAATTATATACTTCAGCAAATGTCATATCTTGTTTCACCTTTCAATGCTCTGTGCCCTACGTTGGTTGAGGTTTTGTACATGCTCTCTAGCTTTGACAACCTGCTCCACCCCCTGTAGTACTGTGGGGTCCTGGGGCGGGAGAGAAGGCGGCTGTGCTCCATTCCCCTTGTGCTGGTGCCCAGTGTGTACACAGTTCAGCTGTACCTGACAGTTAACATTTATGCAGCAATCTTTGACTTGCAAATCAGAAAGCACCGTCTTTGGAAACTTGCCTGTGATTGTTGTTTTCCTCCTAATTTTCCTTCCCCTAAGGGACACCGTTTGCTTTTTACTCAGGGTACAGTTCTATCAGTGCACGTTTCCCTTTGATACCCGTCCTTCACATGCGGATATTTGCAGGCTATTTGTCACAAAACTAACCTGATCTTAATCTGACTCAATCTACATGTCCTGTCCAACAAGGGTCTTCAGATAGTAATTCTGGGTTGGTTTCAGGTTGGTTGTTCAATGTTTTCACCAGTGGAAGGAGAGGGTAACAGTCGTTGCCTCCTGCGTAACAGGAAGTGTTTTAATGATACTGGAATGGATCAGGCAGCTCCTCTCATAAAACCAATGGCCTAATACTAAAACCACAATCGAATCTTATTGAGCTCTACATGTGTAAACATGTTTTCTGAGCTTCATTTTACTTTGAGGAGGAATCCTTTTAACATTGGATTTTATTTTAAATGCTTGTAGGAAGAGTAGGATGCAGGGGAATGGTATATGCGTTAATTGCAGCTGATTTAATGGTGACTACTGAGCGTGTGTGTCTATTCTCAGTTTGTAAAGACTACAGGGGGAAATGAGCCAAAATGTAAAAAAAGAAATTCCTTTACCTTTCTCAGAATATGGAGCTGAAGCTGTGGCTGTTGGTGTTATTGCTGGCGATCGGGTCAGTTACTCTCCGTGCTGAAGATGATGAGGATGACATTGTTGAAGATGATGATGAGACTGCAGTAGAAAGCGAACGAGAACCGGAGCCCAGCCCCCCTCCAGCTCCCAAGGTGAGGTTCATTATTTTATACAATAAAATCATAGAAAGTACAGCACAACAGGAAGCCATTTGGCCTATTGAGCCTGTGCTTGTGTTAGGTTCTTATATGTGGAGTCAGCATTTCTAATCTTAATTAGGTACAAAGTCCCCTAATTTTCTCCGGTAGGACCTAGGCTGGAGTATTGTGCCACAAGTTATTGTCTTCAATGAGTGCAACTGTAGTAGAGCCCTGTTATAAGAAGGCAGTCAGAGGTCCATGCAATTCTAACCAGCGTTATAATGGGGTACGATTGTCATTCGGCGCTTCTGCATTTCCTGTGCATGCAGAAAGTCAGCTCTTCACATGCTAAGATTTTTTTAGTTAATTAATGTTGGGGTCCACACCCATTTGTGCTATTTACAAACCTGTATCATCATGAAGCACTATAATGGAGTGAATTCAGTAATAAAAATGTGCACCTCTTAGGATCGTTTGTAGTATCAATGCAGCACTACTTTTCAAATAAAAACACTTAATTTGTCCTCTTGCTACTTTTCAGGTTACCTACAAAGCCCCTGTTCCAAGTGGAGAGGTGCATTTTGCAGAATCATTTGATAAGGGCACCCTGGAAGGGTAAGAGAAGGCCCTTACTTTGTGTATGTCCATGGGAAATCTATAGTGTTCCTACTGTATAGTTCCTGCAGATTTAAAGAGCAATTATCAAAGCAATCTGTTGCCATCCATGACCATATGCAGATATTGGATATAGAAGTAGTAGGAGGTTGGTAGAGCTGCTTTAAAATGCACTTAGAATGATCTCACTAAGCTGGTTCCATTTTGCCTGTTTGCTGTGTCAGCTGATTTTGTTCCGCCAGGTGATATGCAGACAACGATGCAACTGAGTTTGAGGCAGTCTCAGTCACATTCATGGGCTGACAGTACAAAACTGATCCTAGCTGGCAATGTCATCCAAAGGGAAATGGTGAATGTCAGAAGTAGGGGCACTCTTCTGAGGTTGGGGTGAGGCATATAGTTTGAACGAGCAGAAGAAGCTTTTGCTGTAACTGACTTCTCAACTTGACATTGATTCGATTGGGTGATTTGCACCCAAACTGGGTGTCTCTGACACAACCTGGTTGACTTGAGGATTCAGTGTAAACTGTCTTAGAATTGTACAGCTGAAGCATTCACAAGCTGACAACAACAAATTGCACTTGTATAGTGCCCTTCACGTTGGAAAGACGTCCCAGGGCGCTGGACAATCAGGGGTTTTGATTATACTGACATAGCATAAACAAATAAAATGTGCACTTCAAATATATTACTTCATTGTCTTGAAATGCCTTCAATTCAAATTGACCTACATATCTGCTTGAATCTGATGACTTTCTTGTCACTGATCTTTTTTGTGAAACTTCATGAAGTATAGTTTTGTTCTAATTCCTGATGGGGTAAGGATGGGAAACAGAATGTTTCTCCACTTTGAACATTACTATCAATTGGTATAATGTGGACAGCAGAAGCCTGTGCCTCAACCTTGGGAGAAACTTTCTCAACTGAACCAGTGCTGAATCATTTCAGTTGTAATCCCTGGCCTTTCTGAATGAGACTGGGACGTCCACCCAACGTGAAAGGCGGTAGACCAGTATAATTTTGTTGTTGCATATTTGTACTAAGTTGAGGGCAGTTGTTTGCTCTGGACTTGTTCCTGCTGGCAACTTGTTTGAAGGACCCATGACTTGTGCGAGAGACTAATCCTTATTGTTCCCCTTAAAAAAATAGTGTTCTTTGTGACAGAGTACAAATTAATTTTAGTTCCATGCCTGAGGATAAATAATCTTATCAGAAATTTTGAGCTGGGAGTTGTATTTGAAGCAGCGGCTAGGAATAAGTTTTATTGGGCGTTAAATACCAAGTCCATAACTCTTCTCACCTGCCCAACTTCAGCAAAGTTGCTACTGGCTACTGATGACAGGATACACATGATTGACCAAGATTTTATTGAACTACTTTTAATGCAAAATGTTTGAAATCATTTTAATTGGGACGATCAGCATGAGATGTTTGGGGTGGATAGAAAAAGTACATTTTAACATAAATGTTGACTATGCAATGCATCCTAAAAGCTAAACCCAGATCCTTTAGATTGAAATCTATCTGGAACGATGTGCCAGTTTCTATACTGAACTACAATTCCAAAAATTGAGGTTATAATACATGGTGTTCTTCCCTGCGAAGGGAATTCAGTAGATCTTAAGACGAGCAGGATACCTTGCGCAATTGTGGGACTTTTTCGGAACAGCGATTTGCCAATTGATGCATTGTTCTATTTTTGCCATAGTTGGGTTGTGTCGAGAGCGAAGAAGGAGGATACAGATGAAGATATTTCCAAATACGATGGTAAGAGCATTTTCTCTGTTTGTACAATGTATAGTTGTATAACTTCTACTTTAGCCGACCTGAATCACAGCAGTTCATACTGTATAGCTTGGCTCATAGTTTGGGATAACGATGACTTACGTGTTTACTTATTAAATGATTTAGTTACAAGCTAAGCATTGGAATTCATACATAATTATTCATGTTCCTCCCAGTTGAAGATATATAGAGGTTAGTTATTATGATGGCAAAAATAGATGAAATAAATTGTTTTTTTTAGGGAAGTGGGAGGTGGAAGAAATGCGTGAGACTAACCTTGCTGGGGATAAAGGGCTGGTTCTCAAATCTCGTGCTAAGCATCATGCTATCGCTGGCATACTGAAACGACCCTTCGTTTTTGACACCAAGCCACTAATTTTACAGTAAGTGTTCACTTTATTTAAATGCCTGTAGGTTTAGAACGTTTCTAGTAATGGGAATGGATGCTCTGTGTTCCCCTTCAACCTGAATGTCTTGTGAAGCAATTGCTTTGAATATTGAACCAAAGTTTCCAAGGGATGCTTCTGTTGGTTTGTTAATGATAAACCACCTGAGCACAAATTAATGAAATATTTGAAAATGTTAATCTGCTAATATGATCTATTCTGAGCACTGTAATGTCATTTCATTCTTGGGAGCCAGGTGTGAGTCCAGCTCTGATTGCCTGAATGGAAATCCTGTTCTAATAGCTCTGGAGGCGACATGAGATCCATATTTGAGCCTGGACCACAGTGAACCTCAAATCTTGTATAAAAGTTGCAGAATACAAACTGCCTTTAGTGAATTTTTAAAATTATTTTTCCAGGTATGAAGTGAATTTTCAGAATGGAATTGAATGTGGTGGTGCCTACATAAAGCTACTCTCAAAAACCAAAGATTTAGTGCTGGTGAGTGGGGTTCTGTTGTGCGGTTCACATTCTGAATCTGAATCTCCTGTTTGTACTGGTTCAATTCTAAACTACTGGGAATTTTTTGGTGGTTCATTACAATTTTGACACCATTCCCTGATATTTATACATTTGTGGAAAAAGTGCAACAACTGTATGTAAACACTGAGGAAGCACACATGTAACAGTGGGATTTTGGACAAAAGGATCACTAAATATTTGATATGATAAAAATAGATTGGAAGCCTGAGGAGCTTGAATATTGAGAGTTAATACAGTGTAACTACATCTACTTGGTTTCTACAATGGCTCAGTGTTTCAATGTGGTGTGTACCACTTAGCCATCAAAGCTGAACAGGACAGTTTAACTACAGATCAAACAATCACTCGCACTGGATTAATTGGGCTGGATTTCTGAACTGTGTGTATAACAACAACAACTTGCACTTATTATAGCGGCTTGCACGCAGGGGAGTGTCTCAGAGCGCTTAACAGTGGCGAAGCCTGACTGAGCTGGGGTGGAAGTGGCCGTAAGCATGGTTGAACAGGAAGCTTTTCAGGCAGGACTTGAAAAAGGGGTGAGAGTGGACAAGCGGAGGGATTGAGGGAGAATGTTCCAGAGCTTTGGGGCCTAGTGGCTGAAAGTGCGAGCTCCATTGGTGGGGCGGAGGGTGCGAGGGACAAGCAGGAGCCGGTGCCAGTTGAGCGGAGGCGCCGGGATGCGGACTGGGGAGTTAGGAGGTTGGAGAGGTAGGGAGGTGCCAGAAAGGGAAGGGATTTGAACATGAGTGCGAGGATTTTTTTATATATATATTTGATGTATGAGGTTTAGGGAAACTGGAGTATCCAGTGTAAGTTTCTGGCTAGAGGGGAGTTGGATGTGTGTCAATAAGTAGTTTGACTGGTTTTGATCTGTGCTTTTTATTGGGTACTTTGCCAACTCTATTATACTGCAACAAAAGCAGGAATATTACAGCATTCAAGGGGAAAAAAGAGAGTGATGTGGAGGATTCTGGTCAGCTATCAGGGTGTTGGTCCCCATTGATTTAAAAAAAAATGCTGCTGCTCAGCACACAAATCGTCTCCTCCAGTTTTGCCTCTTCAAGAAAGACCTGACCAGTTTCCACAATTCTCAAACTGTAGGAAATTTCACTTATGGTACTGAAGACTTAAACATCTCCTGAAAGCTAAGAGAAAGATGTGTACTTTTGAATAGACTGCACTTGACTGGACATTGTTCCTTCAGTGTGATTACTTAGCTGGAGGTGGATTAGCTAAATCAGATCATAATGTTACTGGTTCATACCTGTCGCATTCTCCACTCTAAAATCCAAATTGTTGACATGAAGTACATCTCTAAGGAGTGGAGTATGCAATTAACTACACCGTAGAAATAATTCCCTATAGTTTCTGTGGCTGTCACTTCCAACACTTCATCAGTGCCTTCGGTATGATTTTACTTGCTTAGTGTGCTCTTCTGATATCAAATTGATGTTTTGTCCCTTAATGTACCAATGTTTCAAGAACAATTTTAATGAACACTTTTGATGGAGGTGATGACATCTGATGCTCTTCACTACAATGTTCTGAGGATTCTTTGTCTTCAATTAAATGGGCTTCAAAGGCTATTTATTCTAATATGGAAATACACTCTTATCTTTGTAGGAAAAATTCTATGACAAAACCCCATATACCATCATGTTTGGACCAGACAAATGTGGTGAAGATTACAAACTGCACTTCATCTTCAGACACAAGAACCCCAAAACTGGCGAGTACGAGGAGAAACACGCAAAACGCCCAGACGTAGATCTTAAAACCTATTACTCGGATAAGAAGACTCACCTCTATACACTAGGTACTGCTGAACAAATGACTGTGTTATTCTTAAAATTCTTGTTAATCAGCCTCTTCTCCCCTTCCCCAGGAATGGTGGATCTGAATCTCTCCAACTTGGGGATACTAGTTTTGCTATTGTAACTCGTCCAATAGAAGCTTACAGTGGAGCAATATGAGCCAAAGATTTGCTCTTCGTCCCATCTTTATGTATAGTTGAGGGTTTTGCTGTTCTGGGGCCTCCGGTGTGCATGGCAGTGGAGAATAGTTTTGTGTATAAATCCGTGCCTTCTCCTAATCTCTCATCCTGTCTTTAGAAGGTGGAATGTGTACACAATAAAATTGTTTTGAAAACTTCCACTGATTGTATAATTTTGTTTTCTTTCCTTCTTGTAGTGCTCAATCCTGACAACTCGTTTCAGATACTGATAGATCAAACAGTTGTTAACAGTGGAAACCTTCTGGAAGATATGACTCCTCCTATTAACCCGGCACAAGAGATTGAGGATCCCGATGATCAGAAACCAGAAGACTGGGATGAAAGGCCTAAAATTGCTGACCCTGATGCAGCGAAACCTGATGACTGGTTAGTAGTGAGTTTGGGGTTTTGCACAGTGAAATAGATTTGAAATGCAGGTGTGCATCATGTACAATTTCCACTTTTCATAGATTCATAGAATGTTACGACACAGAAGGAGGCCATTCGGCCCATCGAGTCTGTGCGGGTCTTTGACAGAGCGTCACTTTCTAACCCCAATCACCAGCTTTCTCCCCATAACCCCACAAACCCGTCTTCCCCCGATACCTATCCAGTTCTCCCTTAAAAGCTGTTATCGAATCGGACTTCACTGTCCTTTCGGACGGATCATTCCAAATTCTAACAACTCACTGAGTGAAAACATTTCTTCTAACCTCCCCTCTGCTTCTTTTGGTGATATCTTCAGACTGTGACCGCGGGTCACAGACACACTGACCAGTGGAAACAACTTTTCCCTATCTCGCCTGTCACAACCTTTCATGATCTTGAAGACCTATCAGGTCTCCGTGTAACCTTCTCTGCTCTAATGGGAAAAGTCCTAACTTCTCCACTGTCCTCATAGCTAAGGTTCCCCATTCCTGGTATCATTCTCGTGAATCTTCTCTGCACCCTTTCCAGTGCCTTAATGTCCTTCCTGAAGAAAGGTGCTCAGAACTGGAAGCAGTACTGCTGAGGCCTAACCAGTGTTTTGTATAGATTAACCATAACCTCCCTACTCTTGTACTCTATGCCCCTACTAATAACGCTCAGTACACCAAATGCCTTTTTTACTGCCTTATCTACCTGCCCCGCTACCTTTAATGATTCGCTTACTTGAACACCCAGATCTCTCTGTACGTTCACCCCCCCTTAAGATTGAGCTCCAAGTCTATATTGCCTCCTATCATTTTTCCTACCTAAGTGTATCACCTCACACTTATCCACATTGCAATCCATCTGCCACATGTCAGCCCATTCCACCATGTCACTTTTAACATAGTTTCAAGGTGACTTTACCCATCGTACACCTATTAAATTTGTTTTGAATTACAAAAGCTAGGATGGTCTGAGAAGGAACACGCACCACCAGCAGCCACTGAGCTCAAAAACAAGGAATACAGCATATGATATGTCCACAAGATCTTCAAAGAGCCCAAATGACGCAAGAAGCTGCTGAATGCTGATCAGAAGACTGGTGGGCTCACTAGGTTGAGTTGCCAGGCTGGTTATCTTTGTAACACAGTTTGTTTATGCTAAACTAGACACACATCACTTCTATGCTGGAAGGTTTGAGGGTTTTAATCTGATTTATCGAGTGTCTGTTCACAGGGATGAAGATGCTCCTGCTAAGATTCCAGATGAAAATGCCATGAAGCCTGAAGGCTGGCTGGATGATGAGCCCGAGTATATTGCTGACCCCGATGCAGAAAAACCAGAGGACTGGTAGGTTTAGCTTAGTTTGTCTTCTGCGTTTAGATGCTGCACTTATACCAGTTTATGAATGTTTTAGTATTGATTGTGTGCAGATGATGTGTTTGCCTTGCAGAAACTAACTGAGGTGGGGCTGTTGCCGCATGCTGTCTGTGTCAGTGTAATGGGTTTAATTCAGGGGTTGGCTGCCATAACATGAAAATCCAGCATCATGTTTACTATTTTTTAGGTTTTATTTTCAAGCATGAAAAACTAGCAAGTGAAGCTGCTGTTGGGTCTGGTGCCAAACAGCACATTAAAATTAAATGCTGTAAAATATGCTTTGCTTAACTGTGAAAACGCCACTGCCCATATTTTGTTGCTAATACAGCAAGAAACCTATTGCCAGAAAATCTCTTCAAATCAAATGCGGGGATTCTTCCTATTCTGCTGATTTAGATCATTGTTCAGAGCTTGGAACAAAATGCTACTGTTACACATTTTATGTTTTCTTCCTATTTAGGGATGAGGATATGGATGGTGAGTGGGAGGCTCCTCAGGTTTCGAATACGAAGTGTGAATCTGCTCCCGGATGTGGGCAGTGGAAAGTGCCGATGATCGATAATCCAGATTACAAGGGTAAATGGAAGGCCCCAATGATCGACAATACCAACTACCAGGTGCTGTTAGATTTTAAATGTATTTGAATTGTATTTTGACCCTTCTTTAACACAGTGTACAATAATGAATATTTAGATATTCTTGTGTTCTACAATGGCATTTACTTGCATCCAGTCTCAATTGACTTTGTTACAGATTCTAATATCGTCATTGCTGATCAATGGTACATTTGTAATTTCAACCAGCTTTCTGACCTCTACTTTCTCGTTTAGGGTGTCTGGAAACCAAGGAAGATCCAGAATCCAGACTATTTTGAGGATTTGCATCCGTTCAAGATGACACCCTTCATTGCTGTTGGCTTGGAGCTGTGGTCCATGTCATCTGATATCTTCTTCGACAACTTCATCATCACCACTGACAAGGCAGTGGCTGACCAATGGGGCAATGATGGTTGGGGTCTGAAGAAAACAGCTGAGGGCGCTGCTGAGGTATGGAGTAAATGCAGTTAACAATCCAATAAATCCCAAACATTTCACTTGTATTAATTTATCCTCTTCTCACTCTTGCTATTTCTTGGCGATCCTCCCTAAAAAAAAACACACACTTAGCCCTGCACCTTAGATCAATTGCCTCTTTTTTTCCCCACTAATGTGTTAAATTAGCTTAACCTTGTGTTGTTTGCAGCCTGGAGTAGTGGGACAGCTGATGTCTGCAGCAGAGGAGCGTCCATGGCTATGGGTTATATACATCCTGATTGTAGCCCTCCCTGTGTTCCTGGTTATTGTATTCTGCTGTACTGGAAAGGTAGGAAGCTTTGTCTTGCGGAGAAGCAACAGATGATTTGTATAATCTCCCCCCTGCCGAGTCCTTCTCCATTAATATATCATAATGCAGCGTTGCCATGTATATTCCATTACTTGATTCATAGTTTAGGTTTCATTTAATGAGATCTAGACTGATTAGTTCCATACCAAAATGTAATACCATAGGCTATAAAATTAGTTTTGCTGTTTGTAGTTAAGTAAAGAAAGGTTTACCTGCTGAATGTGGGTAACCAGATTTATTAGTCATCGGAGCTCAGGTATGCAGTTTAATTTGATTGGACATTCTCAGGTGTAATTGAGGCCAGAAGTGTAGGTTTTCTAAGCCCTGTAGAACATTTCAGCAGGAAGAATTCTGCAAGTTAGTTTTGGCTGAACAAGATGTGACAGGGCTCACTGAAGGATCATTTCAGTATGTAATAGCTTCCAAACTTCACGCATAGTCTACTTGGTGAGTAGAAACAGCAAAAGCTTCCAAGTTCTCCTTCTGCCCTGAATCAGATGATTCACATAATACTCGGAAACCAGTGAGTCTATGTACTCTGCTTTTTTGTCAGTCTGTGGGAGAGCACAGAGAATCATTTGTTCACCAACAAATATACATCCACTGCACTTTGAGATGTTTAATGTTTGAAAGCACTAGTTGAGGATTTTTTGATTATATGTACAGTGCATTCACCTCATGTTCAGCATGGTCCTAGGCTACCTGCAGGTGTAGTTTAAAAAGTTCAAACTGTGGCCAATGTACAAGATTCAATCTCAACACTCGACTCAAATAACTGGAATGGGCTGACGCTCTGCTACTCGTTGCATAATATTATCTTGGGTGTTGTCGAGGCAGACATTGACTCCACCTTGAAATGGTTGCTTCTTGAAGACCTGTTGTAAAATTACTTAATTAACATAAGGCTGTATAAAGATCGTCTGCTTATTTAGGCATTTTGTGGGATGAAGCTTGTATCGACTGTAAAAGTTGGTTGTTAGGGATATCAGGATTGCATTCCTTCCTGACTTATATTTTGTAGCCCTCATAAGGTAAGTTCATGAAAATATGTTTGATCCTGATCTTAGAAACGTAACTTTGTAGATTTTGTTGAGACAGGTACATTTTGAGGCATTTCCTGCTCTAGGTAGGTTCAGATTCAGAACTTATCATTGGACTATTTGTGTTTGCATTTGAAGCTTTACAGATGCCAGATCTGGGTGCAATACTTAGTTGTACTTTAGGTGTTGGTCATCAGAATGAAGTTAGAATTAAAATCCTTCATTGTAGAAAGACGCTGCTGCTGAGTATAAGAAGACAGATGCACCACAGCCTGATGTGAAAGAAGAGGAGGAAAAGGAAGAAGAGAAGAAAACAAAACTAGAGAAAACAGGCAAGTTAACCAAGACCATTGGCAGATTTGGTGGGAATTCCTTTTAGATATAAGAAACCAGCCCCTGACAAATATTGTGCTTAAGCAGTTCTGACATTCATTGATCAATTCATTGACATTCATTGTATATCTCCTGTTATTGGCTTGTGTGATTGGAGCCAATGCAAATGTATGCCAGAGCACACTACAGCCTTCAAGGATTTGTGGGGAATGGGGAAATGCTCTTATGATGCATTCCTTGTTATCAGTCCTTGTGTAAGCCTATAGAATTTGTGTTCCTTTGTGAGACTGTATAAATCTAAGAGTGTTCCGATGATTTTAATGTTTCTGCAGAAGAAGAAAAGCAGAGTGATGTGGAAGACAACCCTGTAAAAGCAAAACAGGAGGGTGATGAGGAGGAGGAGGGCAAGGAAGAAGAGGATGCCGAGGAGGAGGAGGAGGATGAGGACGAGGAGGAAGAGGAGGATGAGAAGGGTCAAGGTGACGAGCGCAGTGAAGAGGTAAATTGTTGAAATTTACTTATTTCATTTTGTTTGGCATAGCCCAGGTTAGAAAAAAAATCTTTAAACAGCCAGCAGGTTTTGATTTATTCAGCTTTTGTCATTTGATGTATTTGTGCAATGGTAACTTGATTAAATCATACAGTGTAAACTCTGTTATTATGTGTTTTGGTTTAGTGTGCAGTCGCAAGAGGCCTCCTAATATCCAGGGGCATCCAGCACAGGTTGCTGGACACCAGGAGATTTTCTGCAACTGTGCACTAAGTAATCTGGGCAGCCTGTATTTATCTTTTTTGAAAGGAGGAACAGATTAATGAAGATTGTGTTTATTCACCCCAGTTCTAATTATGTTGAATATAGAATGAAACTGAAAATTTAAAAGCTGATGTGATTAAGATTGCAGTCCTATCTAACATGTGGGCATTTGCATTGCAGAATAAAGATGATTCATCACCATCGCCAAGGAATAGAAAACAAGGAAAGACTGCAGAAGCACCTCAGTAACATCACCCAGTAATGCTGAACTTTTAGGGAGACCACCATGAATGGAAATATAGGGAGCTGAAATTCTACAGAATTACATGAAACTAGATTGTGCACAAGAAAAAGAAACTCGCCACATTGGCCAAACACTATGTAGACCAGGTCATTGTAAGTTTTGAGCAAGGACTGTAATCTGAATCGAAATATACTTTAAAATGAGTTTCCTGCTTTTTGGTGAAAGTGCTATACTGTTACAACCTTCAAATCAATTCCAGATATCTGCCAAAATATTTTCAGGCTTGCTAAATAAAATTTTAAAACATTAACTGCCTAATTAAGGCGATGGATGTAGTGCGGAACAGGCATTTGTATACTGTGTACAGACAAAATCCCCAAATGGCTCAACTGAAAAATACAACAGATCAAAATTTCCGTGTGCATAACAAAAAAAATAGAATGCCATGTCACACAGAAGCAGAAATTCTCCACTATGTAAGAATTTGATGTATGGGAGCAATGAAGAAGCAAGAGTAGTTGGCTATGCTTGTATACCATGCTTCATTGCTTTGCATTTACTCCTAAACCTTCCTGAGGAAACTTGCCAAGTGAAAGCTGAGAACATTTGTTTCAGTTTTTGTGATGCTGTGTAGTGTTATTGGAGATTAATAATCAGGTAGGCCAAAAAAGTTTTCCTTTCAAAACAATTTAAGTATTTTAAGACCAATGTCTCTAGGACTGTACTTTCTTCTCTAAACATTCTGCTTTTCCCCTTTGTGGCAAAAGTTTCACTAAATTATGCTTAAAGGAACTTTGCTTCGATCTACATTTACATTTTTAGTAACACTTTGAATTTTCTAACCAATCCCACTAATTTGAAACATAAATCACTGAATTTAGCAGTTACAATAGCTAATAAATATATGATTATGTAACAGTCACAATGGTAATTGGCCTATCCCACCCTCACACAAATGGTCTTTGAATAATTTTGTATGTGTATTGTGGACCTGATTGGTCTTGTTAACAGAACAGACTAAACCCAACTTTTTTGCCTCTTAAAAAGTTAACGCTCTGATCTCTGTCCTGCCTATTGTATTTTTTTCACTAACCAGGGAAATCCAATGCTGGTATAAGATTGATATCAATGTTTTTACTTAGAACAATTACTATTGCTATCAAAATAGAGTGAAAAATGGAAACCACGTAGAAAGTTAGTGTTTACATAATCTAGCATTTCGATTCTTTCATGTTTCTCTAGTTTAAGGTAGTGATCTCTGAATGCATTACACATAAATCTATAATTTTTCTAAATATAAAAATCTCATCCCCACCTCATGGTTGGTTCACTTTTGTTTCCTGTATTGTTACTTCATTCAAACTGAATGCAGGGCTATTTTTACATTAAGCACCTGTTTATTTGCAGATCTATCTTTAGTATTTTGTGTGTGTTTGATCCTTGATCGGCGAGTTGGATATCTGTGTAGACCTAGCTAGGAGTTTCTAATTCCTACTGAGCACGCCCAGAATTTTGGGATACGTTTTGGACTTGTGTAAGTCTTGTCTATCTAGTTGCTATGAAGGAAATGCTGCAGGTAATATCTGCATTATTTAACTGTTCAGCTGGTTTCCTGGCATAGTTTAGAATTTACACGATACAAAAATGCGTGATTGGGAATTAGAAAGCATTTTTGCAGTGGGGTAAACTGTATGGAATTCAGAGGCCATGAAAACCCTTCCATTCTGCAGTCTCAGTACTATCTGGATGTTCTGGGTTGGGGAATTTGGTTGAATTTGAACCATGTCATTATGGACCAAGAAATGCTTGATGGCACCAATTACAAAGTGGAACATTTTCTAGTACAGATATTGCTCACTGATTGTCACACAATGGTTCGAACAGTGTTTTTCTCAATAACATGGTGCACAGTTAAGAACTATCATTGCAGTACTGATCACTATATAAGCAACTTAATATGATTCTGCAAGTGATCAACAAGCCAATGATTTGGTGGAAGTATGCCTTTAGTAATCGAGCTATTCCAAGTGCAAGTCTTTACTTTTTCAGTTATGAGTTGTGAATCTTTCAAATAGAAGTCTCCTCGATGGTTTATATCTACATTTTCTTGCATTGTATAGGAAATTCCTATCTTAGATGATTGCACACAGAGGTTAAACACTGAAGCAAAATAGAATGCACTGAATGCATATAGTTTTTAGTATTTAGCTTGAATATTTGCACAAAATTCTAACCAAATCCCAAATGTAGACATTTGTGTTCATTCGATGAAAGGTTTTAGTTTATTTGGTCAGTGCTCGTTTTTCCCCACCCTCCAAAAAAAATTGTGAAATTGTTTAAGAATCCTACTACATTACTTAAACCATTCCTACTGTTTAGGCACGGGGGTTGAGAAAGGCCATTCCATCAGTGGAAGTGCCAGAATAAGTAATCAATGCAAAATATAGAATCCCCACAGCAAGGAAATTTTCTGTAACCAGTCAATCTTGCACTGGGTTATTGAATTTAGATTTTAACTGCTATTGAACTAAAGTCAGACTCTTGTTACGTTTTAAATCCAAAAATGGTTGCAGATCTTCACTCCCAGGTTATATTTTAATTATCATTGTGTTCAATTTTTCACTAAATAAATGAAGGCTATTGAAAGTTACCAGTATTGGTAAATGTCCTTCTGACCGTAGTTGCAGAAAAAAATGCTTAACTCCTTGCCCTGAAAATTTGGTGTACTTATACCAATCTGATTATTTTTCTCAACATTTCTGCTACATGTTCTTATGCACTGAATTCAAGTTATTTTTTTGCTACCAGTGTTCAATCTGTTTTGCTGTGTAGGTTGTATGAAAAGATGCATGAGATTCCTATGATGCCCACCTTTTCCTTGATTCTTCCAAGTATGGAGCTTTATAGTTTTGATAATTATCTGCCATATAAATGAATGTAATGGCAAATGTACATTTTTAAAAGTAAGTGATGCAATGCTTCTCATCCCAAACCTATAAAAGCCTATATTCTCTTCTTGATTGCCATCAGAGTACTTTCAAAAATGACTGGGAGAACTAGTTTTGAAATATTACCTTGCATAGATCAGTGTGCTGGCAGCATGATGTAATATTATAGTTCGGCAAATGCTCGTCCATGAACGTTCTGCTCTACTTTGATCTGCAGGTGGCTGAAGTTCATTGAATGTGATGAACAGTGTGGCCAATTTATTTTTTTCTCTCTGCTGTTAAGCTTTATAAGCAGCTAGATTTTGAAAATTAGTAAATTTGTCACATATTGGTAAGTAGGTTGGAGCATTAATCAGAGATGGCTACACCCAATGATAACAGAAATGAAAGTTGGGTTACTTGGCCTACTCAAAATAGTGTTGATGGCACTAACGTTTTACCAGAAAATGCATCTGAATGATTTCACAGTTCTTAACTGGATGCTTGTGTAAAAACTACAGATGATTCTTATCCAACAACTATTGTAAACTTTTGCCTGTAATTTTTAAATACTGTATTGATGGTGTTAAATGCTGTTTCTGTACTAGTGTACCATAAAAGAAGATTTCAGTTGTCATTGTGCTCCTAAACTCTGTGCTGGTATATAACTTATGATGAAAATTAAAATAACAGCTCACTGTGTACTATGCTGGTTAATACAGTGTGCTTTTTCCAGTATCTTGCTACTTCAAAGTAATTCCAAGCATCTAAATAAATGGAAAAATCTGAAGATAGATAGATATTTTGAGTTGTTCACTGATTCCTTCCTAACTATGTGCTTGATCACTAATGAAACATTTCCTTCATCGTAATAACAACTTTAGTTTTTTTTATTAGACTTTTTTGTAAAAATGCTTTTGCTACCTTGTGTAAAGGCCACTATTTTGTTCTATGAGATTATCAAATGCATTGTTAGGCATTCTATTTTTAACTCTTATTGTATAACAACATAAATTTAACCTTCCAAGGAGAATCTTGAGTTTTGATTATAGTTTTTGGAACATTAGGCAAAATTGGTATTGTTTTCTCATTCAAATTTGTTTGAGTGCTTCCCTTGCAGAATTGTAAAATTCAAGATCATGTGATGATAAAATGGTTCCTGTAACTAAAATAATTAAACTATAGTTGTGTGGACTTTTGATTATCAAACTGTTTTGGATAATTCAATTTAAACACCTTGTCAAGACTGTTAAAAGGGTCAATTCTTAAGTTAGCTGTTGAAATGCAGAGTTGCTCAGGTGGATTGGTCTCCTGTGCAGTGACTGTCTGGATGTGGAATTGCTATATGAATGCAATTTGTTGTTGAAGACGGGGTTGGTTTTTGGCCATTGTATCCCCAGTGGGAAAATCACCTGAGCCCATAGCTGAGGAATGAGGGGGGAGAGGAGAGGAGGGGAGGGGTTGGGGTTGGGATTGTGCGGCTGTCACTGTCGGGGATTGGTTGACGCTGTAGCATTCGGGGTTGGATTACACAGTCCAAACAGCTGCTTTTAGTGAAGTGACTTGAAAAGAGCCGCGTTGGACACACTCCTGGGGGGGGGGGGGGACACACTCCTGGGGGGTGGGGGGGTCACTCCTGGGGGGGGACACTCCTGGGGGGTGTGGGGGACACTCCTGGGGGGGGACACTCCTGGGGGGTGGGGGGTCACTCCTGGGGGGGACACTCCTGGGGGGGGACACTCCTGGGGGGTGGGGGACACACTCCTGGGGGGTGGGGGACACTCCTGGGGGGTGGGGGGACACTCCTGGGGGGTGGGGGGGGGACACTCCTGGGGGGGGGGGGGGGCACTCCTGGGGGGTGTGTGGGGGGGTATACCTTGTGTTGAAGGCCTATATGTTTGTGGCAGAGCTATAAGTGTCAGAGAGTCCGGACCAGCGGTCACTCTCACCCGAGGCGGTGTGTGCAGTTCGAGCCGCAGTCCAATCACATGGCCATAGCCGACACCTGAACGCGGCGCCGGTGGGGTCCGACCTGTTGGCGACCCTCCGGCGCTATTCGAAAAGGAGGAGCGTTGGGGCCGACACGTCGCCCAAATAAAAAAAAAACGAGCGATTGGATTTGTGCGCCAATTGGGCCACAAAACAATCGCTGCGCTTCACAATATATGTGAAGAAGCCATCGCTGCTGTTAGAGGTACATGTCACACCTGTTCAGCATATGATGCCTCACAGCGGAGAGGGGGGGCCCCGGGGGGAGGCCCGGGGGGGGGGTGTGGGGGGAGCAGCTCAGATCGCGCCATGAGGAGGAGGAGGAGGAGGGGAGTCGCGCTGAGAGGGGAAGTGTGCGACGGGACGAAGGGGGAGCGCGAGCCCCGAGGAATCCGCGCATGCGCTCCGCCTCCGGCCCCACCGGCTGCCGCTCGCGCGCACAGGCCCCGCCCATCGGCCGGAATGCTTTTCAACGCCATTGGGTGGAAGCCGCTGTTCATCAAAAGGTGACGTTCCCGCCCCTCCCGCCCCCTCCCCAGGACTTCGTTCGACTCCGCCTCCTGCTCAGCCCGCGCTGCCTTTGGCTCCAAGAGCCGTCAATCAAGTCAGCGTCGCGCGGCCGCCGCCCCCCCCCACCATCGCGAGCCATCGTTGGTCGATAGCGCCTTCCATCAAAACTGCGCCCCGCCTCCGCCACACCCTTTCGGTTACGCTATTGGTCGGCGGCGCCGTCAATCGACGCAGCCGCCTGCCTCCCCCCGCGGATCCGTCCCGCGATTGGTTAGAATTACCGTCAATCAGTGGAAAGCCCCGCCTCCCCTCCCGCTCGATTGGTTCGGAGCCGTCCGTGAGTGGGGGGGAGAGGAGGGGGGGCGCGCGCGGGGGCGGTTGTCGGTCGGTTACGGTGTGAGGTTAAAATGGAGAAAAGTCCGACCGCGGAGTTTTCTTCCTAATCGTTCTCCGCGGTTCCCCGGTCGCCGTGTATGAGCCGCCGCCGCCACCTCTCCCGGCGGCCCGCACCATGGCTGACTTCGTGCTGCCCAGGCGGAGCGCGGTGGTGGAGCGGCTGCGGAAGCGCATCGAGCTGTGCCGCCGCCACCACAGCGGCAGCGAGTCCCGCTACCAGTTGGCCTCGGCCGAGTGCCTGGAGCTGGAGCGGCAGCGCACCTTCACCCTCCACCAGCGCTGCCTTCAGAGCAAGACCAAGCGGGCCGGCAAGCACCGGCCGCCCGCCCCGCCCGCCCCGCCGCCACCGCCCGGCCCGCCGGCTCCACCCGCCCAGGCCGACTCGCAGCCCGGTCCGGCCCCGGTCACCGGCGGCACCGGCTTCAGGAACCACACCGCCGCCGCCGCCGCCAACAAGTCGGACTCCCCCAAACCGGCGGGCGGCGCGGGCGGCGCGGATCCGAGCCGGACAAGCACTTTGCTGGCGGTAAGAATCCGAGCTCGTCGCTGGGGATGGGACGGGGGTTGACTCCCCACCGCCGCCGCCGCCGCCGCCGCCGGGTTTGCAGTGCGGGGAATCACCGATCCAATCCACTGACAAAAAGTTTCCCCAAACTTCACGCACTCACTGTGTTTACCTCAGCGCTGAGTCCGTGTGAAAACTTCTCTCCCTTTGTTCCTCCAGGAATCGCGTCTCCCGTCCCCCCCCGAGAGCCGCTCCGACTCTCTGTCACTCCCGGAACACCTCTCACCTCACGGTGGGGGTTTGTGCCCCAACGGCGAAATCCGAGGGATCCCCTTTTCCCCCAAAAAAATCTACCGGTTTTCAATTCATTAATTTTTTTTACATGTGTAAAAAAATAGGGTTTGTTTAACGCCGTTCATAACCCCCACCGCACCCCCCCCCCCCACCGCACCCCGTAACCCCCCCACCGCACCCCGTAACCCCCCCCACCGCACCCCGTAACCCCCCCCACCGCACCCCCCACCCCCCCCCCACCGCACCCCCCATCCCCCCCACCACCCCCCGCACACACAAAGCGAAACGGGTCGCCGCCCCCCCCTCAGCTCTGTTATTACCCACTCGGGTGACTATGTTTTACAGTAAAGATGGGGGTTTGGGGTCTTTTGTTTTACAGTAACAGGCGGTCTCTTCCTGACCCCCCCCCTCCCCCGAGAGCCATTATATATATATATATAGGGGGGAGGAGGTCGGGTTTACTTTGTACCGACTTATTTTGGAAAGAGCTTCAAGTTTTACGGTGTATGTTGTCGGTGTTGGTGGTGATGGAGACACATCATTGATCCACTGTGTTGCCTTGTGATTAACTATTTCCACCCCACCCCCCCACCCACCCACATCCCCACCCACCCACACACATCCCACACCCCCACCCACCCCCCCCACCCACACACATCCCACATCCCCACCCACACCCCCACCCACACACATCCCACATCCCCACCCACACACCCCACCCACACCCACGTACATTCCCCCCACCCACACACATCCCAAACCCCCACCCCACACACCCCACCCACATCCCACAACCCCACCCACAACCCCACACACCCCCACCCACCCCCACACATCCCACACCCCCACCCACACACATTCCCCCCACCCACACCCTGAGGTGCCCTTGAGTCAGATGTGTTAATATTGTAAGGTTTCTACATAATTTATAATTGGAGGTACTTCATTGGGTTACTGAATGATAAGAAGTTGTCTGAATGAATCCTCCCCCCGTCCAGCTGTGATTTCTATTGAGCAGCTTATTTGTTCCTGGGAGGCAGTGACTTGGTTCTCTGGGAAAAAAGAAGGGTCATCTAATTGAGATGTAAAAACAGATCCATTTAAATGGAGAGGTGAAGTGATTGAAGGTCAATTTAATCCAAGTTAATTGTAGTGTGTTACTGTTCTAGTATCCTTGACTGTCTGAATCACTGAAGTAAGCCAATATATTGATGGTTTGGACATAATTAATCAATTGTTGAATTAAAAAATACCGGGATTTGGCATTTTACACAGACAATGGTGCCTTTGCAGGATCTTGCACCAAAATATTTATCTTTTAGTGTGTTGATCGCCTTGAAACCCACGCATATTTTTTTCTTTTTTAAAGTAACTACTACAGGAATTATTAAATCTTTTAAGAACTTTGTTCTGGCTCTACTAACCATTCAGATTTTTAAATATTGGAATGGTGTTCCATTAGTTTCATCAGCTCAAGTTCAGGATTCGTTGGTTCAACTTAGTGAAATCTTCATTACAGTCTTAAGTAGATTTTAATTTATCTTAAATTTCAAATCACTCTTAAAGATGCAGTGACACATGGGTTCTCTCAGAACTTGATTTTAACAGCCAAATCCATTTCTTTATACGTATTTAATATATAGATTTGCTAACCTAACACTACTCTGATGACTTGCATTTCGCTAAGCTGCCAACCTCGTCGTCCCATTTGTGCCAAATTCAGTGTTGTGTATTCTTGCCATCAGCAGCTGTACTGGGAGCAGCTTATTTCACCTTTACAGGTGACAGACAGGGAAGACTCATTCCATTGGTCCAGGCTGTACAGGACCTAGTTCTGGAGTTGACTGTACCGTCTTATCCCCTGAGGAAAGGGCCTTCAACCCCAGATAAAATTGATCATTCATTTCATGGCTGTTTGTGGGACATCGCTGTGTGCAAATAGGCCGGGCTGTTTGCCTACAAATACAAAGTCACTTCAGTAAAATCCTGTGAAGTGGTTTGAGACGTCTCGATCACATGATAGGGTGTTATATGAAATGCAAGACTCACTACTCCTCTTAATTTTTTGGAGATGTGAGAAGCCATTTCCTGTGGAGTGTATTACAGGTCTTGCACCATGATTTAAAAGCAAACAAGACTAATTGTAGATCAATTCCTTCAGAGTACACTTCATTCTGTGATCAGCAGCTGCATTCTGAGCCAAACTAACCTCTTGTCACTTCGGTGCATAGAATTGTAGTTAATGTTTGTGTTTACAATAATTGCAGCGAGCAAGGATGATGAGAGGGGGATCCATACAATATCATACCAATGCAGTGAAGATGCTTTGGAGATGAAGCATGTTAGTGTTACAATAGAGGAGGTATTACTGTACAGCTGGTTGGCTGACATGGAGGTATCGTTATTCTCTTTCCTGGTCTTTTCAAAATATCCCTGTGCTTCATTGGATAAGCTAAACGAGACTAAATCAGTGTGGGGAGCAAGAGGAGGCTTTTCTGTTTGCCAGTTATTGGATCATGTCAGATCTTTTAATCCAGATGTTCTGCCTTTTCTCCATACCCCTTGCCCTCCTCCTAATTTCCCAAGTATCTTATTTTTTTTTAAAAAGTGAAGAGTAAGAGTTTTTGCCTTACCTATGTGTAATCCACCCTCCTCCCCATTCTTGTACTTACTGTACGTTTACATGGTGACACTGGCAAACTTCCACGGTAGTTTGCCTCCAAACTTTCTTGGCTGCAGAAAGTAAGTGGAGTTTAAGGAAGGACAATTGGATAGGTTAATGGTAAGTTTTATCTTTTAGACTCCACCTGTCACTTCTCAGAAGAATAAATTCTTCTGATAAAAAAATATTTTTGTGCATTTCCTGAAGATGAAATCAAGTAATTAATTTCCTAAAACCTAACGACGCTTTTTAAAGATTTCACAAAAGACTGGGAAACGACATGTGTAATAGGATTGAAGTTTAACCACTTTGCAGGTGGCCAGACCGAGCTGCAGCTGCACATTCCTGACTTCTTCCTCTTCCCCCCACCGCCCCCCCTCACACACACACTCCCAGCACCTATTACAATGTCTCCCCAGATGGTGTGGTGAACATTGAGATTAGCTGTACTATTAGGAAATGGATTAAATAATGGAACTATTTTTATTCAGAGCCAATAATTTGGGTTTTTCATTTTTATCTTGAACCACCCAAAGCCAAGGTATTTTGCTTCCTACTTTTGTAATTTAAAACATCATCAATTCAAATCCATAAATACTGTTTTTGACATCCTGATGTCGCTTAGTGACAAAGTTACAGTAGATTCTTTGTGAAACGCTATTAATGTGCAGACAGTCACACCATCTAAAGGAAAGTTAGGTTAGCATTTAGGCATGATGCTTAATTAGAACCGAAGAGATGGCCTGTGAGAGCTCTTATGTAGTAATAATAATAATCCTTGCATTTGATACAGCGCTTTTCATGTCTTCTAGACATCTCAAAGCGCTTCACAGAATATACTGCAAAGTGAATTGACCGTATACTTGTGGGCGAACGCGGCAGCCAATTGCGCACAGCAGTGTCCCACAAACAGTCGTGGATTGAAAATGACCAATTTATTATTGTTTTGGAGGGATTATTATTAGCGTGTGGAGTAAGGAAACTTGCCCAAGGTTTCGCCCTGCTGGAATTGAACCCAGTACAAGGTTAACCTGAAAAAAGACTGAATTATTTGTGCGTGTGTGTGTCTGTAATGTTATTATTTGATCAGTGGCCTTTAAATTGTCAATGGAAGTTTACTTGTTTTCTTATATCCTCGAGTTTGCAAATCTTGTACTGAGTGAAAGTACACCTTAGCTTCAGTTTCTGGGTTACTCTGGACTATTTGTGAAACTTGGAATAGAACACCCCATGTTTTCGATCTCTCGGGCAGAAATTCTTCCCGTTAGCTGTGTGTATGGTGGTGATGGAATGTCAGTGGGATGTGTACACGGGCCTCATGCAATGCCAGAGTAAAAGAAATGTAAGAAGATTGAGAAAGTCCAGCACATGAAGCTCCTTCCTTTATAATTCACGGTGAATGTTATTGGCTTTCATTTAATCTTTTCCTTTCATCAAAAAATTGTCCAATGTTTTGGGGGGACAATCTACAGTTTATTGTACTCACTGCAAGGTTACTTTGGAAAAACTTCCGCTGGAATTCATTATCTCTTCATGGTTTCAAATGTTCGACTTTGTTTGTACATTTCATTTTATAGTAGGAACTTGGTTCATGTTATTCAGTCATTTTGAATACTTGTATTGTTTCCCTGAAGTGTTTTAATTATAGGAATTTTTTTATCTCTGGTAATTTGCCATTGAAATAATTGTTGACTCTCTCTCTGTGGTAAGAGTTTCAGCGATTGTCTTATACTGCAAAGATAGCTAATTAGTTGTGGAAAAAATGAACTCCATATCTCAAGGCTTCTTGGCTTTCTTCACAACTTGTCTGTTTATGTTGTGTTCATAATTGCTTACGGATGTATAATATTTTGCACCTGGATCATTCCCAGTGCATATAGCTCAGTTATGCAATGGGCCATGTACTTATAGGCTGAACCATTGCTGGTTTGATGTTCTCTGCTTAACTTTAAATAACTTCTTTTCTGAGAGCTGTAGTTTGAAGCTTCCCTTTTCGAGGAGAAACTAGCCAGCCCAAGTAACACTGAAAACATGAAACAAATGAGAATACAGACTCAAAACAAAACTGGTCTAAATCCAAAGGTGGCCAGAACATCGGAGCCAGTTCAAAGAGAACGAACTGTGAAGTACCCGGGGCTATTGGTGCTGGGATCCCGCCCCGGTTACTCTGTGGGGAGAATCTAAAGCACTGAAGGCAACATAGAGACAACTGAACCGATATGAACGTGTGAGGGAACTGATTGGTGTATATGTGCACAGATGTTGCTGAGTTGCTTCTTTCTGTCCTTGGACCATCCCTGGAAGATTACAGACCAAGTTCAGCAATCCCCCAGTTTACAGAGGCAATGGTGCTGAGAAAGATGCCATTGAGAGGCGACGCAGGATCTGCCCTTCACTGCTTTCGTGAACTGTTTTAGACAACTTTGGTATGTCTTTTACCCTGGACCATTTGGCTTGAATGGTTTTCCATCCATACATGTGGAAAATAATGCATTTGTCCAGCCTTGTCTTTTGTCTCCTAATGGATATGAGCTTCTAGCAGTTGGCAGCTTTACTTTCAGGGGTCAAATTGGTGAGAGTCTGCCAAAGAACATCACTGTAGTGAGGTTCAGATATTTTTCATTATTGCTATGCTTGCACTTATTTTACTTTTTGGGCATAGTGAGACTCACTCAAATCTTATTTAGTCTACAAGCAAGTAAAGGAGACTCGATCTGAAATTCACGTCTAACATTCCAGACAGTTTCTTTAGCCTCAAACCAGTTAGGTTTTATCCGTGTTGCACACTTCTTCCCTCAAAGGAAGTATCACTCTTTATGGATAGAACCAGGGATGTTTGCCAATCGAGGCAGTTTGTTCCGTTTGGTAACAAAATTTGAGGAAAATCTATCTCTGAAACGTGACATGATGAATGGACTTTGCAACTTAATTCACGATGTTGTTGACGAGTCAGAGGGCAGACGGCTGGGGAAGTGCAGAGCTGAATTCATTTTGTGAGCTACCCACAGTGTGAGCTGACGTGCAGTGGTGTTTGCTGCCCACTTTCTGCTTAGATGACAGAGTTCCTGCTTATAAAAGCATTACTGACCACAGTATTGCCTGTGCAAAGTGGCTGCCACATTCGCTTACAAAATACAGTTACTGTGCCCTCTTGACATGAAAGGCACTGTATCAAGTACAATGATCATTATTTGACTACTGATTTGACAAATTCTGAGCACAGAAGCTTTGGCAAGGCAGTGCTCCATCGAGATCAACCCTTAACAATTCCCACCTCTTTTTTTTCTGCACAATTTTCAAATTTTCTTTTATACGTGGAGGCCTCGGGGAATGTTTGATTATCGACCACGGATGTTCCTTCAATGTAATTCATCCTCGACCTACAAGGCTCCCTCCTTCCTGCTGTTGGTTTTCTGTCTAACCATACATTTATTTGTAATATGCCTTGACATCCTGCTTTGTTTCAGAAGCATTTTGTTAAGTTCTTGTTGAGAGTATTTACCCCGGAAAGACGAATGTGTAACTCTTTTATGCTCTAGCGCAATTGAGGGAGTGAGCAGATTGCTCAATGTCACGGTGAAGTCACTTTCAGATGTTTTCTTTCGATTTATTCCTACCTTTGAATAATAATTTATATTTAACAGTGCTTACAACGCTGAAACATTTAAAACTATTTCACAGGAGTGCACAGGTGCTAACAGTTTTGTAGGCATTCATAGCTATTTTGTGGACAGCAAATTCATACAAACAACCATGAAGCAAATGACCAATTTAGCTGGAGGATGGTTGGCCAAGGCATCAGAAAGTCCCTTCTCTCTTCAATTAGTGTCATGGGATGTTTAACGTCGACCTGAGGAGAGGCAAACGGGACCGATTTTTCAACAAGCAGCAAAGTTACTCAAAATCCAAAAGTTGCTGGTTGAGACCTTGCCACATTAGTTACTTGTGTGTGTAAAAAAAAAGGTTGCATGAGGAACTTTCTTAGCATGATCACAGTATGGCTCCTGTCAGCCGGGCTCAATTGGCAGCGCTTCTGCTTCTTGGTCAGAAAGTTGTCACGACATAGACTGAGATTGCAGTGCTGGGGAAGCACTACATTATCAGAAGCGCCATGCTTTGAATGAGACGTTAAACTAAAGTCCTCCTATTCAGGAGAATGTTAAAGATCTCATGGCACTGTTGGGAAAAGTTTGCTAACCAAAGGTCCTCCGGATAGGTCATTCACTTTATGCTTGTGTGCAAAATGGCTGCCACATAATAAACCCAATCACTGCACAACAGCAGTTCCCTGTGAAGCGTCTTGACAATGTAGGCGCTGTATTAAGTGCAAGGATTATTTATTGTAAGCCAGCGTCAGAACCTGTTCAGGCACCCTCCCACTCTCATTAACAGGCAGAAACCAAGAGTTGCTCACGGCCCAGCAGAGGAACGCCAGGTTTCATTCCTTGCTTCAGGCATTGTTCAAGAATGTCAACTGTTACTTGACATCCTGAATTATTAATTCAGTGTTGGGGTGTGAAACCTATTCCATTCTACCATTCTTTGTGGCCCACAAATTGATATGAAAAATGTAAACCATGTAACCCTGTACAGTCACAATTCTATTCATGTCCTCAGCTGCTCCGTGATTCATTCCTGCTCCACATCCACCAACAGCGCAGTCACAGCCACCGAGAGCCAACGCGAGTCACCCACTGAGAAGAGGAAAGATGACAGTGAGTGCTGGAATGTTCAGACTGGAGGCTGCGCCAAAGAGAGCAGTGAGAAGCAGCCGCGAATTTTAGTGGGAATGAAACAGATAAGATGTGGCTCTTCCAAATTGAAATCGATGGTTCAGAGGAGGCTTGTAACAAATAAATTGGATGCCAAATAGGGTTGAGAAAGTAGAGCCGGAACAAGCCTTTCAGATGTGACATGTCAGCGGGATAAGAGGGTGTGCCTCTAACCCAGGCTGGCGAATGCCATATTTAGGGAAGAAATTGGGAGGCTTTTCTTTTTACAGATGATAATCTGAGAGAGCCAAAGTGCTCTGGGACCCCACCCTGCTTGAAGGGTGCTATATATATATATATATGTGTGCAAGTTGTTGTTTCTGTTGCTAGAACCAGTCCCAGGAAGGGCACAATGAGCTGGAAATCCATGATGTAGAGCGCAGTGACAGCTTCGGCAGATTACCAAGTGATTGAAGGGCCTGGGCTCTCAATAACTTCCTGAAATGTAGATCTGAATATCTTTATGATCGTACGACACGCAGTGTATCTTTGCTGGAGAGGTGAAGTGACTTCAGTCTGTATTGCCATCTGGTGTTTCGTTTCTGCTATTGATGAAAACATTTTACTTTGCCTTTGTGTGGGTTTTAGTTTCAAATGAACAATGTGTCACTTGTAGCCACCCACTGTGCCAACAGTTTAGGTCTTATTGTGTGGTTACAATCTCTTGGGTATTGGGATGGAAAACCCAAGTCGTGATCAGAATGAGTTGTGACTGTTCCAAAAAGTTCTTCCAAATTTTTAGATGTATTGTTTGCTGTTTCCTTACTTTACTGCATCACCGTTCTAAGAGGAAATTAAGTTGTTACAAAACTCCTTCATGAGGTGTCTTCTAACCAGTGGGTGGCAGTTCAGTATCTTGTTTACGACTTGCATTTGCAGGGGATTGCTGCTGTTTGCCATTGTGTGCCCATGTAGGCCACTTTCATTCTGTCCTGCACAAGACTGATAAACATTTATTCTTTGTTTATTATAGTTTTAAACAAACCAAGAGGTGCAGATGAAAAATACCTATTTGGATCCGTAATACCCATCCTAATTTCTTCCCCTTATAGCATCAAGCAGTTTAATTGAGTTTGGTGCTTGAGGTGTGCTGTATGGTCAGGTGAGGTGTGAAAATGAGGTTCTATCTACCTGTTCAGATGCACATTGAAGATCTGCCGGAACGATTTGAAAAGAGAAGGGAATTTTTCCAACATTCCCCAAATGAAGTTGGTTATTCACCTCATGTCTCTTTGTGAGACATACATACATTTGGGGGGAGTGACTATTGAAATCTAACACACTTAACCGTTTAGTAGGAATCTCAGCCTACATAATTGGGTAGAATTATTGCTCAGTTTTATGTGTGTGTGTGTGTATATATATAATATATATGAAAAACATAGGGCTAAAATGATGTACTTACAACAGCATGAAGCTCTGATGTGTGTTTCAAAGAACAACCTGTTTAGGTTTTTAATTTTTTTTCAAGAATTTGAACTAAATGATTGTTGAACTCACTGTTTTCACTTTGCCTCTGTTTAGTTGCAGGAATCAGTGAAAAGGAAATTGAGAGCTGATGCTTCTCCTTTGAATGGCGATCAGCAGAATGGGTTTGGAGATGGGAGCTATCCTGGCACGAAGAAGATCAGACTGAATGGGAAAGATGGAGTAGGGTTGGTTCCAGTGAATGGATCCTCCAATGGTGTGCCAGCAGTCTCTCCTCTCCATCAGCTGGACGTTAAGCCAGCCATTGGAGACGACATGCTTGTCAGCGGGAACCATCCCATGGGATCATTGGGCGGTTTGAAAAAAGACAGCAATCCTGACAGCAGTGTCCAGCTGAATGGGAAAAGCGACGGTAGTCACACAATCCCTCTGCTCAAAGACTTTAAACAGGAGCCTTTGTGTGATTTAGGGTGCATGAATCCAACAGGCAGCTCTCTGAGCCAGAACAACATGTTCCCTGATATTAACCTGAATGAGCAGGAATGGCAGGAGTTGTTTGATGAGCTGAACAGGTCTGTGCCTGACCAAGATATCCAGGATCTTTTCAATGAGGACTTCGAAGAGAAAAAGGATTCTGAGCCCACAGTATCCTCCGACCATCCTTCTCTTCCAGACAACATCAGCGTAAAGATTGAGCTTTGTCAGCCTTCCTATGAACACGAGCAGATGGGATCTCCACAGACGAGGCCAACGTCATCTGGACCTACATTTTCCAGTTGCCCCATGGCTTCTGTCAGTGCTGCTCCTGTAGTGACTGGTGTCTCCCAGACTATGCCACAAGTGCCAGGCCTGCCTCTGGTAGCTGCCAGGCCCGTATCCAGTGTATTGTTGCCTGGGAATGCTGCTAGAGCAATGGAGCTGAATCACGCACAGCAGCTTCAGCAGATGGCTGCCAAGCAGCAGAGAGTTCAGCTGATGCAGAAGCAACAAGTGCAACAGACGCAGCCAAACCAGGTGCCAAACTGGTCAGCGGCACCTGCCCAAAGCCCCATTGCTAGTGCCTACAGCCGTGAGCAGCCCAGCAGCCCCTCACTATATCAACAGGACTTCAGCCAGAAACTTCCAATGGCCAGTATGCCACCAAAGAGCTCCCCAAAGGCTGGCAGCAGCTACCTGCAGCCAAATCATGTCGGTATGCTAAGCCACCAGCCTCCCAGTTCAGGACAGACCTCCACCAGCAGCCAGGCTGCTCTCTTCAGCTATGCCAACACTAAACGCTTGTCTCATTTTGAAATGAATCACAACCAAAGGTCGGCCCATCAGAACAAAGGTACCGTGTTTACGTACATTCAGCAGCGGCACATCAGCGATGAGCAGAAACCCAAGGACCTTCACACGACTGCCATGCCTTACAGACCTCACCTGCAGCTCAGCCAGGTACCAGTGGCCTTTACTACAAATAGGCGAGATGCATGTAAATTCTACCTACATTTAGCCTGCAGGACCACTTTGCCAGAATTGTAGAAAGTTTCTTCGTAAGAAGCTGGCTTTTAGATCTGACGTTTGTGTAGCAGCGATGTAAACAGTGAAGCTGAATTTCATTACACTATCACTGTACAAAGGTGCTGCTTTTTTAGTAATACCTTGTACTATTGATTTCCTGAAATCTATTTGTCTAGCTTGCAATCAATGGCTTGTAATGAGCTTGCTTGACTGATGGACTCTTGAAAGAATCTAACCTTCACACTGTTTCCCTCTGTGTATATTGTGTGACCTGTAGGAACAAACAGCAGCCACTGTAGCCAGAGTCTCAAGCTCCATCCCAGGGCCAGGACCAGGGCCGGGAGCCCAGCCTCCTCCTGTTGTCATACCTGGGAACCACGGCAACGTCGCCTATCTCAGCAGCCAGCGCGCAGCTGCACTGAAGCAGCACCAGCTGCTGATGGACCAGCAGAAGCAGCAAGAACAGCAGCAGTTACAGCTACAGCTTCACAGACAGCAAATACTGGCTGAGCAGGTGTGTAATGGGCCCCACTCGCTTGCCCGCCCACCTGGCCTGAAGTGAAACTCAAATGGGGACTGAGAAACTTAACAAACAAGAGGGGAAATGTAATGAATTTCATGAATAATTAATGCTTGTTTTTAAATCTTCATCTTTTTCCACCCACCCCCCCCCCCCCACCACACTCATATTCTCTCTCTGGTTTGGGCGTAAGCTCACTATTATGGACAGTAGCCTTACTCGTGCATCTCAAACACTATCCTGTGGAGCAGTTCAAAGTATTCCTGTTCCTCAACTGCTGAGCAGGAATCCAAGATGGCAGCTGAACATTTGTAAAAGGTGGGGTGGCTTGCTGTGGGGCAGGGTGGCGTTCAGACTCGAGAGGGGCTGGTAATTGTTGATTGATATTCCACAATCTCGTTCAGAATGGGACCTGCCACTTTCTGTTTTCTTTGTTTCAGGAGAAGCAGCGGAAGCAGCAGGAACAGCAGCTGCAGAGACACCTGACCAGGCCCCCCCCTCAATACCAGGACCAGCAACAAACCCCCTACCATGTGGAGCAGCTCAACCAGTTTCAGGGTAATGTCCCTTGGTTTAAATGGAAACTCTTCAGGCTGTTATTAACACAGTAAACTTGGGCCCGCTGCATTTCCCTCTATTAAACAAACTGATTGCTTAATGATATAATTAAGGGACCTTTAAATCCCATAAGTTTTACACATGGCACATAACAGGCCTGTGTTTACATATTACCCCCATTGTGTGACTCTGCTCTAGACAAGGAAAGAGAGAATATATAGAAAATCAATGCGCAATAGTTAATGAATTTTGGCTGCTTTGTGCTGTGGAGGAATTAATTCTATTGCTCACATTTTGTAGGTTCCTCTCAAGCTCTTCCACCCGTTGGAACTCTGGCACCAAATGCTAATAGCCCAAGAATGTTCTCTCTGAATCCAAACCTGCGCCAGATGGGCCCAGGCCAGAATTCAGTCCCTGGTGCTGGGGCTAGTCAGCCTGAGCTGGGGCTGCCTCAGTATGGAAACATACACAGCGTCCAACAGGGATTATACAACATGGGCTCAAACCTGAGCCAGATGCTTCCACGTCCTGTCCAAGGCACAATTGGAAATGGACAACATTCAAATCAATTACAGAGACAGCCCAGTATTGGACACGCAGGTGCTATGGTTACAGGCTATGGGCAGAATCTTTTAGCAAATTCAAACCTTGCACAGCAGCACAATAAGGGGCCAGTGAGCCAGCCAGTCTCCAAGGCCCATCCACAGAGACTACCGGGCTCCATGGCAAGTCAGAGTCCCACTTGGCAGCATCAGGGGCTCCAAACTATGAACAACCAGAATCAAGCGAGCAGTAATTTAGTGGCTTTCAACAGTACCTCAACGTTCCACATGCAGACAGCTCAGCCCAAAATGGCCACCCAGCAGTTTGCCCAGGGAATGCCGCGAGCAGGTCTCAACCCAACCAGACCCATGGGATCCATCGGCTCGACTGTTGGTGGGCAAATAATTGCTGCATTAGGGGCACCTCAGACAAGGACAAACCAGCCCACGCAGCAGCCGGCTCCGGGTTTAACCCAGTCTGTTGCAGATATGACAACTTTTCCTGCAGGTCAGCAACTGCCTACAAGAGGTAACCCCCACTGCAGTCAGGGGTATCAGGTAAGAAACGCCAACCAGGAACTGTCTTTCAGCTATGGCAGCCAGTCAGGAGGCAACACGCTACAAGGCTTAGCTAGTGACGCAGACCCACTGATTGATTCTTTGCTGAAAAACAGGATTACGGAGGAGTGGATAAACAATTTGGATTTGAACTTCTAGGATCTCCCCGTTGAGTGTGGTTTGCTTACTTTATGTGGAATTGGTGGAAAATGTGTAACCATGGCTTTTTATATATTAAAACAAAGTGGGACCAAAAAGAACCCTGTGGTGCACGGCAGATAACTTTGTGGTTGGGAACAGTTCTGTAGACAGCTTTCTCACAAGTTTCAGGGCAAGTTACATAAGTTTTTTTTTAAAAAGATTAAACGATGAATGAAAATATTTTACATAAAATGTACAATATTTAATATAACTAAATACAATTGGCCTATTGTACATTTTCCCTCCAATCGATAGGAAATCAGCACCAGGCCATATCTAAAGCCATCCACTTGAGCAAACATTGTCTTCCACTCTGATCTCAAGACACAAATATTGTTTGCCAGGAAAGAGATTAACTGGGAATGTGGAAAATCTGTCATTAAAATCCAACGGACAATACGTAAATCAGCATCGGAAAGAGGGGCTTCAAATCCCACCTGAAATCTTAACCTAATCCTTCCTGCGCAATATTCTTGAGAACACTTGAGCACTGATTGTGGATTTCTGTGCCGTAAGTTTTGGGTGAGGAATTTTTACTCTGCATTTTCACTTTCTTTCGTCTCCCAGTCTGTGGGCTTTACTGAGCTGTTGAAAGGGATTGCAACAGGGCTGATGATGGACAAATGGTACACTGTTCTGCACGTTTCATACTATGTATTTTGCATTTATTTAAAGTAGTTCCCGGTAGTCCTAGGGTGTTGTTTTAAACACAAAGATAAGGATCCAACCATCAGATCCCACCATCATCATTTTAGTTCATTACATCTGTCCAAGGGGACAGGTTACTGAATGTAAAATCTGGTACCAACTAAAAGATGACAAAAAATAAATTCAGTGATTTCACGAATGTGCACTAAATGTGGCAGCGTGAATACCGCTATCTATAATGATTGACTAAAATTGTGCTCTCCTATTTTACTTTAGGTTTTGAACCACTGATGGTAGATCTTTGTAAAGATGATTTCTGACCGATTGGCCGAGGGTGGGGGACCGTAAAATCCTAGTGTGTCCAGGGTGGTTTCCTGTGATACTCCCTGAAACAGTGATCCTCTGCTCTTGATCTTTGATTGGTTTAAGATTGGTTTGAGATTAGCAAACTCTGAACTTACTTATACTAACTACTCAATAGATATTTACCCTCCATAATGAACTATTAAGTGATCACAAATGCGATTTTGCAAGGTTTTTTTGACGTCCCATGTCATTGCTGGGAGGAATTTTTGTACCTCCATGGCAGGCAGGAAGTACATGTTCAAGAATCGCCTTAAAATGAAAAAGAATGAGATTGGTATGAGTTCACTACCACTCAAAGACTATGTTTTCCCTAGACTCGACAGCCCGGCATCACACTATTTATATATAAAGGTACAAGTAGCCATCACACAGTGAACCTTTTAAAGCAAACTTGTTTGAAATGTCCTGAGATATGGGGAGGCTTTGCTTAGCCTTTCACAAGCCCAGATTAAAACTGATCATATTTTTAATTGCACTCAGCACCTTGTACCTTTCATAGGGAGCTGGAAAGTCAGAGCAAGCCCCTTACTGTCCCCAACCACCCATTCCCCCTGTCCTTGGTTTATGAGTTGTTCTTGCAAATGCACTGCTCTTCAGTAATGGTGCTTTACAGCTTATTCATGTCAAAGTGGTCGAATTTATGTGTAAATAAATGTTTACATTTTTATATAAAAAAGAAATGTTTCTGACAAAAGTATCTAGCTGTTTGTCTGTAATATATTTTTACATTTTATAGTTTTAAAGAAATTGTATTTCTTGCTCTGAATTTTGTACGTCTTAACCCAGCACTTGATGACTGTATTGACGTCACTAGCTCTGCCTAACTGTACCTTTGTATACACTGATTACTGTAACGTGAGGCTTTCACCTCACAGTGTAGAATTTAAAAGGTGGAAAAATACATGTGGCCAAATCTGGTTTTAATTTTTTTTTGTGACATTGAAGCAATCAGCCCAGGCTGCTATGGCACACTATAAAATTCAGCTGCTCTGATGTTTTTCTGCCAGGCAGTACGTTAGTGGCCTCAAGCTCCTCGAGTAATTTGTACTCCAAAATGTGTTGGGAGTCTTTGGTACTCGTCACTTGCAACAAGAAAAAAAACTTTTGTCTTTCGTGCATTGTAAAGATTTTAACAAAGAAAGTAAAATCTTGCATTTGCTAAGGTTACCAAGTTAATGCATTTCATTCTCTGTATCTTTTACTTCCTCTTTTGAACGTAAACTCAGACTGATGACTGGTGTTTCATTACAGTAGAATGTAAACACAGAAAATCGTGTCAAGAGCTTTGAGATGTCCTCGCAATATAAAGGGCTTCATATCAAATGTAAGAATTATTTATGTATTGTTGTAAACATGGGATGGCAAACTAAAGTGACTAAAATCTGGTGCCTACACAGAATCCAAACCTGTGTGAAACTATGTCGAACGTACATCACATTTCTAAATTCACTTGTTCCAAGATTGTTTGCCTACAGAGAAGGTAGAATTGTATTGTGCAATCTGCTTTATTGGAGCAGTTAACATGTTAGTTGTGAAAGGCAGGCTGTCAGCTTTAAATAGCTTTGGGTTTTCTGGTGGAAACAACTTATCTTGAATTTCTGATCTTCACAGCAACCCCAAAACAACAACAAGATTACATTTGTATAGCTTATCGTGCTTTTAGCAGGGACTCTGCAACACAATTAAACTGAGCTGAAACTTACTTGAATTCAACTGCTTCTCACACCAATGCTTTATGTTGTATCCATCATAATTCATTCTTCTGAACGAGATCTGGCCACAGTGTTATTTTCTGGCTCAAAGCGACACAAATAGCTGTAACTATTATTCCAGCCATCATTCGCAAATAAAGACTCCATGATCTTTTTATAATTGTGGTGTGTGTGTTAGTGTGTGGTATTGATGCTGCCTCGGTTTTGTTTTGCTTTTATCCACTCATTATTTTGGTGCATCATAATCCTAAAGGATGAGCAGACATTGGGGAACCTTCCTGCAATAAATACTAAAAGGAGTGTGTTAGTCACATTAACACGTGAATCTACAGATAGCTTTTTCAGAATGTCTTGTCTGTCTGGCGTGGTCAATTTCTCTTACATGTGGAATTTGTTCTGGCCTTTTCTTACGCTTTCTCATCTTTTGGGTTTCACCATTAGCAGACAAGACAAATTAAATCACTTTCAATGTTCGCAAACTAGAAAAAGCAAACCATTGCCATCAAATGTTGTTTGTGACTATCACACATTAGGTCCAGCAGTTAGCAAGCTAAAGGGGTGAGGACTTTGCCTGTGATGGCTGTAGTGGGGGTGTCAGATGTATTTTGTCTAGTGTGTGGTCTGCCTGAAGATCAATGGATCAGAAAGCAGTGATCTCCTTCCTCCTTTCACATACAGCAGTAACTTTGCAATGTGTTAAGTTATGATTGCCAGAGGGTCTCAATTTCATGCAAATACCTTATTCACTACTGACAAACAACCGGAGCAAGTTTGATAATCGGGCTGATCATCTCCTTGTAGTTATTGTGTACCCAAAGTAATATGCCAACCTCTATGTTCAGCCATTTTTTGCTGCTAAATATTGCCCTTTGCTTCCTGGAACTATATGTTTCTCCCTAGTCCTGTCCCAATGTACCTTTTCCTGAACACAAGACTAGATTCCTAGATTAACTTTGTGGGAGCTCTGTTCCACCTCCCACCTACCTTCAGAGGGGAACTTTCTCACACTGGAGTGACGAGTGACCTATTTCTATACAGCAAAAAAAAGCACAACAAATTCTTATCAATATTTTTAACCAATTTCCTCTTGCAGCTGCCCTCCAGCTTCACTGCTGCTCGATGTCCTCAGGTACCTCAACTCTGAACACCAGGCCATCATTTCTGGTAAGATCATAATTGCAAAAGTCTTTGGCGTATCCTGAGAATGGGCTTCACGTTGCCATAACGAATCTAATTCCCTTTAAATGGCACCAATCAATTCTTCAACAGCCAAATCATTCCATATTCTGATAATTCTCTAGGAGAGAAAATCCTCTCCCTATCACACTCGAGGCTACAACCTTACCTTGATGTCTGCCTAAACATCTGGGATTTCACCCATCAAACATCTCGACTCACAAGCAAGGAATTACTGGTTGCAATTTTGTCATTAAAATTAAGTAGTGTTTATTTTTCCCATTTTTAATTTTAAATAATAATTATTTCAATAGATTTAACGTTAAATCTATTTACATAGGGAGAAAATAGCCACTGTTTAAATTCTTTGAATTGTGTTCTTATGTGTTTGGTTTAATTCATGTCTACTGACCCTTACTTCCCAGACACATCAAATGGATTTTAGTTTTAAGTTGATTTGAATTAGGCTGCCTTGAAAATGTTACAGCAGTCAAACAGGAAGTCCAACGAGTTTGCAAGCTTTTTAAAATTGAATTGGCTGTATGCTATGGTTCACTTGGTTGGCTGTTTTGCTGTTACAACAGTACTTCAGCAGTTACACAACTTGATAAGATCAGCAGCAGGCCCAAATGCTGTCTAGCCTGTTCCATCTGCAAATCACTAGGACTCTAAATCCCCAAACAATTAGCTTTTTACTGTTAAATGGAGTTTGAAGCCAGCAGTAAAGTGATAAGCTGGAGTTCCATTACTTGTTCCCTCTCACACTGACCTAAAAACTCTGTGTGCATTGCAGCCACTTAACAATGCAAAAACCACCACTGAAACCTAAATAAATTATTAAATGCTTCATATGCTCCTGAGCAGCCAACTCACATTTGTGTATCCTGTGAAGCACTTTGAGATGTCTCAACGATGTGATAAGGCGCTGTATCAAATGCAAGTATTATTATCAAATATCAGAGAGAGAGAGCCAAGTCCTCACATCCCTGGTGATCCCTAAGTCATGTCACTAACCATTCTCTATCTAACCAACTGGAAATCTCCTGGATTCCCACTCTATGATCTTCATCCTCTATCCACTTTGTTTTCCTTCTGTCTGCTCCACATTCCATACATTCTAGCCACAAGTCGCATTTATGGCACTTTACCAAATACCTTCTTAAAATCCAAATGAACATCTGTTGCATTTCCCTGGTCCAACATAATCTCAACTAGCTCAGAGCAACTGGACTTTCTCCATTTGCTCCAGCTGCTGTCTTCATCAATCAGGGGCTATTATCACCATCACCATCCATGGATGAACACTCCACTTTACTAATCCGGTCCAGAACCTTGATGTCTTGCTTAACCCTTTTCTATGTCATGCCTTCCCCCACCTCTGCAACATTGCCCGACTCCGCCACTGTCACACACCACAGGTCGCCAAAACCCTCATACACACGTTCATAACATCGAGGCTTGACTAATGCAAACTCCCAGCTTGTCGGCCTCCCCCACCTCCTCCCTCCACAGGCTGCAGATTATCCAGAACTCTGCAGCCCGTGTCCTCTCCTGCACCGGGCTCCGCGACCCCAACACCCCCATCCTGGCCCGACCCCACTGGCTTCCCATCACACAAAGGATGCAGTTCAAGATCCTGGTCCTCACCTTCAAAACCCTCCATGGTCTTGTTCCCCCCACCCCTACCTCTGCTCCCTCCTAACTCCCTACCATGCTGCTCCCTCCCTCTGCTCAGCAGTCTCGGGGCCGCCTCACATCTCCCGGCTCTTCTGCCCCCACCCTCTGGAACTCCATCCCGCAGTCCCTCCGCCTCACCCCCTCCACTGACCACCTTTAAGACCCATCTCAAGACCCTCCTCTTCGACCGTAGTCAAATCACCTGCTTACCCCCCCAACCGCCCTCCCCAGTCCCCCCCCCCCCCCCCCAAACTCGGGTCCCAAACACTGACAGGGTCCAGCGCCTTGGGATTGGGAGGTCCTCCCGACGTGGTTGTGTTGTGGTGGCTGTTGGGCTGTGGGCGGTGGGCGGTGGGGGTTACTGCAGATGGCGCTGCCTCTCCCGACACGAGTTCTGGGTGTAGTTTGTACGCGTTGACACTGTGGAGCCGCCTCTGCGCTCTCTCTCTCTCTCCCTCCCTCCCTCCTTCCTTCCTTCCTTCTTTCCTTCTTTTAGGGAACAGCCCCATTACCCTCTGTGTCTCTGTGTGTCTCTGACCCCGAGGCTGTGGCTGGTGCCGGACTGGAGATGTGGGACAACCTGGTGTTCTTGGCTGCGGTGACCATCCTCGGAGTGTTAGAGCAAGGTACCGCGCACCCTGCGCCAGGGGGGGGTCCCGGGGGGCTCCAGGGGGGGGTCCGGGGGGGCTCCAGGGGGGGGTCCAGCGGGGCTCCAGGGGGGGCTCCAGCGGGGCTCCAGGGGGGGCTCCAGGGGGGGTCCGGGGGGGCTCCAGGGGGGGGTCCAGCCGGGCTCCAGGGGGGGCTCCAGCGGGGCTCCAGGGGGGGCTCCAGCCGGGCTCCAGTGGGGGACCAGGGGGGGGGTCCAGCCGGGCTCCAGGGGGGCTCCTGCGCGGCTCCTGCGGGGGGCTCCAGGGGGGGGTCCAGGGGGGGGTCCAGCGACTGCAAAGGGGAGAAACTGGGCTCTTCTTTTTTAAAAAAAACCTCGCAAAGTCTTTACCGTCACTGCTTTAGAGAGTTTGGAGCGATCCCTGAACTTTAGCGGTTCCCCCCCCCGACCCTCTCCCCCGACCCCTCCCCGACCCCTCCCCCGACCCTCTCCCCCGACCCCCTCCCCCGACCCTCTCCGTGGGCTCTGCGGATCAGCGGCTCAAACTGTTGCGTCGGTTTCTAATTACAACCCGAAGCCGCTTTGTGCCCGAGAGAGGGATGAAGGGAGTGCGAGACTCCAGGAACCCATGTCCTCCCTCAGCCCATCTCCCCCCCACAGCCAACACCCAGAGAAAGGTCCCCCCACCCACAGCCAACACCCAGAGAAAGGTCCCCCCACCCACAGCCAACACCCAGAGAAAGGTCCCCCCACCCACAGCCAACACCCAGAGAAAGGTCCCCCCCCACCACAGCCAACACCCAGAGAAAGGTCCACCCCCCACACAGCCAACACCCAGCGAAAGGTCCCCCCCACAGCCAACACCCAGAGAAAGGTCCCCCCACCCACACAGCCAACACCCAGAGAAAGGTCCCCCCCCCCCACCACAGCCAACACCCAGAGAAAGGTCCCCCCCCCCCCCCAAGTGAACACCCAGAGAAAGGTCCCCCCCCCCCACAGCCAACACCCAGAGAAAGGTCCCCCCCCCCCACAGCCAACACCCAGAGAAAGGTGTGTCCCCCACAGACAACACCCAGAGAAAGGTGTCCCCCCCACAGCCAACACCCAGAGAAAGGTGTCCCCCCCCACAGCCAACACCCAGAGAAAGGTGTCCCCCCACAGCCAACACCCAGAGAAAGGTGTCCCCCCACAGCCAACACCCAGAGAAAGGTGTCCCCCCCACAGCCAACACCCAGAGAAAGATCCCCCCCACAGCCAACACCCAGAGAAAGGTCCCCCCCACAGCCAACACCCAGAGAAAGGTCCCCCCCACAGCCAACACCCAGAGAAAGGTGTCCCCCCCCACAGCCAACACCCAGAGAAAGGTCCCCCCCACAGCCAACACCCAGAGAAAGGTCCCCCCCACAGCCAACACCCAGAGAAAGGTGTCCACCCACAGCCAACACCCAGAGAAAGGTCCCTTCTCAGCAGGAGCAGTGCTGTGAAAGAAACTATCCAGTCCAAAGGAATTGTTTAAAGGTATTTGCAGAAGTAGTGCCTGAAGACCTTCCTCTTCGACCATGTTTGTGGTCATCTACCCCACCACCCCCCCCCCTCGGGTTGGGCATCGAGCTCTGTCAAGCGTCTGGGACGCTACCCTGCAGGAGTGGGGGGACTATATAAATGTAAGTCGTAGTTGTTGTTCAGAGTACTCCATATCCACTCTAATTGTGGATGTGAGAACAGTTTGGCGAATGGATTTACCTCCTTTCTCTTGATTTAAAGGAGGCAGCACAGACCCCGTGGGCTGAATAACAGCCGCCTTCTGTGCTGTAAATTTCTATGGTTCCTTGATGTGCAGAGAAATGGTAAGGTCAAGGAGTCGTCAGGAAGAGCCTGTGTGGCTGTGTTGTTCTGCTGCCTCAGATATAAAGCCACAAATGTTTCCCTCCCCTCAAACGGGAAATTGTATTGCAAATAAAACATTTTTAAAAATCGCTTCATTGGAACGAGAAGTTTGTGAGGCCATGTGAGTAAATGGCTTCTCTCTCCCTCTTCCCCTCCTTCAAGTCCCGCCTCAAGACCCTCCTCTTCGACCATGCCATCGGCCATCCCCCTTTCCCTCCCCTCCCTCCCTCGATCCCAGCTCAGGTCTGAAATGCTGTACTCTGTCCAGCGCCTTGGGACGTCCTCCCAACGTGAAAGGTGTTATACAAATGTAATCTTGTGTTGTTGTTGTTCTCTCACTCTGTGCTTCCCCCCCAACACTGTTCTTTTAGCAGTGAAACTAAAATGGAATTCAGTAATGTAAGAAAGTGCTTGGTGTGACAGAAACATCAGCGAGAGATCGAGATCTAGGTAGGATAGGTCAGAAGTCGTCATATGACAGCAGATTGGGGCGATAAGTTATGAGGAAGGGAAATGAACTATTTGTCTCTGGCTAATAAGGTTTTTTTTGGGGGGAGGGTTAGTAACTTCTTACTCCCATGTCTCCTGGTCATACAATGTCAGAGTGATCCCGCTCTCTGTTATCCCACAGCCTACTTTTCACTCCAGGTGATTTACTCTAGGAGGAAGTTTGGAATTTCTCCACCAGCGACCAGTGGCCACCCTGACTTTGAGAGAGTCTTCAGGGCGCAGTAAGTGCTGGGCCGCGGCGATGCACGGGAATACCGATGGGAATACCAACGGGAATAAAGATGGGGGAAAAAAATCCTTCCAAAGTAATTTCAACAGATTGTGCGCCGTATTTTTTTAATAGCTTCTTTACCTCTGCAGAGTGAACTGTTCCGAGTATTTCCCGATTTTCCTTGCCATGTTATGGGTTGCAGGGATTTTCTTCCATCAAGGTAAGCATCAGTGCGGCTCCTTGGCTCAGTGTGTGCCATGCCGCGATACAGTGAAAAAAATACTTTGGTCACTCAATCCACGACTGTTTGTTGCCTGTCGTGTTTTGCCCACAAAATATACAGACAATCCAATTTACAGTGTATTCTGCGAAGCGTTTTGAAAAGTCTCAAAGATGTGATAACAATAAGAAAATTACATTTGTACAGCGCCTTTCATGTCAGGAGGACGTCCCTAGGTGCTGGACAATCGGTGTTTCAGAGCTAAACTGGGCGTTGGGGAGCGTAGAGGTTGGGTGGGGGGGAAGGAGGGAGGCAAGGGAGGGGGCATGGCGGTGGGACTGCAGTATTGAAGGCAGCAGAGAGGTTAAAGAGGACAAGGAGGCCGAGGGAACCCTGGTCGCTGATGGACAAAATGTAATTTGTCCCTTTGATCAACGCTGTTTCTATGCTGTGTGCGGCACGGAAACCCGATTGGGAGGGTATGCGAAGGGAGTGGCGGGACAGGGAGGAGCGAAACTGGGAAGCAATGACTCATTCCAGGATCTTGGAAAGAAAAGGGAGGTTGTAGATGGGGTAGTAATTTGAGATCAGGGAGGGGTTTTTAAGGATGAGTGATGACGGACGTTTTTAAAGGGGGTGGAAACGGTGCCAAAAAGGTCCAGCCACATCTGATTTGAGTCAGGTACGTTCAGCGGCATGCACCTATGCCTTGAGGGAGCGGAGGTGGCTTACGTACCAGGGTAACTTCCATGAGTAGGAGGCAGTTTGGGAAGTGAGGGGAGCAAGGGCATTGAGAGTGGTGGAGAGAGAGTTGTGGAGGAGAGTGACCGAGGAGAATAGGTCATTGCGGGAGGAAGCCCAGAGGGGGAGGAGTTCGGATGACTCCAAGGCAATGGAGTTGGAGTGGGAGATTTTTATCCAGGGGTGGTAGGAGATGGAGATGGGTTGGGTGGAGGTGGGGAGAGGGGTTGAGCAGTTAAGGGAGAGGAAGTAATGGTCCGAGATGGCTTTGTCGGTCAGGATGAGGTCCGATGGTGAGGCCCCGAGTGATCACCAGGTCGAGGGGGTGACCTCGGACGTGTGTTGCGGAGTGCATGTAGAGGGAGAGGTTGAGGGAGGAGAAGAGGGAGGAAAAGTCAGCAGAGGTAGAGCAGGAGGGGGCAAAGTGAAAGTTGAAGTCCCCTCGGATGAGAAGGCGTTCGGAGCAGAGGGAGAGAGAAGATAAGGCGTTATATCAAATGCAAGGATTATTATTATGATGATCCATGTTTGAGGAATGTTCTCAACTCAAAAAAATTTCAAGATGTAATTACTGATGAGGTTGGGATTCTCCCATGGCACATGGCAAGATGCCACAAAAAATGAACAAGCAATGGATCTGGAGGATCGTTGGAGAGAAACCGCTTTCCCTCTTCCTCTTTCCCTCTTGGAAATATTTACAAAATCGCTCAATGCAGAAACTGATCAAACATCCCTGAACATTAATCAGCCTCACTGAATTTTTATTAACACGGACATACAATGTATTGACTGAAAGGCAATTAAAACACTAAAACAGCAGCTTAAAAATTTACATAGAATGATACAGGCATTGGGCTGAACCCAACTGGAAAGGCTTACAGTAATATGTTAATGTGCTAACTAATGGGGCCGTGTATGTACTGATGTCTCGGTCTCCTCTCTCTGCAGGCATTACCTCGTTCTTTGGACTCTTGTATCTGTACAGCAGGTACCTGTACTTCAGAGGCTACTCGGAGTCTGCTAAAGGACGGTGAGGCTAGTTACAGGGTGGCAGAGGATCTGACCGAGATGTCCACTCCCCACCCCCAACCAGGCACTCTCCTTGCCCAACACCAACACACATGCTCAGGGTGGATGGGTTGGTGGGGGTGAACTTTCCAAACTGTTTGGTTTAAAAAAAACATAATATACACAGTCACTCCACTTTAGTCGATTCTTGAAGCGCTTTGAGACATCTCAACACTGTGATGCATTTTGAGACGTCTCGTTGGTGATAAGGCGTTAAATCAAATGCAAGGATTATTATTATTAACTGAGCTGCGGGTGCGTTTGGGGAATGGGAAGCTTATAACTATCCACACAATCGGGGTGGGGGGTTTACTGTGTACATTGAGAACCGACTTATCATCCAGTGCCTCGTGAATCATGTCTAGAGTTTCTGGACAATTAAATGAACAAGTCTCTTTCTTCCCCCCCCCCAAGCATTATCCATATGTTTCTGTGTGGCCGTGTCGGGGTCTCAGCTGACACAGACACTGTTTGATGCTGTCTCCTTCTGTGTGCAGGTTGGCCCCACTGTATTTGTCCGCTAAAGTGCTGTGGGCACTGATTGGCCTGGCCACACTGGGAGTGCTCGATTACCTGTCCTCATATTACCTGGGCTTCAGCCTGGTGGCACCTGTGAAGAGATTTGTTGGTCTCTGAACATCCTCTGCCATCTCTCCTCTCCATCACTGTGCTCTGACACCATTCAAAACCACAGTCCACCTTAGGACCTGACAGTGCAACCGTTATCAGTGGATCTCCACAGCACAGTCAGTTGTGATGGTTTCTGAAAAATGGACAAGTACAAATGATGGTTTTATTCTTTGCTGTGATCCTCAACCCCTCACCTGGGATTTGTCATTACAATAAGCTTTCTAATGTTAAAACAAACAAATATGTATTTCAGCTAAATAATAATGTGAATGAAACTCGTCGTTATGAATGAATACAATGAACGTAAAATGATTTCTCTTGACATCATTGAGTCACAAAGGCTGTCGGGTACCAACACCGCACTAGTATTGGCTGCCGCGCTCGGGCACAAACTAATACAGTCACAACACCTTCACACTTGACGGTTTGTTTTTCTGACACACACTTTTGATCTACCGCCACGGCAACAACAACCACCACCGAGCGGCAGCCAATCACCTCCAATGACCTCCCCACTCCATTCAACAAAGATTGACAGTGACCGGAGGCAGCGCCAGGTAACGATCGTCGCGGCGACGTTGGCTCAGGACGTTCTCGGCTCTATCCCTCTATCCTGTGGTGCACACTGTGTGGCTCGGAGGGGGAATGGGAGGGAAAGGGCAACAACAACAACAACAGAATTACATTTATAGATGTAAATGTATCGGGTAGGACGTCCCAAGGTGCTGGACAGTCAGGGGTCAGGACCCGAGCGTGGGGGGTGAGGTGAAGGCGGAGGGGTGGGAGGGCAACCGAAGGCTCGAGCGAAGAGGAGGTTCTCGAGACCGGCCTTGAAGGAGGCAAGGGCAGGATATAGGAGGTGAACTGGAGAAGAGGGGAAGACAGAGAACTTAACAGGAGGGAACAGGAGAAGCGGGGTGGGAGAGAGTAAGAATGGGAGGCATTAACGTTAGCACCTAACAATGTGATTGTAATCAGTGGATCCCGGTGGGGGGGGGCTATGGGCCGAAAACAACAACAACTTGCTTTTGTATAGCGTCCCGCACGCAGGGTAGGGGCCCTGAGCCCATTGGACGTTGCTCTGTGGGTCGGGCAGGAGCAGAGGTGTCCTGTGAGAGGTGGGGAACGACCGATTAGATTTACACCGGACACGCACAGCCGTGCAGGATTTCACCAGGTGCCACCAGCTAAAGGAAGTCCATTCCTCAGCCCAGATCCTCCACTGCAGCTATCACAGCACATGGAGATCTTTGTGTTCTGTGTAGCTCAGATCATCATCTGGTTTGTATTTTTACCAACTGAGCCACTGAGGGAGCAGAGGTGTCAAACCTGTGGCCCCTTCTCTGTCTCCCTCTGTCTCTTCCTAAGTGTCTGAGTAAAGGTTTCTCTTTGTTGCTTATCTAGTCTTGTTGAATGGATCAGTTTGAATCCTACACAGCGGACATCAGGGAGAGAATCAAGTTCTTCATTGAAAGTCATCCTCTGCCTTGTACAAATAAATTTAAGCCCCGCAAGAGTGTCCCACGCAAAAACCCGCCCATCTCCTCGCTTTATTACCTCGACTACAACCACCGACTGGCTGAGCTGGGGCTGGAGCACGAACCAACTGAGCTCCGATTCAATGGCCAGAGGTTCACTTTTCGGAAAGGGAGATGGGTGTCCCACAGCCGAGACATGGACAACAGCAGCCAGAGCGATCTGGTGAAGAATATGAGAGAGAGGAACCGGCTCCTTCAGGAGCAGAACAACATCTTGACCCTGAAGATGGAAACGCTGATGGACATGTTGACGGAGACCACGGCCAACCTGCTGCTTCTGGAAGGGGGGAATGAGAGCACGAAGGTGGGAGAATCCCAGAGCAGCACCAGGAGGAAGGGCGTGGAGACAGAAGAGGAGGATGTCACTTGCGAGTACGAGGTCGTTGAGTCGACAGATGATCAAACCGAAGGCGGGAGCCGGATGGGGGTGAAATTGCCACTGAGCGACGACGTCTATGAATACGACGAGGACTCAACACCGAGTGATGAGGAGTCTGAGGCCGAGCGACCGATGACAAAGTGCGAGATCTTCCGGAAAAACTTCCTGGAAAAATCCAAAGGTGAGAAAGCCGGTCAGGCAGCAATAAAAACCCATGAGAAGGAGCGAGCGGGTCAGAAAGACTCCAAGGCCGGCAAGGAACTCCCCCCCAACAATGTCAGGAAACCCAAGGCCAAGAAAGCCGGGAAGAGTCCCGGACTTCGCCCCAGCCCCCGAACGATGTCCTACGATAAACTGGCCAACTCTGGGAGCGAGAAGGCAACCAAACGGGACCCAAAGCCCAATCTAAAGCGAAGTGAGAGGATGTATGAAATCAAAGTCCCTCCCAAATCTGGAATTGTGCTTCCACAAACTTCCAAGGTCAAAATAAAATCCAGGAAGTAACTCCTGGCTTAAGTGGAGCACAGGCACCGAGAGGTTCCCACGCTCATCTTCCCTGACTTGTTTAATGTGAGCAGGTAATTTCTTGTGATATAATAAAATAATGTAAAGACTTTTCTGTTATTTTCTTTTTAGGCGAATCTCCCTCCCCCCCCACCACCCTCCAAAAAAAGGTAAAACACGGGGTAGTGAATAAGACTGGAAAGGGAATCCATCCAAACCTCTCCTGTGATCCATCCCTTTCCTGCTCAGCCGATGGTGCAAGGTCTGACCGCAGCGATACTGCGCCTTCACCGCTCGGTGGCGCTAGCAACACAAAATCCCAAAGCCAACTCGGTAAAGCTGCTGTGCCGAGGATGCAGCATCCAAATGTCTGGGCCATATGACTGAGCCACGTCAGCTGGATGTTTAAGTGTAAAAAACATCACCAAGAACATTGATTGACCAGCCCCAATCCTATCCCCATGAAGGCCCGTACACGCCCTTCAATGGGGGGGTGGGTGGAAGGGATTGCTGTACAATGATCAGAAATGGGGAACCATGGCTGGTCCTATTCTGGGACACTTGTAAGTGATCGCATTGACCACAAATATTTCAGAACAAGTCAGGGACTGAACCAAGGATCTTCACAATCTTTACAGCTCAGCTTCTGATTGAGAAACTCACTGGAAATCATCAGGAAACCCCAGCCATTTCCTCCCATGTTTGCCCCTTGTCCAAAGAGGCTAACCCATGCCGGGGAACTAGTCCAACATAGCAGAAACAGTTAAAGTTGCTAATTAGACCCCAGTTTACTGCAGCAGAGAACTAACAAAGACATTGTCATACAATGTGCACATTGTAATCTCAGCCTTCATCTGATTTTACAGCTGAAGCTTTTAGCTTTTACAGAGCCCAAAGCTGACAGGAATTGGACCTTGTTGCACAAGGCGTGCTGGGATACAGAGCTTCCTGTGAGAGGATGTGGGTGAGACACAGGCCAACAGGACAGCAAACAGCAGAGTGTGAGGAGGAGGGACCGAAAGCTGGGGCTTTGTGTGTGTGTGTGTGCTACCCTGCATGAGGGGTGCTATCTATATGCAAATTGTTGTTGTAGGATGTGGCACAGGTCTAAAAATAGATGATTAATTGGGATGAACCAGTGTGAATGCAGGCCGGCAGAGACAAGGCGATTTTTTGATGAAACAAAGACTCAGAGTATCCACGAGACAGACGTGAATGTGTGATCTCACTTCACACACATTAGCCTTGAGCACAGTGGGGGGTGGGTCCCCAGAAACTCCAAGACAATACTTAAGGGATTTCTAAATTTAGATAATCACCTTCACAACTTATCCAATTGCCTTTTAATTATTGTTAGCATCTGAGGTTTAGTGTGTGCTTGTGGCAAAGTGTTCCCTGTTCTCACAGACACCCAACCCATTGCAGTCGTGAGCTGAGACTGTAGAGGAAACCCAGGCTCGATGGTACAGACTGGCTTTAGATCTGACTGGTCTGTGACCTGCAAAGGAGGAAAGGAAGTGCGCTGCTTTTAAAGCAGAACATATGTGATTCCAGATAACTGCTGCCTGGGCCACGCCTTCACTGGGAGCAGGAAGGTGGGCTCTGACCTTGACACAGGAAATCACTGTTGTTTTAACATTTGCCAACATAATGGCACTGTGCGATGGAGCCCGGCCTGACATCCTGTGCCTGTGTCAGCACCTGAGCCAAAGCTCCCACTAGAGACGAGGGACTCGGGGGCAGAGATTCCTCACGGTCTCAGCCTGAACAACCATTTTGCCTCAGAGTTTAAGATCGAGCAGAATTGTGAAAAATTCTTAAACTCTGTCTTCATTTGGAAGCCAATTCCTTTTAGAAAAGGATAAACCATCACCACCACCACCAACAAAATGACATTTGTTACAGTGCCTTTCATGTCGGGAGGACTGGACCCGAGCTGGGGGTTGGGATCAAGAGAGGGTGGAGGGCAGGGAGGGTGGGGGTCGGAGGAGGGTCTTGTGCCGGGCCTTGAGGGAGGCAAGAGAGAGAACGAGGCAAAGGTTCCCATCATTGTTGTGAAGTGCTTTGAGAAGTTCCTCCAACACCAATGGTGCTGTCTAAGTTTATGTTGATATTGCAGACAGGTTCATGTTTGAGGCGAGAGAGTGTGTCCAGTGATGGGCCAATAGTGCCCCAGAGTCTCTGCCCACAGTCTGCCACTGATTCTCAGAGCTGAGTGTGCCTATCATTATAAACCAGGAACATAAATAACACTATTTTTAACACTGATTAACTGTTGCCAGTCTATGAAAAGGTTCATTCACACTGTCTTAAAGTCTTGACGTGAGGAAACTGATTTTATATGACTTGGGAATCAGATTGTGCTGAAACAATGTGGCTTTGTGTGTGCGCTCTGGGCTTGAGTCCGGTCCAGGCAGCTGGGATTGAGGTTTCCGCACTTATGGATGTTTCAGGTGTTTGTTGGAGAAATATGAAGCAAGTTTGTGCAGTAAGTCTGGAACACAAAGCTTCCTGCACATTCAGAAAAATCATTTATTCAGCTAGGTCATTCAATGTGTGTGTATGTGTTTGAGTGGTGTGTGTGTGTTTGAGTGTGTATGTGTGTGAGTTTGTGTGTGGGTGGTGGTGGGGGGGGGGGGTGATGATGGGATGTCACACTTTGGGGTGGGTGAGGAGAGAATTGTCTGAAGTTTGGATGGATGTTCTGAAAGGAGATCAAATGGGCCAATGGGTCATCTTCATCCAAACCTTTCCTGCCAACTTTTATTATGAGGCCCTCCCTGGGTCGGCAATGGCTCCTCTCCACAGTTCCATGGGGCCCGGGAGAGTGGGCAGAGCCAGCTATGGACCTCTGTTAAATACACAACACCAGCTGTGAGAGAGGAACTGAAGGCTAAGCTGTGGGAACCTGACAGGTACTTGATGTGGAAGGAAAAAAGAGACCTCCTTCGTTAATTACTTAATAGATTTGGGAAGGTTTTAAGGAGTAAATCCTCAACTACTGATCTCTTTAGAGATGAGAAGTAGTGACACTTAATTTGCAGCGAGAAGCCGGTGTGAGAAGATTGGGTGAGAACAGCCAGCTATTCCATCCAGACATCACAGTAGGATTATCAGTCTGAGCTCCACAGCTCTAGCCGGCCAGAGCAGATGGTAAGACTTTATGTTGTATATTTGGTTCATTATCACTTCACTTCAGTCTCTTTCAGAATGCAATAACATTGGTTCAGAAACGCTTATGAGTTGGAATGACTTTGGGTTCAGTAACATCATTGTAAAACAAACCTTGGCTTTTGATATGGGTCCAAAAAGGTTGAAACATCTCAAAGGGCTTCCCAGCGAATCGCCATCATTTATAGTGACTGTATTACTGCACAAACACGGCAGCCAATTATTACACAATAAGCTCCCACAAAGAGGAAAATGAGTGAGTATGATTCTGTAGGACTGCTGGCCAGGTTGTGTTAGTACCTACTACTGAGTAGCTGACCCAAACCTTGGTGTATGTGTCCCGCACACTAACACTCTCTCACAAACGTGGGGCCTTGCAGGTCACAGACCTGTAAACGACCTGCGATTATGCTGACAGCAAGAGTTTGGGCTGCAAAAGCTGATGAAAAAAAAGCAACATCCTGTTTTTTAAAATGCTAAAAATAAAATCTGCATCAAATCCCCTCTAATATTTCAGCTCCAAACTTCCGTCGCAGATAGATGTGGCTCCTAATATCCCCCGGATCTCTGACAATGGAATTTCTAGTCACTTTACATGACTAGATTTCTAGTAATGTAGCTAGTAACTAGTAATGTCAGGATTAATTCCAGCGCAGGAATTCACGCCATACCAAACACCTGTCCCATTTACCGTAATTTCCTGGGCTCCCTGTTTCTAACCCATACTGTTCTGCTGTGCCCTGTAATATTATGTGTGGCGTTGTTATGTCCAGTCGCTGTGTAGTGTAAGTGGAGCATTTTCTGGGGTGGTATTTTCTGTGCCTTGTCCACATGGTTCACACTCAAACCAACTTCCTTGCCCAGGGTTTGCCTTCTGAATGTGAGCCAGGTCTCGTGTCCGCCTTTCCTCCCCAGAGATCAGATCTGTTGCTTCCACAGTGGCCGCTGAGGACATACAAAGCTCCAGACATCCATCCTGTAGCTATGAGTTCCCTGGGACTTTGACTGTTAACTGGTTTCATTCAAAAAAATGTCTTATTTGATGCTTTTGAATGACGTATGTCCATCCCTGGTGGTTAATGAAGTTGAACCCAATCTTGTTGACTATTGCTTCACAAAAAAAATCATGTAGTCATTCAATACACGACTGATTGTGATACACTAAGTGCACAATTGGCTTCTGCATTTCGGCCACAAAATACACAGTATATTCTGTAAAGCACTTTGAGATGTTTCAATGACTTGCTGAGACGCTATATCAAATGCAAAGGTGATTATTATTATAAGGAACTTAGCGGCATGGAATGTACGCTTTGTTTCAATGTGAAATCTGAATTTGCTTTGGCAGCTGCTTCACCCTCTGCCTCCACCATGTCCCTGGGAAACTGATCCACATGTTAACCTCTCACTGTGTACAGCAGTTACTGAGACCTTGACTCAATGGTTGACCATATTGAATAAGGGTTAGCGAGTCTCGCATGCCTGTAGCCTTTAGGATCTGGACTTCAATAAGATCTCCTCTTACTTGTTACCTCTCCATTGTCAGGTAATTCCCTTAGGTGGACTCTGAGATGCTGAGCTCACTCAGATGATCTTTAGGATTTTTGGGTAGCAGACGAGAGCCTATCCTGAAAGAGTTAATTTTCTCCAATGACACTTTTACATGAGAACGGCTTGACTTCCTGGGTTTGTTGTCATCAATAAGCGCTCGCTACCATTTGCAACATCCTATTTCTTTCACAATGACTTATTGTAAGCTCTTTGACAATAGTGCAGCTGGGGTACCTGATGGACCTGATGGAAGTATTTCCTGCGGGTTAGCAGCAATTAGCAAGAGAAACAGTAGCTTGTAATGAGCTATAAGCTACAACATGGTGTTGAGTTGAGGGTGACAAGAGAACCTTACAACTGGCTCAGAACTTTGTCTATAAAAGACTTTGTCCAGTAGTGATCACACACGAGTCACCCACAAAATACACAGCCACTACACTTCACAGTATATCCTGTGAAGCACTTTGAGACATCTTGAAGATGTGATAAGGCGCTGTATCAAATGCAAGGAATATTACTATTATTATAAGTCACCATCGGTCTCACTAGGTCTAACCCAGATGTTACGCAGAGAAAGGTTTGACGTAAACTTTCTGTGAAATGTGACATTTTAGTGACTCAAATTATCATTGTGAATATCTGCCAGTTCCAGAGCTTTTGGCCTGTGCAGAACTTACCTGCACAGAGATTCTGCCCCTTATGTCAGGAAGGAAATGGGAAGAGAATGGAGGAATAGCACCGCCCCACCCCCGCATGCTGGTAAAATGTGGGAAATCTCTACCCATCCCATCCCACATAGGACTACCCTTCCTGAGCTGGAACACATACAGGGATGAGTTCAATAGACACAGTGTGCTGGTCACTGGGAGTGTGCTACCCTCCCTCCCCCCACCCCTCCTCAACCCCCCCCCCCCCCCCCTCTCACAGTAGTCCCTTCTCTTTACTAGTAAGTGTTGTGGGACTATTGAAATCCTCTGCGGTTTTAGCTGGTTAGACTCCAGCAGTTACACACTCTGGTTAGACTCCAGCCTCGCACACTGGGCTCCTGCAAGCCTTGGCTCGTGCAACCTGCGCTTAATACTTTCTGGGATTAGGTAAGCGGGATGCATCCCTCCAGGGAGAGAGAGAGAGGGAGCACATTCCATTCCAACACTATCTCTGGAATTTCCATGTGTAGATGGGATGTATGGAATTCTCGGTTTGGTTTGGGGACTCTGTAAAGCACGGTGATCAGTTTTCCGCATGTGCCAGACAACCGCCTGGGGAAAAAAACAAACAAATTGAAATCCACCTCAACAGACAGATGGCACCTGGATTTAAAGTGTCAATGCAGTGGCTCCCCTGCCAGCCTGGACTGAGCACAGGTGGCCTGGCTCTCTCGCCCTGTGAGACTAAAGGAAGGGGTCCGTCCTGGCCTGGTTTGTCACAGCTCCTGACAGGAGGGAAGGGGGAAGGTGTCTGGGGGTGGGGGGGGGGGGGGTTGGATTTGGAGCCTTTTCACAGAGAGACACACACACACACACAGTCCTGGGACGGGACAGGGAAGCTGCAGACTCCTCCCAGCCCATCCCCAGCCCCTCTCGCCCTCTCTCTGCACTTGATGCTCATTGGCTTGAGAACAGTTATATGTTCCCGTACGTCAACACCGGAGGATGTGAAGACTAAGGGTTTCAGTTAACTTCAGGCAATAACCCGGTGAGGAGGGAGAGAGGGAGGGAGGGAGAGAGAGGGAGGGAGAGGGAGAGAGAGAGAGGGAGAGGAGGAGGGAGAGAGGGAGAGAGGGAGGGAGAGGGAGAGGGAGGGAGAGAGGGAGAGGGAGGGAGAGGGAGAGAGAGAGAGGGAGAGGGAGGGGGAGGGAGAGGGAGGGAGAGAGGGAGAGGGAGGGAGAGGGAGAGAGAGAGGGAGAGGGAGGGAGGGAGAGAGGGAGCAGACTGGGGAATGTGGTGTGAAATAGTTTGACTGTTACAGTTAGTGTCAGTAGTTAGTGAGAAAGATAACCAACCCATCCCCACCCCGGGGCACAGGGCTGAGCACAGGTTAGTGAAGGATCAGGGATGTCGGGAGCTGCCTAGGGCAGGGGGGCAGGGTGTGAGGGGGCAGTGGGGCAGTGGGGCAGGGGGGCAGGGGCAGGGGTGAGGGGGCCAGGGGGCAGGAGGGCAGGGGGCAGGGGGGCAAGGGGGCAGGGGGGTGAGGGAGGATGGAGATACAGGGCTTCTGGCTGTGTCTGACCCTGGTTTGGTGGCCAGTTTGCTGGGGTGGGAGCGGCAGGGACCCGCCCACGGTGAGAGCCCGGTACCGGGTGTATGAGGAGGTACCCGAGGGCACGTTGATCGGGAGGTTAGCTGATGATCTCAGTCTGGAGCCGGAGTTGGAGTTGGGTCCCGGACGCTATGAGCTGTTGCTGCCGGGACCGGAGTGGCCGGTGCGGGTGTCACCTGGAGACGGGGCGCTGGAGAGCTCAGGGCGGTTGGACAGAGAGGCGCTGTGTGGCTCCCGGGGGCCCTGCAGCCTGGGGATGGGGGTCCTGCTGAGCAGTCACCGGGGGGAGCCCAGGGCTGTGGTGCAGGTGGAGATGGAGCTGATGGACATCAATGACCACGAGCCTCGCTTCCCCAACTCCAGACTGGAGATGGAGATCAATGAGAGCGCCTCAGTGCGCACCCGCCTGCCTCTGGCCGGGGCTCTGGATGCGGACGTGGGGGAGAACGGCCTCAGTCACTACCTCCTGTCGCCGAGCCAGAACTTCGCCCTCGAGGCGGCCCGCGGGCCGGACGGTGGGAGGCGCCCGCATTTGCTGGTGAAGGCGGCGCTGGACCGGGAGCAGCGCTCGGTACATGAACTGACGCTCGTGGCGGTGGATAACGGGCAGCCCCGGCGCTCCGGTACCGTCTCTGTCCGCATCAACGTGTTGGATTCCAACGACAATCAGCCCCGGTTCGCGGGGACCCCCGAGGAGCTGCAGATCAGAGAGGACACGGCGCCCGGGACCACCCTCCTGCACCTCACGGCCACCGACCCCGACCAGGGCAACAACGGGGAGGTGCGCTACTCCCTGACCGGACCCCGGGACCCCGGCACCGCGGACATCTTTGCCATCGACCCCCAGAGCGGCCGCTTGTCCCTGACCCGAGCCCTGGACCGGGAGAAGACCGGAGTCCATCAACTGCAGGTTCAGGCCAGAGATCTGGGACCAAACTCCATCCCTGTTCACTGCAGCATTCAGGTCACAGGTGACCGACCTCTCACTCTCTGCTTTTAAATAATAATAATAATTAATAGTAATAATAATAATGGACGCATTTGATATATCCCTCGTTGTGCTGTTACTGATCTCAACCCCACTCTGTGCTGTTACCGTCTATCCCTACACTCTCTCTATCCCAACACTCTCTCTATCCCAACACTCTATCTCTACACTCTCTCTATCCCAACACTCTCTCTATCCCAACACTCTCTCTATCCCAACACTCTATCTCTACACTCTCTCTATCCCAACACTCTCTCTATCCCAACACTCTCTCTATCCCAACACTCTCTCTATCCCTACACTCTCTCTATCCCTACACTCTCTCTATCCCTACACTCTCTCTATCCCTACACTCTCTCTATCCCTACACTCTCTCCATGAGGTCACCAGAGTGAGACACTGGTGGGCGGCTGGACTGAGAGAATCGGAGTTTACTGAGGAGGGAATACTGAAAACGTTGTCGAATAAGTTCAGGCATTAACAGAGGATTTTCAGCCAATTATGATTTGAGAATTAACCTCAATATAATCTGTAAAATAAATACTAGAAACATTGCGACAATGAACACGAAAGGCTCAACGTTAACCAAACGCTTTGTTCTTGATTTGTTCTTGAAGTTCTGGACGTCAATGACAATGCTCCGGAGATCCACGTCAGCTCAGTGTCGCCGATGGACAACACGGCTGTGGTGTCTGAGATGGTGGAGAGGAACACGTTCATTGCCCTGGTGAGAGTGACGGACCCTGACTCGGGGGAGCCAGGCAGCTTGAAGTGCTCACTCCAGGCCAATGGCCATTTCAGGCTCATCAAGACCGATGACACCAATTACATGGTCGTGACTAATGCCACCCTGGACCGGGAGAGCCAGGCCGAGTACAACCTGACGCTGGTGGCTGAGGACAATGGGTCTCCGTCCCTCACCTCCATGAGGCACTTCACAGTCAAGGTTACAGACGAGAATGATAACCCCCCGAGCTTTCTCCAGGACAGTTACCAGGCCTCGGTGTTGGAGAACAGTCTCCCCACGGAGCCCGTTCTCACTGTGACAGCCCGTGACCTGGACCTGGGCAACAATGGCCAAGTTACTTACTCTATCCGGGAAGCTCGTGTGCTGGGAATTCCAGTACCTTCTCTCCTCACCATTGACCCCAACACAGGTGCCGTTCGCACCCTCATACGGTATGACTATGAGCAGTTCAGGCAGGTGGAGTTTGTGGTCCAGGCGAAGGATGGAGGGGAGCCCTCATTGCTGAGCGAGATCCACGCCAGGCTCGACATCATCGACGTGAATGACAATGCTCCAGTGATCACCCACCCGCCCCTGAGACACGGCACAGCTCACATCACTGTGCCCATCACCATGGTGTCTCCATCACCAGAACCCGTCACAAGGGGCTCCAATCACCGGGCACCGTTTCCCAGACAGTCTGGCTCACCGTCAGTCAAGGTAGCTGCAGAGAGAGAGTCTGGCTCCTCCATCATCACCAAGGAGCCCGAGGAGTTCAGCGGCGCATCCTCCAGACCAGCGCTCACCAGCCCCGAGGAGCAGCTTTACCTGGTCACCACGGTGACAGCAGAGGACGCTGACTCTGGTACAAATGCCCAGCTCAATTATTCCATCACCGGGGGCAACGAGGAGGGGGTGTTTACGGTGAATGAGAGCCTGGGGCTCATCCAGGTCAGAGCTACCAACTGCAGCCAACTCCTGGCCAAGGAATGGACAATTCTCATCTCAGTGCAGGACGGAGGGAAGCCTTTTCTCTGCACCAGTGCTGCCCTCACCGTCACCTTTGTCCGGCAAGATGGAAGGTCCATGGGACCAGCGCTGGCCAGCCAGAAGCTCAGTGTGTCTTTGCTCAGTGTCCTGTTCCTATCCGGCTTGTGTCTGCTTCTCCTGCTACTCGTGGTCTTCCTCAGGGGCAGATGTAAAGCCGAGAAGCGGGACAGCCGAGCATACAACTGCCGGCAGGCGGAGTCCAGCTACCAGAACCATCCCCGGAGACCTCACCGTCACATCCAGAAGACGGACATCACCCTACTCCACCCTGGGAAACCCAGGCCCGAGCCCCCGGCTCCTCCCTGCCCTCCGTCCCCCCAGGAGAAGCCTCCGGAGCCTGAGGAAGAGAAGCGGCCAGAGCCGGAGAGACTGTACCCCACCCTGCGGAGAGAGAGGGATCCCCGGCAGCAGCTGCTCAGGGAGCTGGTCAGGCTCTCCATGGCCGGCTTCTCAGACTGCACCTTAGAGCTGAACCCAGGCTCCCCCCATGTCCAGGTGAGCAGCTCCTATCTGCCTCTATCAACAACAACAACTACTACATGCATTTATGGAGCTCCCTTCACGGGGGGTAGGGTCCCGGAGCGCTTGATGGTGGCGGAGTTTGACCCCGAGCCAAGGGGAGAGGGAGGGGGGAAGTGACCGTAAATCCCTACATAGAATGCCTTTCTACTGCAACACTGAACTCTGTGAGATATTATACAGGTACAATCCAGGGAGCGAGAGAGAGAGCGCATCCCCTTTTAACAATCTATCTCTGGAATTTCCATGTGTATGTGGGATGCATGGAAATCTCAGCTTGGGTTGGAAACTCTGATGAGGGGCTCTGGGAGGGAGGCAGAAAGGCTCTGGGGATGGAGTTGCAGATTCCCTTCCCGGACTGACTCAGAAATGTCCTCACATTTTGTGTTTACAGCAAATCTCCCAGTTGTTGTCGTTGCTGCACCAGGGACAGTTCCAGCCGACGCCGAATTTCCGTGGAAACAAATATTTAAAGAGCTGCGGGTGAGTAAGGCTTGTGAGTCAGATGTTTGCATGTTTCAGGTGCTGCATCAATTGCCTATCGTTGCATTTGATATCCTGCCGTATCACCTTGTTGAGACGTCTCAAAGCTCTTCACAGAATACACTGTATAGTGTAGTGACTGTGTATTTTATTCTTTCTCTGGTGCAGTCGGGCTGTGGCTCAGGATGTGGACAGGACGAGCCTGAAGGACAGTGGTCACGGGGAGAGCGAGGCTGGAGACAGTGACTGTGAGACAGGCCATGACACCCCACTGGAGCAGCTGCTGGAGGCAGGGTTCAGTGACCTGCTGGCCAGGAATGGCTGGCCGGTCCCCACAGGTGGGTCATCATTGCCCCAACAACAACCACCATACAACGCCTTTCACACCGGGAGGAACATAGGAACAGGAGTAGGTCGTTCAGTCAGCCCCTCGAGCCTGTTCCACCATTAGATCATGTACCTCATCTCCAATTATCCCCATTTGCTCCATATCACCTAGTTACCCTGACCTGACACGGACATCCCAAGGCACTGTTATAATGATAATAGTACCTATATTTGATGTAGTGCCTTATCACGTGGTTGAGACGTCTCAAAGTGCTTGACTGTAAAGTGGTTTTGACTGTGTGTTTTGTGGGTGTGTGGGTCAGGATATTGTCACAGCGGCGCCTGTACTCATCGGCAGTGTCGCTCTTTCTCGCTCTGTTTCAGGTGGGGCCGAGGCTGCTGATCAGCTGAGACTGGAGGAGTTATGCTGGTCGCTGCCTTCCACGCTCACCGCCGATTACCGGGAGAACCTGTTCAGCCCTGAGACCCCCGGCTCTGCCAGCACCTCCCAACCCCCCGGCGACAATCAGGAAACCACCTTCTCCACTTTCGGCAAGGCTGGTGCTGGGCCGGAGGTCACGGGGTCGCTGCTGAACGAGATGAGCACCTTCTTCCAGCTCCTCCTGGCACAGAAAGCCGAGGCTCAGGCATCGCTTGACCGTGAGTGGGATGGATCGGGGACAGAGGAGGACAGCGAAGAGGATCCCCATCAGCTGGTTTAACAGCAAGCAAGGGAACAGTCTTCCCTGAGAATCCCCGGTGGGAGGCTGAGGCTCACAGAGCGGGACAGCAAGAAGCCCAGGAAAGACGGACAGAGAGGTGCTTAATCCCAACCCCGTGGTGTTCCCACTGGATTCCAGGCTGGCCATTCCTGGCCTCGAGATACCTGGTGCCACAGACTTTCTGAGGGTCAGAGGTGACAGAGTGTGCACCCTATACCACTTGGGTATCACTGGTGTCACCAACATCAATGGGGAGTGTTCATCGAGTAAGGCTGTCACCCCCACAGCCCAGGTCAACAATCGCTGCCAAAGCTTCACAACTGTTGGTGACGTGACCTCCTCTCGTGATTGTTTGGGAGTAGTCTAGACCCTGAAATGGTTTCCTTCAGTGGGTGCCTCACCGGTGACGATGTGTTTTATGCGTGTGATGGTGTGTGTGTGTGTGTAACGGGTTGTTTTATGTATGTAATTTATGGTACACTTGTATTGTTTACTACATGTTCCACATGGTGTATATGTTGCCGTTATTAAATAAATTTCACATAAAATACTCAGGATCAACACTAAGGAACTTTCAGCTGTCGACCTGAAATTGTCAGACACAAATTTACTGCACTGTTCCACTCACACACCAAATACTGAGCTCAACAACAACAAATTGCATTTTCACAGCGACTTTCATGTTGGGAGAACGTGTCGAGGTGCTGAGACAGTCAAGGGTTTGCACCTAGGCTGGGGGTTAGGATCAAGAAGGGTGGGGGCCAAGCGTGGTGAGGGTGGGAGGATGACCGAAGGCAACGGTGAAACAGGAAAGTCTTTAGACGGGCCTTGAAGGAGGCAAGGCAAAGGGATTCTGGGATGGAGTTCCAGAAGTTGGGAACAGATAGGCTGAGCACAGCTCAGAAACCACTAGAAATCATTTCTACACAAAGGCATAAATTAGCAGCCATCACTAGTCACTTCCTTCCACCCTGATGCAGCTCCATACACTGCCCTTTACTTCCTCTCATTCTGCTCCTTTCCGTTTTCATTAAGGAGTTCCTCTCTTCCTCCCCTCTTGCTATTCCATGCCTCCTGCCCTTTGGAGCAATCTCCTGTATGAAGTATTGCAATCAGAGAAACATGGAATATTGGGACAAGATAGCTCACTTGACATGTCACCATTAAAGACAGAGTCAGGAAGGGTGTAGATTCTCCACATACTGAAAAAGCTCCTTTCCCAAACCCTAACCCTCTCTCTAACCATCTCCCAAGCTCTCTCCCCAACCCTAATCTGCCTTCGTAATCTCCACTTTATCTGATGCTTTTCAGGAGAAGCTGACAAATTAAACTGTTAACAATTTGCTTTGATTTGTTCAGAAGCTTACTGCGGTGCAGTGAAATACATCTCCATGACTGACTGTTGCTTTGGTGTGAAACAATAACATAACGTTTAACAAAGTCGACTACCATGGTGCTGACGGTCAATTAACACAGAGTCACAATCAAACTCCTAAAGTCATGGACTTTATTCACAAAATAACAAGAGCTGTGGAATATAAAGAGGCAACTCTCTCAGGTCTGTGAGACCTCACATAGCTTTGGTACATAACATGTTATACATTCATCGCCTTCAGTTATTGTACTTAAATCAGGAGGAAAGACAACTCGATTCCTGGGAGAGAACAATCACCGTCAGAAACCATTATTGCACAGAGCAGAGAGCTCCAGCCGGGAGCCTTACACCAGCACAGACACAATCAGCTCCTGGCTGCTCCCAGGTCTCCGCTCCAGGACACAGCCCCTCGGGAAGAGAAGCACCAAGGACAGGAACAGGCTTCCCAGGAATAAAATGAAGCGAGTCTGGAAAGGCCTGGGCAGGAAAAGCCCAATGTCTGATCACACAGCCCTTCCTCACTGTTAAACCTACAGGATGTCCTCACATTCACTAACTGCAGGTTAGACGTAAATAACACATTGACCACAACTCTGCAAACAACAGTGAGCTTCTCTTGGAGATCCAGCCTCGCTGAGTAAGAGCTTTCTGTAATCTCATAAAAAGGTAAAGATTTTTTGAGCCACTCATAGCTTATACTGTAGGAGGATGCAGATCCCAAAGACCAGCCAGAGACTGAATGCGGGGAACAGACACAGTGATTAGCCTGACAGTGTTTGTCAGAAACATTGTATTTTGATGCAACATCTCAAAGTGCTGGACAGTCACTCCTGTTAAAGATAGTGACCTTGTAGACAAATACGACATTTTAAAGAGCTGTGAGGTGAAAGAGGGATTTACTTGGAGGATTGTTAGCCAGGACATCAACAAACTCCCTTCTCTTTTCCAATTGTCGTGGGGCCTTTAAAGTCCACCTGGTCAGACAGACTCGGTTTAACATCTCATTCGATATTGACATTGACAACAAAGTGCTAACCCCCTCCCCTGTAGTGTCAGCCTGGACTGTGAGCTCATGTCACACTAACACAAGCCACACAGCAACAGGTAGTGTCAGGGGAGAAGCTGCAGTGCAGCAGCTCTCAACGTGGGTCAGTAAAACAGGCACAGCGTAAACACATCACAGCATATATAAGCCCATAGGGGCTATAGCTGACCATTGGACAGCTCCGCTGCTGAAGTGACTGGTGCCGAAGGTCAACACTGAACAGGACCATTTTACACCCAAATCAAACAGCTTTTAAACATTTAGTGCCTTACATTGATAGGCAAAATTGCCGAGGTTTATAATAGGATTATCTGGAGGCTTACACACAACAGGCTGTTGCGCAGGGTGGGGGGGTGTGTGAGAGCAGTATTAACACCTGTGTTTGGTGTTTTCTTCTCTCAGTGCTAAGTGGCGGCTGTGGAGACACACAGTCCTGGTTAGGAACAGGAGGTGGCCATTCAGCCCCTCGAGCCTGTTTCATTATTCTATTAGATCGTGGCTGATTTGGACGGAATCCAGCCCCCGCATAGGGGACCTTACCCCAGGTACAAAGGAAATACGGGATGAGCACAGTCAGCACTGCAGCGGTCACCTCAACACAGAGCCAGGTCCTACATCTGTGACCTGCAGTGTTTGCTGTGCCAGGTTTAGGTCCAAAGTCCTAATGGCAGACAATAAGAATTCACATTACAGTCTTTGCTACAGTGCAGCCTCCACCACAAACAGACAACCAGTTACAGGGCTGTTAGTGGACACCTGGCTTCACCCAACCCCTTTAATCCCGCAACCTGTGGGATGGCTCAGTGGAAAAGCTCCTCTGGGATCCAGGCTTGCGATGTTCGCTGTGAGGAGCTCAGGTCTGTGGCTGAGGCTGGCTTTACTGGCAAGCGGGAGGCAGAGATTCCCGGTACTCCGAGAATGGGATAGAGACCACCCTATGTCTGTCAGTGAGGAGGGTCCCGGGCTGTGCCTAGGCTGTGGTCCGGACAGAGCAGAGAGACATGGCCATGACACCACACACTTCAGGGCTGCACCTTCACGGTGCCTGGGATGTAGATCTGTGCAACAAAAGGCTATTAACCACAGACTCCATTTACTCTAACCCCACATTCCTCTAAACGCTTGATCTTTTCACAAAGGGGGCGAGAACATGAAATAGACTCCCTTAGGCAGATACAGGCTTGGAATGAGAGACACTCCGAAAGTAATAAAAATTAAGGGACGCGCAGAAATGACAGGGAGTTAGAATTGAAGAGTTCGGGTAGACAATGGCAAACTAAACTCGATGAATGTCCTCTTCAGCCCCTAACCTCTGGAACTGCCTCTGTGTCTTGCCCCTTCTCTTTTTTTCTCTACCTGTCTTTAAATCCCCTCCTAAAACCTACATCTTCAACTGCGCTCAGTCACCTCCCATCCTCTCGCTCAGAGCTGAGCCTGTCCTACTCACCGTTGATGTGCAGATCTTCCATCAGATGCTGTAGATTTTCTGCTGCCTCTTCACTGCCTGCCCGGGCTGCTCTCTGGTACAGCTCCAGGGCTCGCTGATAGTCCACGGCAAGGCCTGAGGGTCAGAACGGACAGATTGTTGGGGAGAGAGAGAGACACACACATTCACATCCAGGAAGCTTCATTCAGCATCACACAATGGCTTCCCAAGAGATAAAACTATCTCCAAATAACCCTTTAGCTACTCTCACCATCGGTAAAAACGCCTTTCATGTTGGATTAAAAATTTTATTCAACTGATATTAAATGTTTGAGGCCATTCCCATTCCATGCTCTCTCTCTCTCTCCCCATTGTGTTTGTACTGGTGATCGCTCTCACACTGAAGCTCTCTACTCTAACCACCTTCCCTGCTCTCTCCCATCATTGTAATAGTGATCTCAGATAATGTAGTGGTTGCGTAACCTCCTAGGCCTTGTTGGTACAATGCTCCGAGTGCACACTGGGCGTCCCGATGTCCAGAAGCTGCTGCTTTGTGGTACAGCTCAGCCGCTTGACGGACATCTGTCTGCACTCCCCATCCCTGCTGGTAACACAGCCCGAGGTGGTACTGACTGCAGGAATCCTGTCAAACAATGACAACTCTCACCATTGAGTCCTTACAGTCAATACAAGTGCACGATCAATCTGCTGGGTTTATTCTGCCTTACCCCATTGTCTGCTGCCATCCTGAGATACATGATGGATTTCCGCTGATCGCGGTGAGGACCTTCGGAGTAAACAACCCCGAGGTGGGCCTGGGCCTGGGGCAGCGAGAGGAAAAGAGTTTCTCAGAATGCTCCATTTCATGTCTGGAGTAACGTGACGTGCAGCGCAGAGTCACTGAACCTCACATTCACATTTCATTCACTTACCTCTTTAAGGCCGGACTTTGCTGCCTTTTCCAATTGCTCCAGAGCTCTCCGAGTGTCCCTCGTCTCACTTCCCGTTTTTCCATGTAAGAGGTGCCGCCCCCAGCAGTACTGAGCCCTGCTGTGCCCCTGAGCAGCCGCGTAGCTGTAATACAAGGCGGCCTGGGGAGTGGGTGAGAGGGGGGGCTGTCAATACGTGTAGCTTACTAACTAACACCCCTCCCTTCTTCAAACTCTCCAGGAAACCCGGCTCCTCTGAGATAAAGTCGAGAGATCTTAACAAAAACACTGGCTGCAGTCTTCAGCTATTCAAGAGTGCGATGATTGTTTGCTGTGTCTTTACCTTTGTCATGTCTTTGCTGATGCCCTTTCCCAGCTCATAGCACACCCCCACGTTATACTGCGCCTTTGCGGAGCCCTGACTGGCAGCCAGCTTGAAACAGGAGAAGGCAGCCTCGTCATCCTTGGCTTTGGCATTTTGAATCCCTAGTGAGAGGAGAAGGGTTTTAGCGAAGGTTAAAATAAAGGGAACATTCCCACATTCTGTCCAAGTGTAACCAGCAACTCGGTGCGAAACACACAAAGGAGTTTTAATTCAGTGCAGCACAGAATAAAGAGAATTCACGATTCACATTCAACCCGATCATCGTTTTTGCCCACGAAACACAGTCACTACACTTTACAGTATATCCTGTTAAGTGCTTTGAGACATCTCAATGATGTGATAAGGAGCGATATCAAATACAAGGATTATTATTATTATTTAAACATTAGACCACTCACCAATAATGTTGATGATGGAGGAAATACTGGAGCCCACAACTGTGTCCATGTGGGAGGCAGCTTGCTGTAAAACCTCGTCTGGATTTGATTCCTCTTTCTACACAAACAAGCTGGGTTTAGTGCAGGTCAGGATGATAAAGGCAGCCTTTGTTACCAGCACCTGCTCTTCCTGGCAGGAATATCAACCACAAAGCTGATGGCTTCCAGCAATGGGTAGTGTCAGGATTATTATTATATCATAATAACTCAAAGTACACGCATAGTGACGCACCCTTTGTGTGCTGGGTGCAAGTGATGCTCCGCCCTGTGTTTTTGGGGGTGGGAGGGGCAAACCAAATGCTGGCAAACTCACTGCTATTGATCAGCTGAAACCCAGGTCACTAAGTCAGAGACAAAAACTCACACTCTTTCCTTTCTCTGAGCAATGGTGTAGATTTCTGATGTAAAAATTCTCCGACGAGCTCACACTTCGGAAGCGACCTGGTCAGATTCTATTTTACTAAACACATGGAGCTCCGGGAGAGAGAGGAAGGCAGCTTCCTCCAGGGAAGCTAGCGTCAGGTTATTATTAGACTGTTACTTAAGACGGCGGTTTCCCTGGTGTTCCAGACCATTACCGTCACATTTCCGCGCTCCTCTTCCTCTCCCTCTGCACCAGATGTGAAATTCTCTACGTCGTCCACAAACAGGACATCACCTGCGAGGCACAAACAAACAGCGGCACATGACGCTTGTTCTATTCTGGGGGAGTTGCGCACTCCGAGTGAGAGACGCACGGAAAGTACTGGCAAATCAACTGCTTTTACCCGCTGCACAAAGAGTGATTCTGGCTCTGTGCTGCAGGACGTCACAGGCTAAGAGCAACTCTTAGTAGTACAGTGACCGGATTCTGAGCTGAACTTGGCTGCTCCGTTTGGCTGGAGCTGCACCGAGGTGGGGGAGTGGGGGTTCTCAGAGCTATTTAGTCCCGGTCAGCGTGGGTTGGTTTGGTGGGGAAACATGGCACCCATTTGTCCCACATACAGCCATGAGATGAGCAGCTAATCTGAGGACACAGGGAAGCTCCCATCTTTGCCATTACTCCCGTGGGATCTGTACCGAGCTCTGGGTTTCTGTGGCACTGACCTGAGTGGACGTTCAGACTGGGGTGTGGCTGCTCAGCGCTGGTACCCAAAGCAGCTTCGCCTTCAGAGTGGGACGATTCCCCCCCAGAGTCCGATCTCCCACCCGTCGAGCCCCTGACAGCGTGAGCGAGCACAACACGAGGCAGAACACTCCGACAGCAGCCTACACACGTGACACAAAAGGAATAGATTAAACACAGCACCTGGGCTATCACTTAACCCTCAGCACAGCAGCCGGCAATGGGAGGATGGTAGTGGGTGTTCTGGGAGCACGATATCAAATAGGTGTCCTTCACCCAAACCTCTCGCGATCATCACCTAAAGCTGCTTCAGAGGAACAGGAGGAGGCTATTCATCCTCTCGAGCCTGTTCCGTCATTCTATTTGGTTATGGCTGATCTGTACCTCAACTCCAATTACCCGCCCTTGCCCCATATCCCTTGGTACTCTGACTTAACAGAAATCTATCCACCTCGGTCTTGACTATTTGAATGAATCCAGCATCCACAGCCTTTGGGGGAGGGAGAGGTCCAGATTTCCACAACGCTTTGTGTGAAAAACTGCCTCCTGATTTCTGGAGTTATTTTTCCGCTCCGTTGTTTCCAAATACCTCCCGCCTACGTTCCTCCCAGCTCACAGAGGAGAAAACAAACCAAACTCACCGATTCGATCCTGGTCCAAGGCCGAAGCGATGATGTTGCGGACACAGAGGACTGACCCGCGATGGCTCTCTCGCTGACGGGGCTTGTGAGAGAGCTGCTGATGGATATGCTTCGCTAGGTGTACAAAGACTACAGCAGCCGCTCCCTGGAACACAGGATGTGCAGATTATTACAGATCACACCTCAATGGGCTGTACATGAACCACAACAACTCTGCCAGCTGTTGAGGAATACGATCAATGATTGCGTTACAGTGACCGAGATCTGCCCGATCCTTACCCAGCCCACAGCATCCAATCCCGAATACCGGGGCAAGTGACTGGAGTAAAACCGGAATCCCTCTTCCTTTGTTTTTTGTCTCCCGCCTCCGGTCTCTCCATGCTGGGATTTTGCTGAGCTGAAAGATTTAACCAGATAACAGAAAAATCACAAGTGATGTACACGCAGAGAAGGGGGTACACTGAGAACACCAGAGAGGGAAAGGGAAGGGAGCTTTTAACACTGGATCCACTGTTTGTGTGAAACCTCAACAATTGGCAATATTTCTCCTTCAGGACAATTTTCAAAACAACCCAATGAAACTGAGGCGTTTAAAGGTTCAATAGCAAACCTGCTGTCGAGGGTGAAGCGGCCTGAGATCAGAGACGAGGGGTTTAACGAGTCGTCGTCAGCGTGGTGGCTGGGTGGGAGCCGCAGCGGAGGTGGTGGGCCTGTGATGTGCCAGCGGTGAAGTGCTGAATAATAAAAGTGATAGTCAGTGATTAGAAAGCCTGTTCTTAGCATTTCACAAGCTCCGTTTCCCAGACATCAACAACAACTTACATTTACACGGTGCCTTTCACGTCGGGAGAACGTCCCAAGGCGCTGGACAGTCAGGGATTTGGACCTGAGCTGGGGTTGGGATCAGTAGGTGGTGGGGGGCAGGGAAGGTGTGGGTAGGAAGGTGGCCAAAGTCACGGTTGAAGAGGAGGGTCTTGAGTTGTAACTCGAAGGGGACGAGGCGAAGGGACTGTGGAATGGAGTTCCAAAGGGTGGGGGCAGAAAACAGAGACGCTCTTGCGACGCGATAAGGCGCTGTACCAAATGCAAGGTTATTATTAGTGTCATTACTGTATCATCAGTTACTGCGTTTATCGTAAACCAACCCGTTTACTGCTCCTCCTGGAGTCAACATTGAGACATCCCCACCGTGTGGCCAAGATCAGGTTCAGCTTTCCTCGTCACTCGCATGTGGGGACCTGACGCAATGCAACAACAACTTTTTGCCATGGTCACTTTCCTTCCCTTTAGTCGCACGAATGTTTACAAGTCTGCAAAGCATTGCAGCCTCTCCCTCTCCCTCTCCCGCACAACCTCACACGCTCAGACTCACCCTGGACAACATCTCAAACCGCTGCACAAAGATTGTCCAGCACTGAGAATGGCGGGTGTGGGTGGGTGGGGAGTGGGGGGTGGGGGGGAACGTACACGCAAGTGTTTATTGTTTTGATCAGCCGAGTGTCCGACACACGTGTGGAAGCCCAACCACCCACTGTGTCCGAGTCTCCAAACCACAGGCGAGCTGTTCCGGCCGGCTTTCCCGCGGCTTGTCCAGCTCGGACCACCCTCCCCGGGAGGGCTTTGGCTGCAGGGTTACCGGGAGCCGAGGGTGACAGAGGGGGAGCCTGCCCCCAGTGACTGGTCTGCCCCACCTCTCTCTCTCCCTCCCCCCCACCAACCGCTCTCTCCCCCCCTCTCCGACCACCTCTCTCCCTCCCCCCCCAACCGCTCTCTCTCTCTCCCCCACCTCTTCCCCCCTCTCTCTCTCCCCCCTCTCCTCTCTCTCTCTCTCCCCCCCCTCTCCTCTCTCTCTCTCTCCCCCCTCTCCCTCTCTCTCTCTCCCCCTCTCTCCCCCCCCTCTCCTCTCTCTCTCCCCCCCTCCTCTCTCGCTCTCTCCCCCTCTCTCTCTCCCCCTCTCTCTCCCCCCTCTCCTCTCTCTCTCTCCCCCTCTCTCTCCCCTCTCCTCTCTCTCCCCCCCTCTCTCTCCCCCCCTCTCCTCTCTCTCTCTCTCCCCCTCTCTCTCCCCCTCTCTCTCCCCCCCTCTCCTCTCTCTCTCTCCCCTCTCTCTCCCCCCTCTCTCCCCTCCCCCTCCCCCTCTCTCTCTCTCCCCCCCTCTCCCTCTCTCTCCCCCCCTCTCTCCCCTCCCGCGGGTCTCACCTCTGACCACCAGCGCCTTCAGCCGCCACATCCCTGCCACCACTTCCGCCCGGCGCCCCCACGTGACTTCCGCTCCCCCAGCGCCCGCATAGAGCGGTTTCAGGCTTGACGTCACTTCCACATCCGGCCTGTGCCCCGCCCCCCACCCTGACCCTGTGACCCTGACAGCACGTGCTGGGAAAGTCAAACTTAAATATCATATAAAACAACAATAATAATAATAACAATAATAATAATGATAATAACCTTTGCATTTGACACAGCGCTGATCATGTTGCTGATACGTCTCAAAGTCTTTAAAACACAGGATATACTGTAAAGTGTAGTGACTGTGTTTTGTGGACCGTGTGAAGATACAACACAGGAGATGAACAGATAGAAAATAACGTGGTTTATTTAATATAAAACAAGATAAACCAACAATACATCACTGAACAGAGATGGACATCTCCGAACAACTCAATTACTTAAATCGATTATACACGATGGAATGTCTTGTATGTTCTTGCCTTTTTTTTTAAGAAAAAACATTGTTCCGTACCATTGTTAATAAACAAAATCTGAGGAAAACAAATAAAATGAAAGCTACAATGATTCTGCTTTAGTCCACGTTCTATCTGTGTCTTTTGAATGGCAGGGAGTGTCAGGGCTGCACACACACACACACACACACACAAAGTTAGGTTGAGGGATGGATGTAGTTCTTAATAGCAACTGGACCAATGCGGACGTATTGCCGGATGAGTTTGTGTTTAAAACACGAAGCTGACGTTGCAGTGTATCTTCCATTTCCGCAGTTTTATCTCATGATGCGGATTTAGGTCCACAAAAGTCAAACTTCGAGCTTCAGCTTCTGTCCTCACCCAACAACCACGTGTGGAAACTTCCCAGCAGGAATTCTCCGCAGGAACCTTGGAGTGTTTTCCCCCTCTTCCCTGAACTTCAGGTCAAACGTAGCTCCTACATCTGTCCCAACTGAAATTGGCACAAAACGGGATCAAACCCAGGACCTTCCTGGTCTGGGTGGTTCAATTCCACACTGGAAAGTGAGTTTATCAACTCAGCCATCAGGAAACCCTTCGAAAGGCTGGATTTCCTTAGATTAAAGACACATTTCACCTTGTTATCTGAGCCCACTCCAGCTCAGCGCTCACATATCCCCAAGTACAAGGTGATTAAATAAGATACATAATTAATTTTGACTGTGAAAAGTACCTCATTAGAAATGGGAATGTATTACAACATTCCCTTATACTTCATCTACACTCCTCTATTGTAATAATAATAATCATTGCATTTGATATAGCGCTTTCCACGTCTTCTCGACGTCTCAAAGCGCTTCACAGAATATATTGTAAAGTGAATTGACTGTATATTTGTGGGGGAAACGAGGCAGCCAATTGCGCACAGCAGCGTCCCACAAACAGTCGTGGATTGAAGTGACCAAATTATTATTGTTTGTTTTTTTCTTGAGGGATTATTATCAGCCGTGTGGAGTAAGGAAACTTGCCCAAGGTTTCGCTCTACTGTAAATAGCTCTATTAGGCTTAGAAATGACGCAGAGCGAAAAGACTCCACAACTATTCCAAATACATTGGTAGTGTTATTGGTAGTGTTAAAGGCAGATTAATTGTGGGAACAAAGGGCCACCTGGCCGGTTCCAAATGCTGCTGTGTAAACCCCTAAAACATGACACTTGACAGTGTGAGGGACAGAATGTCTGGCACTTAAGGAGGCACAATAGATCAATAACCATAGTAGCATTGATACAATAGAAAAAGATGGGATAAAGATATATATATATATATATAGAGAGAGAGGTAGGACATCGGAGATCTTTTATCAACTAATAGCCTTTCACTTGCACATAAGTCAATATATATATATAGAAATAAACGTTTGATTAACTTGAAAGTTGAACTTTCCCCACCCACAGCTCACTGACTTCAAAGCTGAGGAAGCGATTCTTCTGGCCTAATCTTTTAATATAATATTATTACAGTATTTGCGTATTGTATATTTGCATTAACAAAGCGCCTTTCATGGTTTGTTATATAATAACCAGCTTTTACATTAAATTTAGATTTAGATCCCCAAAAACTTTGTACAATTGTCAATTTAAAGACAAGTGTTTTAGGGCTAAAACCATAAGAGATTTCAGCCTGTGAAGGTGGAAGCTGTGGGGTCCTGCAGGCTGACTTTCCAGTCACCGAATCCCACTTTCCCTTTTTATCTCCGTTATTTTGTGAGCTGGAAATCAGGGTGGGAATGTTACAGAAAACTGTCCTCTACGTCAGACGGGTTGATTTTGGGGTCAGTGCTGGTCTGCTCCTGCTCTCTGGGCTCACGCTTTACCTGCGAGCACTGGCTGGGGTGCATGTTTGCTTCATTTCCCTCGTTCATCAGAGAGCTGTACAGAGAGAGAGAGAGAGAGAGAGGGAGTGTGTGTTAATCATTCTTTGTGTGAACAAGTGGCACTGGAGAACAACAAGAAAATTAGCACAGTATATCACTTGGGACGGCACTGCCCTTTCAGCTCTGGGACCCGGGTTTGAAACCAGCCCGGACTGATGCAATGAAGATCTCTTCAGTCTGTTAGTTGTAAATATCCCTGAATAAATTTTACTTGTGCCCAGTCTCTGTGTGGGTCTCACAGCTCAAATCTCCTACTTTCTGACATTAAAACTCTCACTCAGACACTGTGGTGACAGGAACACTGGTGTGGGAAACAGAAAATATCACTATAGTGGGGCGCAGGTCCGAGGTTCACTTTGAAGCGGGTTATTGGGACATCGCAGAGAGCCCGTTACTCTATACGACCTTGTGCCCAACCACCGTGATGATTGGATTTAGCACCAGCCCAATTTCTGACAATGTGATAAATATCACATCACACCATCTAATTTTCAGCCAATGTCTTTTCGGCTAAAACGCTCTGGAACGCCACCTGCGTGAGGGGCGCTATGTCAATGCAAGTTATTGTTTTCACTGCGTTGAAAGATATGACAAACCATTGGGACCACGTGGTCAGTAAGGAGGCCGTACCTGGGTCTGGTCGCGGTGCCGTGCTCTAGGGTAACGTTCTCCGAGTTGCCGTTCACGTTGGTGGGCTCTGGGCTGGGCTCGGGGCTGGGCTCGGGGTCAGGGCTGGGGTCAGGGCTGGGGTCGGGCAGGGGGATGATGTAGCCATTCTCGGTGCTGTTCGCTCCGCTGGGCGATGGTGTGCTACCCACACAGTTGGAGTAGATCACGTTCTGGTCGGTGTTGGTAAAACTCCGGCGAGTGCGGCAGACGGCTGGGTGATCGCTCTTCAAAAACTCTTCGGTAATCTTCATATATTTCTGGAAAAAAAGTCAGAGCAGAGAAACACACAATTAATATTCTGCTTCACACAACTCCTCACAGCACAGGGGTAAAAATGAGACCATTGAACCCGTCACAAAACTTTGTGTTTTCTGTCAATTCCTAAATTCCTAAAGCCAGTCTGTGGATCTAACCCTGATTTCAATGAAGTGCTTCCCGCTGAGCTTTGATCTCACTTTGCCCAAATCTCATCTGGAGGCTTCCTTTCGATGACTGAATTAATATAACTAGAGAGAGGGTCTGACTCCAGGCTATCTAATAACCTGCCACTGGCTGGTGGAGCTGTGGGCGAGAGTGGGCAATGTAAATCCAGTGAGTTACTGCCAGCGATGTCAAAGATAAATCCGCCAAGAGTTCATACACTCACCTTCTTGTAACTCTCATTTAGCAGCTTCCCCATGGATGTCACCAAACCTGAGAAAGGTGGGCGTTTCTCAAAGTCATCGTTCCAGCATTTCTGCATTATTTCGTATCTGCAGCAGGTGGTAAATAAAGTTAGTGTGACACATAATTATAAAACAATAGTATCCGTGCCCCCCCACCGCGCCCCCCAGACATACTCTACTCTTACCTCATTCCCTGCCCTCTCCCCATCGTGTTTTTGTTTGTTGGTGCTCACTCCCCCACTGAAGCTCTCTACTTGTTACTATTTCATCACCAGTGGAAATAACCAATTACTCTTCACCCTATCATAGCCATCAGGTCACTCCTTAATCCTGTGAGCTCTGGTGGAAGGAGCTCTATAGAACGTCTGAAGACTTACATTTCACTGGCAGCGTACTGAGGCTTGGGCATGCGGTAACCGTGCCTTATGGCATTGTAGAATTGGTCGTTGAGAGGCAGCTCTGGGTAGGGCGTCCCACCTAAAGCAGAGACACAGAGAGTGGTTAGAGAGCAGCTGCTAAAATAACCCCACGGACAGAAAGCTAGAAGGGAAAGGCAGAGATTGGCGTTGGTTACCCAGTGTGAAGATCTCCCATAGGAGGACAGCGTAGGACCAGACATCGCTGAGTGTAGTGTACAGGCTGTTGAAGATGCTCTCTGGCGCCATCCACTTCAGTGGCAGGAACGTCTGGAACAGATTGTAAAAATAATAATAACCGTTTCACCCACAAAATATAGAGCCAATTCACTTTACAGTGAAGCGCCTTGAGACGTCTCGAAGACATGATAAGGCGCTATGTCAAATGCAATGATGATTATCATTGTTATTCCTTGCGTTTGATATAGTGCCTGGACCACGGCACAGTTTAACTTACGCTGCCTCGGGAAATGTAGTTGGAATCGTTCATGATGTCTCTGGCCAAACCAAAGTCGCAGATTTTAGCCAGTTTGCCCTCACAAATCAGCACGTTCCTGGCGGCTAGGTCGCGGTGGACACACTGAGGAGCAGAGGGAGATGCAGAACATAATACATAACAACTTAATATGCAACACACACATATAGCATCCACCAGCCTCAGGTGCACACCCAGATCCACCACCCACTGATTGACTCACATTCTTGGAAGCCAGGAACTCCATTCCCTGGGCCACCTGATAGCTGATGGCCACCAGGTCCATGTAGGTGAGCGCCACCGACTCACTGATCAGCAGCACATCTTCCCTTCGATCCTCCTCTGAAACAGACCACCAAACAGACCTCAGTGTAGTGTGTGTGTGTGTGTGTTGCTGTAGTACCTCATTCACACCAGCAGATGGCACTCGTGCACACACAGCCACTGTCTCAGTGCTCAGTGCCTAATAATACACAATAATAACTCTTATATTATTGTATATTACTATTATGTCATTGAGACGTCTCAAAGCGCTTCCAGAGATGCGCAGCAAAGTGCAAGTGACTGTGTATTTTGTGGGCGAAACGCAGCATCTACTTTGCGCACAGCAGTGTCCCGCAAACAGCCGTGGAGGGGGTGACCAATTTTATTTGGGGGATTGTTGGCCCAGACACCGGGAAAGAGCGAGCGATAAACTCCCTTCTGTTTTCGAACAGAACCATGGGATCTTTAACGTCCACTTGAACAGGGGAACTCGGTTTAACATCTCAGCCGAAGGACAGCATCTCCGACAATGCAACCCCCACCCCCCCAACCCCAGCGCTGCATTGGAGCGTCAGCTAAGACTAGTGTGGAACTGAGTGTTGCAGAGCGAGTGGGCAGGGTGCAGGACATGTGGGGGGTGGGGGTTTAGTTGAGGGGATACCTGTGGCGGAGTAGTGCTCGTTGGTATAAGGCGTGTCGTAGCCTGAGTGCTCGATTTCGGTGTAGTTGGTGCCATTCTTCACCTCCACCATGGGCACGTACTCCAGGAAGTTGTCCTTGCTCATGTCCATGTAGCCTCCATCGTTCTCAAACGACAAAGCGATGTAGCTGTGAGGGAGGCAAGCACAGGCATGAGTGCCAAAAGGGGAAATAAGGGGCTTTCCCCCTACTCCCTCTCCTCCCCCCAACCCCTAAACTCGCTCACCCTCAGAAAGTGAAACAAGTTAGAGAAAGTGTGTTAGTTTAGGAGTTGGGTCACGGTGGCCGGTGATGTTGTGGACAGTGACGGTGGTGATGGTACCGGTGATGGTTTGGTCACCTCTTGACTCTCTCCTCGCCGTGGGTCACTCTATCTGTCTGTTGACTGCTGTGATTGGTGTAGGCCTGCAGGAAAGTGTGCTTGTTCCTGTGTAGGTAATCCACCAGGTCTCCGTGGCGACAGTATTCGGTCATGATGTAGATGGGACCTGTCACAGCACAACACAGAGTGAACGCCCCATCTCCAGCTCAGCTCCAGGCAGATACTCAGCACCTCAGCTCCACTAACCCTCACTCTCTCTCTCTCTCTGTCTCTAACCTTCAGACACCAGTAACCAAACAGCGATTCCACCCAAGACGACATCAGCTGAACTGTGGTGGGTTTGGAGGCCGCGACCATTCTCCTCAGGTCGGGGGAGAACATCTCAGCATCTTTAGCATCGACCTGAACCACAGACTGGACCTCACTCGCTGTAACGTCTCACCCAAAGCCTCTGCTAATATAGAGATCTCCTCAGTACCTCACTAGAGTGTTAGCCCAGACTGGGAGCTCCAGTCCTCACAGGAGTCTTGACTCTACAACTTTTTGACCAGACTGTGACTATCTCAGCCAAGTCAGCACTGGCTAAACAGACCAGCGTGTATCTGCTGGAGCCAAAGGTTTGACCCCTGGGGTTGGCGTTGGGAGACTTTACCTCCTTTGGTGCAGGCTCCCAGGAGGTTGACAATGTTTAAATGAGGCCCCAAGTGGCTCATAATCTTCAGCTCCGACATCAGGGCCTGTTTCTCGCTGCTCCTGGCTGTTGCTGTGAAACCGGGAGAGAAAAGGCAGCAGGTTAATCCTGTAACAGGACAACGGCACAGACAAGAGCAAATACAATTTACTGCAACAGAGAAACAATCCTTCAATCTGTGTGTGTGTGTGTATATGTGTGTACATGTGCGTGCGCGCATGTGTGCCTGTGTATGCATGTATGTACACTGGTGTATAGCGTGTGTGTATGCGTGTGGGCTGCGTGTGGTTTGCGTGTAGGTTGCGATGCTGGGAGAGCCACAAGACACACTCACATTTCAGCATCTTGATGGCCACTTTCATGGCTGATTGGGAGCTGCTCAGGCCGCAGGCGGTGGCTGCCACGACCCTGCCAAAAGCTCCCGAGCCCAGAGTCCGACCTGCAGGAACCACAGCAACAACACAAGAAGCTGTATTTACACCGGAGAAAACCTCACAAAGCTTCATGTCACACGAGGAAGACCGGGATTGGAGATAAAAGTGAAACGAAGATGAAGGAACGAGCGGTTACCGTACCCAGGGACAGCTGGTCTCGGGGGAACTCCCAGCTGGAATCATATGGCAGCTGCATGGGGTCTACGTAGATGTACTCGTGTCCATCCAGGCTGACGGACTCAATAACCTTCCATCGGATCTCGTACCGGGGTTTCTGGGAAAACAACCAACAGTCAGTAAACGTCTCAATGCGTCCCAGCCCAACCGCGCCCAACACTAACCACGTGCAGTTACAAGCGAAGCTAACATTGGTCGGGGGAACATCTCCCAGCGCTCCTCAATGACAATAGGAGGTCACTGAGCTGGTGGGGGGGAGGGTCGAAAGCCGGTGACAGTTGATTACCTGCTGCCAAACCACCACCAGGATGGCCAGAGCGACGACGATGATGATCAGCAGCACCAGGATAGCTGCCACAATGACCAGCTGGGAGCGGAGAGCTAGAGACAGGAGACAGCCGTCAGTATTTCTCCTGGGGGAGATGTTCACACACCCTGGCCCTCCCTGGGCACAGCTGCCCTGACCCGCCCAGCCCAGGCTAGCCCAGCCCACCTCAGCCCAGGCTAGCCCACCCCAGCCCAGAGGGGCTGAGTGGCCTCCTCCTGTTCCGAGCTGTAGCCTCACTGGATGTAGGTCAGGGTGTGTGTGTGTGTGGGTGTGTGTTGGGGATACATTCTCACCCTCCCTGTACTCACTCGTGGAGACCAGCTTGACCTGACGGCTCTCCGAGCTGAAGGGGTTGGTGGTGGTGCAGCGCACGGCTGCAGTCTCCACTATCTCCTGCTGTGTGAGGACACTCTGTACCCGCATCGGCCCCAGCTCACCGTTCTCCACACGGAAGCTCTCCACACGGAACGTGCTGGAGTTCAGGGGCAGCGGGTTCCACACCTTCCCTGAGTTGCACCTGAAATCACGCAATACACACACCCAACGGTAATGATTCACAGTGTTCAGAGTAACCTCACTTGCCTCTCCTCTTTGCTGCTCACGGCTCCACCGTGGGCTGACCCCAGCAGGAGCCAAACAGCAGTAACTCCATCGGTTAGCCGCACTTTCAGCACAACGCCCCGAAACTCTGAAACCCTCACCCTCTATCCCTCCGCCTTGCCCCTTCCTTCTCCACCTTCAGGTCGCGCCTGAAGACCTTCCTATTTGACCGTGCCTACAGTCACCTTCCCACTTCCGCCGGCTCAGCATTGTGCTCCGCCTGAGACGCTACCCTGTGTGAGGGATGCTGTATAAATACAGGTTGTTGTTGAGGTCAGGTATTGTAACAGCGGCCAAGGGGTTGGTTCATCACCAAAACTGTGACCTAACAATCACCCAAAGCGTTTACTACACAGCGCTGGGAGGTAAGAACTGGCGCAACACCAACCCCCCCAACCCCTCACCCCAAACACACACATGTACCCACCGCCCGTCCCTCCCCTATCCTCCAGTCATAGGAACGCACAGAGCTGGGGTTGGGGAAATGGTGTGAATGATGCAAAGAGGGCATCACTGGGGGGTGAGATACAGCACGGACATTTTTGTGCTTCTGTCACAGTAAAGGAAGCATGAGAATCAAACGGTGATAAGATGTAAACACACACAGCTCCCAGTCAGCCCAGCACTCCGGCAGCAAAGGAGGTGACAGGCAAATGAGGGGTTTAATTTGCAACTGGGAGGAGAGTCCCAGTGCTTGCTTTGCAAACTGGTTCGCAGCCACCGAGGAGGGTGGGAGCTGGACATTACCAGGGTTTCAGAAAACATTCTGTTTCAATATGATCATTACAAGAGATTTAATACAGGTTAGAAAAATGAATTCTTGTGTCTGATACGACGCCTATAAAAATCACAATGTCTCAAGTGCTTCACCCTGATTTATTGGGATAAGGTAGTTTAGTGGCAGCCAATTTACGCACAGCAACGTCCCACAAAGAGTTATGAGGTGGGTGAGTGATTGCATTTGGGTGATTGTTGGCCAGGATATAGGGAGAGAGAGAGAGAGAGAGAAACTCCCTTCTCTTCTCCAAGAGCGTCCCTGATCCTTAACATTCTCCTGAACAGCAGACAGGACCTCAGTTTAACATCTCATCTGAAGGGCGGCACCTTCAACAATACAATGCTCTGTCCATCGCTGTACGTGAGTGTTAGCCTGGACTGTGAGCTCAATATGATCTTGGGGCTTGAACCCCACCTGAGCTCACAACTTCATCAAACGCAAGGCAACTCGTGCCTCTGAAGCCGTTACCTTTTCAGATCGTTGCACGTGAACCAACTGATTTCAGGGACCGGGGAGCCCTCAGCCACACATGTCACTGTCTGCTTCCCGTTGGGGTGCTGGCGGTCAGTCAGCGTCAGGATTCTGGCCGGTACTGCATGGTACAGGTGAAGAAAAGTAAAGGAAATTATTATAAATTACACACAGCAAACTCTAAATAGTATCCCCAATGGAGCTCTCCACTCTAACCCCATTCCCTGCTGTTGCCTATGTTACAAGAGAGTGCTGGTTTAATAATCTCACCGTTTACTCTTAAACTGAAGGTAATCTGTTTCTTGTCACCTTCGTTCCAAACAGAAATGCTATAGTTCCCGATATCTTCTTCATTTACACGGATCAGGTTCAAGACGTTCTGATAGCTGCAAACGAGAGAATTCTGCCACTCAACGTAACATTGGACCATGAGCTCAGGACATAAGCAATCTTCACTACCTGTCAAACCATCTTCTTCTCTAGCCTCTGAACCACCTTCCCCATCATAGACCCTTCCGAACCCATTAACATGCTGTCTGCTAGCCAGCGCGAGTCTGTGTCCCACTACCTGAAGCCTTATCAGCATATGTGTAGGAACATAGAATAGGGAGAACTGGGAAAAACCTGTTTAGTCTATCTTGTCTCTCCTGCTTTCAATCCCATCTGTCCCTATGTAATTGCATCAAAATCCCATCCCATTTCCTCTGAGACTTCCCACGTTAGCCATATTCATGCTTCCTGGGACAAGCTGTTCCACATGGGAAACCCCACTCAACATTAACTGCTTTAATCCCAATTCATTCCCTCTTCCCCATGTTGAGTGAGATACTGGAGGTGACCATGTCTGAAAGATCTCCCCTCAATGTTGTCAGCTCTAGTGTGGACATTCCCAGTTTGGGTAATCTCTCCCATGGAGGATAGGACTATCTGACACCCGTTTCTTGGCTGCTCTTCCGCTGGTTTCTCGATCAGAAACAGTTGTGTTGAGGCTATTGAGCTGATCACCTACCGGTTTCCCCCCAGTGATTTGTTGCTGAATGTTATCTGATTGGTCTTCTCATTGCACGGCACATTGTCCTTCAGCCACATGACGAGCGGCGGAGGGTAAGCTGTGATACTAACAGCAAAGCTCTTCACCTCAGAAAGGTTGGCGTATTCTATGTCACTCATCTCGGTTTCCAGACGTACAAATCCATGCTCTGTAAAGACAAGGATTGTGGCATTATGTCCTGCCTAACACTGTAATGAGTCACTTCACAGTCAGACACAAAACATGACTTGTCCCAAGGAGATGATTGGGACAGGTTAACAATAACAACAGCCATTACATTTCTATAGCGCCCTTCACACAGGATAGCGCCTCAGAACACTGAAGTTCACTCAGTGACCATCTAATGAAGACTTTTGTGGACCCCCTAATGGCTAATGTAAGAGCAGCATGGACTCAGCCCACTTCTCTCTCTTTGTCTCTCTCTCGCTGTCACTCTCTCTCGAAGAACGTCCTCACCATCAATAATAATAATAATCCTTGCATTTAATATAGCGCTTTCCATGTCCTCTAGACGTCTCAAAGCGCTTTACAGAATAGACTGTAGAGTGAATTGACCGTATATTTGTGGGCGAAATGTGGCATTGTGTGGTTTACTCACCAAGAACAATAATTTCAAGGGATTTCTTCTCAAACTGATGCTCATAATATCCCAGGACGGTGCAGTTATAGACTCCGGAGTCTGCCAGTCTCGCCTCTTCCAGAAGCAGAGTTGAGTGCACCTCCTGAGCCCCGTCAATCACCGTCTCCTTCTTTTCCTTTTCCTTCCCCCACTGCAATAAAAATAGGCTGTTACTGGCCGTGGTCAAATGTACCTTTGAAACACTGGGCTGTAATCTGCGCCTCTTCATAGTTAACACGAGGAACACATTATTAAACCTTGAACCCATCTCGCCCTTCCACACTTCCCCTGAAGCTGGCATGTCAGTCCAGTGATCAATCGTTGCTAGTGAACATGTGAAGAATTAGCAGCTCACCTGTCTCCTCGCACGCGAGTCTAGTCAGTGAGTGTTGGGGCCTTCCTCACTCCCTTCTCCTCGCTCCCTCCCTTCCCATTTTCATGTCTCTGCTGAAGACCTTTCTTTTCGACTGTGCCTTTGGTCACCTTCCCCCCCCCTCCCCCCTGGCTCGGCCCTGGGATCCGTTACTGTAAAGCGCTCTGAGACGCCGTCCGGCGTGGAGGGCGCTATATAAATCCAAGTTGTTGTTGTTGTTGTTGTCCAAGCCCTTTATCTTTGACAGGTGTTAACCTCTCTATCTGAGCATTAGTGACAGTGTAAACTCACCTCCTTTCTCGGGTAGCTCCAGTTAAAATGCACCAGTTGGTTCCCTTTCACTGAGCAGGTCACGTTGATGGCTTCCCCTATTTTCACGATGCTTTTGGAGGTGTGAAGCTGAACATCAAGATACGGTGAAACTGAGGAAGAAAAAACTTGTGTTTCTATAGCATCTCATCCCATCAAAACATGGCTAAGTGATTACAATAACTGTTAAGTGTAGTGACAGTGCAATACATAGACAAACACAGCCGATATTTGACCAGCAAATTTACACATGTAGCCACGGACGAATGGTACATTTATCTACATCTTTCTCATCCACCTGAGCAGGCAGACAGAACCTCAGTTTAACAGAATTTACTGTAAAGTGTAGTGACTATATATTTTGTGGGCGAAACGCAGCAACCAACTGCGCACAACAGGTTCCCAAAAACGGCTGTGGATTGAGTGACCAAATTATTATTATTATTTATGTGGTTTGAACAAACATCCTGCGGAGGTGACAGTGTGAACGATTAAGCCATCAAAAGAAGAGGTGAATTGAACACTTCGTTCTCAGTCTTCGTAGGAACAAATATAAATCCAACAAAAACCTCCTCAGAAAGGTTACCTTTGAAGGTCTGCACAATGTATGGCTCAGATTCCCGACGCACTCCTAGAAGCTCTGCTATACAGATGTAGGTGCCGTCCTCGAACCTATCAAAAAATCCCTCGTATTTATTGAAGGGAGTTTCCCACAGGGACTGGGTCTCATCGTGATATAGGGTGACGTTGAGCTCAGGATTTGTGATCCGACACGGGATCAGGAACGCCAGTGAATATTCCATCATGATAACCTGCTCGTCCGGACTTTGTGGGAGAAACCACATGCGAGGATCTGTGTGAAAAAGAACTCAGGTTCAATCTTTCTTTGCGACAAAGGAGCTGTGTGCTGTTCTGAGTTCCTGAGCTGAAGTCCCGATGTGGGGATTGAATCCCAAACCTGTAGCCCTGAGGAGAGATTGCCCACGGGCCAGCCAGGACCTCGAGAGAGTGTATTGGGCAAAGCCACTGTCAAGTGCTTGTGCTCATTGTAATAATAATAATAATCCTCGTGATTGATACAGCGCCTTATCACATTTTTCGAGACGTCTCAAAGCGCTTCACATATATTCTGTGAAGTAAATTGACTGTATATTTTGTGGACGAAAACCGGCAGCCAATTGCACACAGCAGCGTCCCACAAACAGTCGTGGATTGGGTGATCACATTATTATTATTTTTAGTACAGTAGACATACATATAGCAGTTATCGTATGGTTATTATAGGAGGTTTGAGTCTCACCTGGAACAAAAACATAGAAGATCTTCACGAGGAGGTCGTCCCTGAAGCAGTGGTACTCCCCTGTGTCCAAGGCAGTTGAGTTGAGTATAGGCAGCGAGGCTCCATCATGTTCAAAGTAGCTCCCAGAGGCTTCTTTGAACTGCCATTTCACCTCTCCACTCCCCGGGCAGTTCAGGGTCAGGCTCGCTGAGGGCTCCAACACAATCTCTTGAGTTTCCAACTGACGTCCATTGGCCTCGCCAAACCACAACAACAGGAGCACTGGCGGGAGAGGGACAACAGTGAAGCTAATGGGCAGGTTTTCTAGCACATTCCTTATCAAGGAATTGCATTAGAAATCCTACATGTTAGACTGCATTAGAACTGCATATAACTAAGGGACATGAAACAAGTCATTTTATCTTTAGCCCATGGTGAAGATCGCACTTCCATTCCTGTGCCCTTTTGGGAGAGGTCTACAGTTACCTGTGATCAGTGGGAGTCGGTGAATGTTGGACATCCTCACGCAGTCTAACAGGATCCAGAGACACTGCTGAGACAAGACACAAAGAGTGACGTTAGGTGTGAGTTCCCTACCTTTTTCTCATTTACCTTGTGGTGGAGACACAGTGCTCAACACTGCTGGCCATTTGGCTGGTGCTGTTGCTATTCTGTGGGTTAGGTCTGTCTGATTGAGTTGGAATTGACCGTAGGAAAATCATCCTCAATTGACACTGAACTTCCGTTATTTCTAGGGCAGATCCCAATCAATCGAACTGCTCCCACACCCAACAGCCAGACAATGCTCCCACTTGCCCCTCTCTCCCCTTCCTCTCACGCTCTGCAGGAGTGTGAGCCCAAGCTTGGCATTACCCAACTTGCTGAATTATTCCACAACTTCCATCCTGGCAACTAGCTCTGGACACCTCAGCCCTACCCGGGCCCAGATTTCTCAATAGTCAGTCTAAATAAACTCCAGGTCTCGCAAATCCCGAACAATTCCCAAGTACCCCTGACCCCTCGACACTCACTGTCAAGGGCAAGTTGGAGGAGAAACTAAAATAGGGATTTTCTTCCCCCTAATACTGAACTCTGCAACACTCTCCCTCTATCCCTCTGCCTTGCCCCCCTCCTTCCCCAACTTCAGGTCAAGCCTGACGACCTTCCTCTTTGATCATGTCTACATTCACCTCCCCCCAGACTCATCCGGGAGTCTGCTCCGGTGTCGAGCTCCACCACTGTCAAGCGCTCTGGGACGCTGCCCTGTGTGAGGGGCGCTGTGTCAATGCAAGTTGTTGTTGTTGTTTGCCAAACTGATGTGAGCCGTCAGGCAAACCTCAGTGAGCTGAGCTGGCTGAGTTGTGTGGAATTCCACAGCAGTGACTGACCGACCAGGGCCCCCGACTATAACAACACAATGTCAGGCAAGCCCCACCTCCTTCCTGCAACTGACATGTTGGGTTAATATCTTCTCCCGAAGGAACGATTCTCCCAGCCTAACCCCCTCTCTCCCCCTCGAACTCCTCCTCCCCCGGCCGCTCCACAGCCATTTCCAGATCTCCCCAAGTAACGGTTGAGTTTACAATCTTTCACACTTTCTAACGCGGAAACAAGAATAAAACTTGAATCCCATCAGCACTCTCGGGCCGGGTCGGGCCGGGAAGGGTCAAAGGCACATCATTTGATTGCTTCCTCACTGCAAAGTTTAACTTTAATGATCAGTTTCTGGTCGCCAGTAAGAACCCATTCCACCTTACTTACTGTCTTCCTATTCTGTCTTCATCTCTGAACTTCCAAGGAACACACTGAGAGACTAACAAATAGCAAACGGGGCCCATGTTTCAGCTCCACAAACTCTTTACATTTCACAAACTTTCCTGAGGTGGAGTTTAGTTGAACATCTTGACTCCAGGATGCTGTTGGTTGTAATATGACCTGGAGTCCATTTACCCCCCACTAATCCAGCCTCCGCAGAACAAGTCAAACTCTCTGCTAAATTACAGCAATAGCATAACTAACCTGCAGAGATATAGTGACTGTTATCTAGACAAATTGGCAGCAATACTCCTCACACAGAAACGGATGAATGATCAATTCATGTCTTTTATGATTATTTTGGATGAAGGAAGAATATTGGACCTCTGGGAGAAAAGCCCTGCTCTTTATCCAGGTGTGGAGTCCTGTAGTGTAGTGGTTAAAGTTTCCTTATTTCACACGCCTCTGTTTTCCTAGCAGTAAGTAGGAGCCTGCTGTTAATGCTTCCACCCTAAAGAATCATGTCACTCAATCCACGACTGTTTGTGGAACATTATTGTGTGCAATTGGCTGTCGTGTTTCATCCAGAAAATACACAGTCACTCCACTTTACAGTAATAATAATAATCCTTGCATTTGATATAGCACTTTTCATGTCTTTAAGATGTCTTAAAGCTCTTCACAGGATATACTGTAAAGTGAATTGACTGTATATTTGTGGGTGAAGTGCAGCAGCCAATTGCACACAGCAGCGTCCCACAAATTTATTATTGATTGTTTTCTTGAGTGATTATTATTAGGCGCGTGGAATAAGGAAACTTGCCCAAGGTTTCGCCCTGCTGGGAATCAAACTCAGGTCTATTGCTTGCGAGGTGAACGTTCTAACCACTGAGCTTCAGGACTCCAGTATATTCTGTGAAGTGCTTTGAGACATCTCAACGATGTGATAAGGCGCTATATCAAATGCAAGGACGAGCCCCAGAGTGTCAGAGTGAACTCAAGCCCTGGGTGGGGGCTCCAATCCACAGCTTTCTTACCTCCAGAGGCCACAACACTCACATACTGAACCCATGCACACAACTCACACAAACACACACACACGAACACAGCTCACACACAAACACACACGCAGGCTCTGTCATCCTCTCCCCATCGCCTCCTAGTTCCAATGGAATCTTCTTGTTTAACATTTCTAAATACCAAACAGCCGACAAACATCCGAAACATTTAATGGATAAACTGACCTCTCTCCTCCACCCCACAAAACAAGAGAAAAGTCGGGAAGCTGTTCAAACAAATGCTTTGACCCGATCCATTGCAACTCAGTACTGAGCAGTCTGCGTACACCAGGCAGAGAGAGAGGGCAGTCCTGCTGATGACACGAGCCAGCCCGCCTAAAGCCCTCTGGTCCTAAAGCTCTAATGTAGATTAAAAGGGTCAGAGTTTGGAAAGAAAATCTTTACATTAGATTTGCATTTGATCAAGTGCCTCATCGCTTCAAAACATCTCAAAACGCTCAGGGATCTTTGAAGTCACTGTTCTGTGGGAAAACACAGCAGCTTATCTGCACCAGCACAGCTTTGTGGTGAGAGACTCACTGATCTGGGTGTTTGGATGAGGGAGGAGCAAGGATCAGGACAGGGAGACATTGCTCTGCTTCCAAATAGCCTGGAGGATCATCATCATCATCATAATCCTTCCATTTGATACAGTGCATTTTCACATCTTCGAGACATCTCAAAGTGCTTCACAGAATATACTGCAAAGTGAATTGACTATATTTTGTGGGTGAAACGCGGCAGCCAATTGCGCACAGCAGCGACCCACACACTCGTGGATTGAGTGACCAATTTATTATTTTTTTTAACATTTTTAAATTGAGACATTAAAGGCAGCTCAGTGTAACTTCTTGTTCAAAGGATGGTTAGAGTGTGACAACAGGTATAAAGGCTGGTTCTGGGAAAGGTTTCCTGTCAAGCACAAGGTATGAGCAGGGAGTGGACACTGATCAATAGGCTCAGTCCTTCACATGAGAAAGTCTTCTAATACAAAGTTGATTGCAAAATAAATAGAAACTGGCAATGTTTTGTAAAACTCCATTAATCTCATCGATTCATGCCTGGTCTTTGCACCGCTTAAGAAAATACAAGATATGTTAAATTCTTCTGATGACTTAGCTTAGGAACCTGGGCTTGTGTCCAGGCTGATGTGGGAAGTGGGATGAAAGTCTTCTGTGTCTGCTGGCTTGGAGGAGTTTCCGTGTGTTGGTTTGGGCAGCTTCAAGCCAGTTCCGAGTGGGTGTAAGCTTCACAGCACACAGCTGACCTGAATTCAGCACAACTTTGGCAATCTCACCAAAAGGAAAATGAGTCAGGCCTGCCAGAGGCACTCCCCCTCTGCCACCCCTGGCCAGTCAAGATCTATAGCTCTCTCTCGTCGCCGACTCAGAAGGTTGTGGGTTCAAGCCCGTCGGGACTTGGAATCATCTAGACAAAGCTGACGCCCCAACGCAGTGCTGGGGGGTGTTGCATTGTTGGAGAATCTGTCCTTCGGATGAGATGTTAAACCGAGCTCCGATCTGCCTGTTTAGATGGACGTTAAAGATCCTGCGGCGCTATTCAAAACGAGAAGGGAGTTTCTCTCTCTCTCACGATCCTGGCCAACAATCTCCCAAATAAAATCAGTCAATCACTCGATGACTGTTTGTGGGTTCACTGCTGTGCTCAAATTGGCTGCCGTGTTTGGCCTACAAAATGCACAGTCAATGCACTTCATAGTACACCTTATGAAATGTTTTGAGACGTCTCAATGACAATTATTATTATTAGTCAGTGACAGGACACAATCTCACATCAAAGGCTTGTCACAGGAAGCCACTTTGACACTGATGATGAATCTATTAAGATTTTGAGCAGCTCGGGTGAATTTCCAATCCACGGTACAGTTTATGGTATCAACAGTTGCCACCAAAACTCCTCAAACTCCAGGACAAACAGTCATTAACTGTCAGTCCTGAGACACTTTGTTTGAAACAAGGTTTTTCCATATTTTGATCTTATCTTTAGTCAAACGAAATAAGTTAAACGGAGACACAAACTGAGGGGGATGGGTGGGGGGTGTCCTGGACTGTTTATAATTCTCACTCAATTTAGTCACGGAAATTTTGCTATTGAGGCCTGAAATTTCTCTTACTCTTAGCCTGATGCTGACAGCATCAGCATCCAAGGCTGCACTCTCCACCTCTCAAAGCCGGTCAGGAACCTCGGGGTTCTGTTCGACCCTGAGCTGTCCTTTCTCCCTCATATCCGCGCCACAACTGGCACCGCCTTCCATCACCTCCGGAATGTCGCCAGACTACGCCATTACCTCACCCCTCACGCGGCTGAAACTCTGGTCCACACCTTTATCACCTCAAGGCTGGACTATGGGAACTCTCTCCTCGCCGGCCTTCCCGGCCCTCCCTCCACACTGCAGGTCATTCAGAACTCTGCAACTCATGTACTGTCCCGTACCAGACACCGCGCCCACATCACTCCCACCCTCGCTCGCCTTCACTGGCTCCCCATCCCCCAGAGGATCGAATTCAAGATCCTCATCCTCACCTACAAGGCCATTCACGGCCTCGCTCCCTCCTACCTCTCTGACCTACTATCCCCCTACCTACCTGCCCGTACCCTCCGTTCCTCTGGCTCCGGTCTGCTCGACATCCCCCGCCCCAACCGCCCTACCATCGGTGGCCGGGCCTTCAGCCTCTCAGCCCTGAGGCTCTGGAACTCTATCCCCCAGTGCCTTCGCCGCTTCCTCCCTTTCCTCCTTCAAGGTCGGTCTCAAGACCTTTCTCTTTGACCGTGCCTTCAGCTCCCCTCTCGACTCTCTACCCCCTCCTCGCTCCCTCCCTTCCCTCCCCTCACCCTGACCATTTCCCCCCTCCTCGCTCCCTCCCTTCCCTCCCCTCACCCTGACCATTTCCCCCAATGCTCAGGACCTGACCCAACTGTACAGCGCCTTGGGACGTCCTCCCGTCGTGAAAGGCGCTCAATAAATGGAACCTTGTTGTTGAAACCATTTGTCTTAACATTTAAGTTAGTGCCAGTTTGTGGAACATTCTTAAACTCTCTCTTTGAAGCTCTCTCTCTCTGCTGTGTCTCTCTCCCTACTGTGTGTGCATATGCACGTGTGTGTGTGTGTATGCATCTCTTTCTCTCTCTGTCTGTCTCTCTCCCTGATACACCCAGACTTCATTTGTGAGTAATGGTAACAAAAAGCTGGTAACTCCTCCAGGAATCACTGCCGCTGGGTTTTGCTGGACAGAATCACCACAAATCTCAGAGGAAATGCCGAACTTGTGACTGTCAACCCTAACTAGTACAGTCACCAGCACAGGATCTAACCGCAGGATCATGGCTGACAGATACTGTATATCAGAGCGCGAGTGAGAGACGAGAGAGAGAGAGTGCAGGAGAAAAACAGGAGAGCAGGAATGAAAGAGTTAATGAAAGGATAAGACAGGTGGGAAAAATGAGAGAGAAAACTCTGAGAGATTGTCTCCACCTCAGACATGTCAGTGTGAGGACCTGCCCACAGTTCACCACCTCCAGCAACAGCTAAAGTGAAACGGGGTCTAATTTGTGGTCTTTCTTAATGGGATTCCTTAAACAAATTACCATCAGTCGCGATACTTACTCCGGTGCCTGGAGGAATCCTCGTTTTTTCTGATGCCGATTCCTTATCAGGGAATTCTCTCAAGAAACAGCGCAAACTGCACAATGTCCCAAAAGCTGTAAGGGTGAAGCCTCGCTCAACAAGTCAGTTTGTACCTCAGGGAAGAGCCGTCCACTTACATCTTGTTGACCATCTCCTCGGTCTATCTGTACGAGCAGTGAGTGAGCGTCTGGCGGTGGTGGGAGAGAGGAGACAGACACAGAGCAGCGCTGGGTAAACAGCAGATAAGAAACAAACCAGTGATGATCATTCAATGGATGAGCAACGAGAAAAGAACGATGACTGGAAGGGTGAATGGGAAGCAGAAACTTTTGTGCAGAGTCAGTGTGGAGAGTCAGGGCTGTGGGGGAGCCAGATGTGAATAATCAGTGAACATCTCACACGCATTAGGTCCAGTGCCAATATGTCAGCATCTGCACAAACCGATTCACTTCCTGTCACAGGACAAAACAACACGCACTGAGGAGCAATACTAGGAAAGGGTTATGGGAATGGGGTGAGGGGGCCAGTCCCCAGCGGAGGCTAATGGATTCTAGTTTGCTGTGTTTCTTAATGGGATTTCTTGAAAGTAATTCCTGTCAGCCCACTCCAGTGTGGAGCGAGCACCAGCACAGACACGATGGGGAGAGAGCAGGGAATGAGGTTAGAGTGGAGAGCTCCAATGACTGAAAGGCCAGTTTCTGTGTGTATCAGTCTATGGAATGTGGACATAATAATAATAATAATAATCCTTACACTTGATATAGCATTTTGTCACATCTTCGAGACATCTCAAAGCGCTTCACAGAATATACTGTAAAATGAACTGACTATATATTTGTGGGTGAAATGCGGCAGCCAATTGCACACAGCAGTGTCCCACAAACAGTCATGGATTGAGTGACCAAATTATTATTGTGCTTTTTTTTAAAAAAGGATTATTATCCCCGGAAAAGCAATCCGCCAATTGACTAACAACCAGGTACCTACTTACTGCTGGGTAAACAGAGGCATGTGGAGTAAGGAAACTTGCCCAACATTTCGCCCTGCCCAAGAATCGAACCCAGGTCTCTCGCTTGTGAGGCGAGGGCTCTAACCACTGAGCTACAGGACTCCACAGGACATACTGCCCGAGGGAGCATTGATGGGATCCTGATTTGGAAGAAATACACAGAGAGTGTCTGGAGCAATCACTCCTTCAAGCCACTGGGTTCCTAACTGGATCCATTAGCAAAATCCTGTGTTAATTTGGTTGAACATAAACCTGGATTTCAAAACCATTAAAGTGGATGATTTTTATGTGAATCACACATGTTAACAGAGGGTCCCGTAAGTTACACAAATCAGGAATGTCTGTGTTTCCTGCTCAGTAACAGTAACCTCCTGTGGCTCTGACATCCACAGGGAGGGGGAAAAAATGTGCTATAGTATTTCTATTCCTTATTAAGGAATTAATTAGAATTCCCAGCGGGCGTTCAGCCTGCACTCAGCTCCGGGATGGGATTGTGTCAGAGCAACTTCCCGTGGACTGTGTTGTGGAGATGAACGTGTGGTT